TAAAATCAGCACCTGAACGAATGTGCAATCAAAAGTGAATGGGAATTTTTACAGAATTTTATTATGGCTGTTTTATGTTGTTTCTGTCCTTAATGACATGGTAGACCAGAGGTTATTGTAGTGGTAGTGTAAAGGTCTGTACTGCTACGTTATAATCCTGAATTAGCTTTGTTAGGTCCAGATCTATCTCCAGGATCCTAGGACTGACAGGATACAGTAATAGCCCAGCAGTGGGATGGAGAACCACATGTCTCCAATACCACTCTTAAGTACTTACTCCATGAAATATTAATGTTTTTGTACTTGATTGTTTCCAAGGATAATCACCGATAAACATGCACATCCTCATCTGTGTTCTACTCTCGACCCCCTCCTTAAGTCACCACCAATGCATTTCTTCCTGAATGTTGTTATCTCTCCCCACCCCCTCCCTTCAGTCCAGGCATCCCGTGCACACTCTTGCTCAGCCCTCTCCCCCAGTCTCTAACAACACCTCCAGTTTTCTGTGTTCTCATCCTCTTACCTCCTTCATAATCTTACCTCATTATTTCACAGATCTACACAAATATATGAGTCCCCCTCCCAAAATTTCTACCCCACTGAACGCTTCATCCAGTTCATTGTTACTGCGCCAGACAGCACATGCTTTCGATACGAGGTCACATCACTCCTCTGTAGAGACCTAACATGACAATGGTATACAGATTTCAACTGTTATACTCCTCTGTTATCAATAGATAAAACCTTATATATCACATGGAAGACTGAAACCCATCAATGAAATTGTCCTTGCGTTGTGAAATGTGAACCTCTTTGAATATTGACTCTAGATCAAAACTTTGAAATTTGTATCTGACTGTGAAATTTTTATCAGACTTTGAAATTTGTATCAGACTTCAAAAGTTGTATTGGACAAATTGTATCAGACTTCGACTGATTGTCCATAAATTGGGCCACCAAACATCCACCATTAGCTGCCTCCACATAGCTGTAATGAAATTGTAATCATACCACCGCCATCTTCGTTGTCCTGAATCATTTAGGGATCAATACCGTAATGTTTTTTTCTGTCCTGTTATTTAATGCGAACTATTTAATGTGTTATCTAGTCAAGTCAATACCATGATTGCTTTTTTCCAATTTATGAATGAATAAGACGCCTTTTCCATTAGTATTGAGATAACTATCAATTAAAACACTTCGGGAGGTTTGTTAAGAGTTGGTGCCCTTCCTGGTGTGTTTTTTAGGGGAGGTCATAGGTCGTGAGGGATACATTCCATTGTGTTTACTCAGAGTAATTTGTTATTTTGTTTGGGTACTTGTTTGTGGTCACATTATTTGTATATGATACAGAATAGTGTTTACAGCAAGATAAGGTATGCTCAGGTATGATGTCCATAATTTTGTTGTTGTCATCTCTTGCAGTGTAACTAAACTGAATATGATGAATGTTATTCATGGAAGAAAACCCACAGTTGACTTTTCACAATTCAACTTCTAGGTGAATTTACAGTGAATTATAGTAATGATCCAATAGATAACATAAGTCACCATCCTTTGTTCCCTACACACTTCCAACCACCCCCACACACCATCACACATGCCCTCACACACTCCCAACCACCCCCACACACTCCCAACCACCCCCACACACCATCACATGCCCTCACACACTCCCAACCACCCCCACACACCATCACACACACCCTCACACACTCCCAACCACCCCCCCCACACACCATCACACATGGTCTCACACACTCCCAGCCACCCCCACACACCATCACACGCCCTCACACACTTCCAACCATCCTCAAACACCATCACACACGCCTGCACACATACATACCCTCACATACTATCACACCCTCATACCCTCATTACACACCATCATACACATCCTCACACACACTCTCACACACCATTACAGACACTCACTCTCATATATCATCTCACACACACTAACATCCCCACACACACCCTCACACACCATCACACTCACATCCCCACACACACACCCACACACCCTCACACACCATCACACTCACATCCCCACACACACCCCCACACACCCTCACACACACCCTCACCCCCCACACCCTTCCAGACACACCCTCACACATCCCCACACACCCTCACACCCCCACACACACCCCCACACACCATCACACATCCCCACACACACCCCCACACATCCTCACACACACCCTCACATACACCCTCACATCCCCACACACATCCCCACACACACCCTCACACATCCCCACACACACCCACACACACCCCCACACACACCCCACACACACCCCACACACACCCTCACACATCCCCCACACACACCCACACACACCCTCACATCCCCACACACATCCCCACACACACCCTCACACATCCCCACACACACCCACACACACCCTCACATACATCCTCACATCCCCACACACATCCCCACACACATCCCCACACACACCCTCACACATCCCCACACACACCCACACACACCCACACACACCCTCACATACATCCTCACATCCTCACACACATCCCCACACACACCCTCACACATCCCCTCACACACCCTCACACACCATCACAAACTATCACTCTTCATGTTAGGTATATAATTGTAATGCTTTTCTACTTTTTGTCCCTTAAGAATTAACCTTGTCTAATCTAGCTGATCACTGATATCAGTTAACCAAACAGGCCTGTATACCTGGGGAGAACACTTTTCACCTGGCCAGTATACCTCGGGAGAACACTTTTCACCTGGCCTGTATACCTCGGGAGAACACTTTTCACCTGGCCTGTATACCTGGGGAGAACACTTTTCACCTGTATACCTCGGGAGAACACTTTTCACCTGGCCTGTATACCTGGGGAGAACACTTTTCACCTGGCCTGTATACCTGGGGAGAACACTTTTCACCTGGCCTGTATACCTTGGGAGAACACTTTTCACCTGGCCTGTATACCTGGGGAGAACACTTTTCACCTGGCCTGTATACCTGGGGAGAACACTTTTCACCTGGCCTGTATACCTGGGGAGAACACTTTGAGAACACTTTTCACCTGGCCTGTATACCTGGGGAGAACACTTTTCACCTGGCCTGTATACCTGGGGAGAACACATTTCACCTGGCCTGTATACCTCGGAAGAACACATTTCACCTGGCCTGTATACCTGGGGAGAACACTTTTCACCTGGCCTGTATACCTGGGGAGAACACTTTTCACCTGGCCTGAACACTTTTCACCTGGCCTGTATACCTGGGGAGAACACTTTTCACCTGGCCTGTATACCTGGGGAGAACACTTTTCACCTGGCCTGTATACCTGGGGAGAACACATTTCACCTGGCCTGTATACCTGGGGAGAACACTTTTCACCTGGCCTGTATACCTGGGGAGAACACTTTTCACCTGGCCTGTATACCTGGGGAGAACACTTTTCACCTGGCCTGTATGCCTCGGGAGAACACTTTTCACCTGGCCTGTATACCTGGGGAGAACACTTTTCACCTGGCCTGTATGCCTCGGGAGAACACTTTTCACCTGGCCTGTATACCTGGGGAGAACACTTTTCACCTGGCCTGTATACCTCGGGAGAACACTTTTCACCTGGCCTGTATACCTCGGGAGAACACTTTTCACCTGGCCTGTATACCTGGGGAGAACACTTTTCACCTGGCCTGTATGGGGAGAACACTTTTCACCTGGCCTGTATACCTGGGGAGAACACTTTTCACCTGGCCTGTATACCTGAGAACCTGGGGAGAACACTTTTCACCTGGCCTGTATACCTGGGGAGAACACTTTTCACCTGGCCTGTATACCTCGGGAGAACACTTTTCACCTGGCCTGTATACCTGGGGAGAACACTTTTCACCTGGCCTGTATACCTCGGGAGAACACTTTTCACCTGGCCTGTATACCTGGGGAGAACACTTTTCACCTGGCCTGTATACCTGGGGAGAACACTTTTCACCTGGCCTGTATACCTGGGGAGAACACTTTTCACCTGGCCTGTATACCTGGGGAGAACACTTTTCACCTGGCCTGTATACCTGGGGAGAACACTTTTCACCTGGCCTGTATACCTGGGGAGAACACTTTTCACCTGGCCTGTATACCTGGGGAGAACACTTTTCACCTGGCCTGTATACCTCGGGAGAACACTTTTCACCTGGCCTGTATACCTCGGGAGAACACTTTTCACCTGGCCTGTATACCTGGGGAGAACACTTTTCACCTGGCCTGTATACCTGGGGAGAACACTTTTCACCTGGCCTGTATACCTGGGGAGAACACTTTGAGAACACTTTTCACCTGGCCTGTATACCTGGGGAGAACACTTTTCACCTGGCCTGTATATTCATCAACGTTCACTGGTTATCTGGCTAATTGATTTGTGGGTACACTTTTAGGAGTTAAGAGATACATTTTTCCAGTTATAAATACCACAAAACCACATACAACATGCACACACAGGATTAAAGTTTTGAGCGCCTTCTTTGATGTGGTTAAGTTTAATCATCGAACCAGTTTTTCTCATTTTGTGGAGTTTGTAATATATTTTCATTACTTCCAGCTTGTTATAGTGTAGTAATGCTGTATCAAGGATTTCTGTGGATCAGAGGTTGCTGTTACCTGTGAAGAAGTTTTCTATCAAATAGCTGAGAATTTCTCGCCTGTTATGTATACCCAGTTTAGAATATACTGTGTTAATTTATAACGATACCTAGACATCTTCTTATTGGCACTTTATATATATAACAAAATGGGGATGGGGTGGGTCAGTAATGGGATGGATGTGTTGTATTTTATCTATACTCAAACAACAAAGGTAGGTTAGGGTACAGATAAGTATTCTTTGCATGAAAAATAGATTTATTTTGATGAAAAATTAACATCTGACATGGTGACTTGTCAAGTACTTATATATTTTGTTTTATTAGGGACCATATGTTGTTTTTTATTAATTTGAAATTAAATTTTCAGGTATTATTGGATCGATGCCAGAACCAGCGTAAATGTTTTGTGGTGGCCAGCACCGACACATTCCGACAGGACCCCTGTCCTCGTACATCAAAGTACCTCAAAGTTTCCTACAAATGTAACCCAGGTAAGTCCCTGGGACCCCTGTCCTCGTACATCAAAGTCCCTCAAAGTATCCTACAAATGTAACCTAGGTAAGTCCCCGGGACCCCTGTCCTTGTATACCAAAGTACCTTAAAGTATCCTACAAATGTTACCTAGGTAAGTCCTCGGGACCCCTGTCCTTGTATACCAAAGTACCTCAAAGTATCCTACAAATGATACCTAGGTAAGTCCTCGGGACCCCTGTCCTCGTACATCAAAGTCCCTCAAAGTATCCTACAAATGTAACCTAGGTAAGTCCCCGGGACCCCTGTCCTTGTATACCAAAGTACCTCAAAGTTTCCTACAAATGTATCCCAGGTAAGTCCCCGGGACCCCTGTCCTTGTATACCAAAGTACCTCAAAGTTTCCTACAAATGTAACCCAGGTAAGTCCTTGCAACCCTTGTCACAGCAAATAAGAGTACCTGGTAACCCGGGTAAGAACATGTCGTCATGAGCAATGTGACTCTGTGATTTTGGTTTATAATGGTAGTTAGATAGATTTGGTTGGTTAGACTTTTTCATCTCAGTGACTCTATAATCCAGCTGCTAGGTGTTGTTTCGCAGACCAATATCAGTGTTCTGGTGATTGGGTAGGTTGAAAACTTGATACCTTATTCAGCAACATGTCCTCACTCTCACAAAAACCTATTCACTGATACCTTATTGGGTGACCTCTTTATAGTGTTTTAACAAGGTGAGACAACTCTACTCTATACTGTTGGTCTGTTGTATAAATTCTTTGTCAGTTTTCACTTCCTGTGATTCTGTGTAATTGGAATGTGTATAGCCTCTTGCTTTGTACCAGAAAACTGTACAAACTGACTTAAGATAAAACATTTTTTACGTGATTTTAATTGAAGTGAGATAAAGATAACCGTTGATAGTTTTGTCTCCATAGCAAAGTGTACTACATGACTTTCTGGAACACATGTTAGGTCACACTCCTTAAATAGTGCTAAAAATAAAATGTATAGTGTGCAGGGGTAATTATCACATGGGGTAGCATCTGGTGTAAAATATGACATCAGATGTAAATTGACAAGAGCTCCCTTTTGGATGGTAAATACCCTGTAGTACAGATGGTACACAGAGATGAGATGGATGGATGCAAGGGATTGGGGAAGCAGTGGCAGGGGTCTCATGCCACACGGGTTCAGGGCATGGTTAGCTTTTAGTGTAAAAGTTTCTTTAACCACCAAGCATTCTCACTGATATAGGGATGTATCTTAATGTGTGTAGCATATTACTTTGGTGGCAATTTATAAATGTTTGAAAAAAAAATCAATTGTCTTCAGTTTTCAAAGGTGATTATATAATTAACAGCAGGGAGTTTTACTTTGTCTCTATACAAAAAGATTTGGTCTTTGTTTAGTTTGTTAAAACAACAATAATCGATATAATTTGTGAAGTTCTCTTTAAGTTAACTAGGCATTCACTGATGTTCATGGGGGCTTGTAGTGTTATTGTGTTAAAGTGTGTCTGGTGTAGACTGCTAATGTCTCCACCTCCCTCCATCACTTGTGGAGAACTCCATGAAAAAGAAAGCAAATACATTTTAATTTACCTATTATTTGGTCTTTTGAAGTAGAAAATTTGAACTGACACATTGATCTTTGCACATGGCCATGCATAATTGAAAAGGGAACATTTACTGTGATGAAAGCAATGCTGGCATTTATGGGTGTTACTATCAGACTTACAGAGGAGAAATATCATGGGATGTAGGATAAAAAGCAGTCTGATTTGTGTTCCGTTATGACAGGAATGACAAGAGAAATGCCTGCCATCTAGGTCAACTGTCATGGGATTGTTACAGGTCTCCATGGTGATCTGAAGAAGAACAAAGAGTCCAGGACAACAAGCATTTCTTTAACTTCACAAAAATTTTCTGTTTAAGAGGGTAGGATTCAAAGTGAAAGTGTCATGGCTATGGTACTGTTGTATGCCTTTGATGTGGTTTTACTGTTGTTTTATAGTTGCTGGTGAGTTGATTACTGTTGATAAATTACAGACTTGATGAAAATAGCTGCCAGCCATGATTCAGCTATGAATCAGCAATTAATCAGGTTCCTACATAAAAGCCTGACTTCTAACTAAAACATTTCTTAAATTATTAAACAAGAATTAATCAATTTTTGATGGTTTGAAAATGATATGTGAATAAAACGATTTAACACTGTTCTTTGTGTGGAAGTTAAAGAAAAAACGCCTTTACTTGTTCACGTTTTTATGGACTTTGAGCAAATTAAGTTGTCAAAGTTTGGCTGATTGTTGTGATCTTGTCCCTTTGCGTGTAAGGAGACACGACAACCCTTAACTGTTGTACTCTTTTCAATGACAAATAGAACTTATATAGAGTAAAACTAGAGAACTTGTAAATTGATGTCTTATTGAAACAACTTAATCACCCAGAATTAAATAATCATTTACAGCATTTTTGTGTCATCATATTGGGCTTTAAGTATCTGGTATAAGAAAAACACCACACCACCAGGGCTATATAAATCTCACTTTGTCAAAAATGTCAGAAATTTAATTTCATTATTCAAAACATTGTAATTAGGCAGTGACACATGTAACTTATAGAACACAAAATTGATGTACTGTATAATCGGGAAGGAATTCTAATTTAATTGAAATCAGATTATTTTGTATTTTAATTAAATTTAATACAAGCTAAATATGATTTGAATATTATAAAATATCTGGCTTCATAGGTATGTACATAGGTATGTAGTTGTCTTATATTGTATCAAGCTTATGTGACACTGTAAGATTACAAAATGGCAATCAATTTTTTTATCAGAAGAATGAAGAAAATAGTGGAAGAATTACTAGTAATGTAGAGTATATAGTTGTTATTTTATAAATACAATTTAGACCATCAAGTGGCTGGGATGATACAGAAGTAAAAATGCAAACATCAATGGGTGTAATAGGATATTATAGAACTATTGGTAATGGGCAGATATGACCCCCTCAACAGTAGATATGATCTTTCAACAGTAGAAATGACCCTCTCAACAGTAGATATGACCCCTCAACAGTAGATATGACCTTTTCAACTGTACATAGGATCCCCACCCCCTCAACATTAGATGTAACTTTCTCAGTAGTTGTTATGACTGCCATAGCAGTAGATATGACCCCCACAACAGTAAATGTGGCCTCCTAAGCAGTAGATATGACCCGTTCAACAGTAGATGTGTCCCCCTAGACAGTAGATGTGTCCCCCTAGACAGTAGATGTGTCCCCCTGGACAGTAGATGTGTCCCCCTAGACAGTAGATGTGTCCCCCTAGACAGTAGATGTGTTCCCCTGGACAGTAGATGTGACCCCCTGGGCAGTAGATGTGACACCCTTGACAGTAGATATGACATCCTTGACAGTAGATGTGACACCCTTGACAGTAGACGTGACACCCTTGACAGTAGACGTGACCCCCTAGACAGATGTGACACCCTTGGATGTGACACCCTGGACAGTAGATGTGACACCCTGGACAGTAGATGTGACCCCCTAGACAGTAGATGTGACACCCTGGACAGTAGATGTGACCCACTGCACAGTAGATGTGACCCCCTAGACAGTAGATGTGACACCCTGGACAGTAGATGTGACCCGCTGGAAAGTAGATGTGACACCCTTGACAGTAGATGTGATCCCCTAGACAGTAGATGTGACACCCTTGACAGTAGAAGTGACCCCTAGACAATAGATGTGTCCCCCTGGACAGTAGATGTGACACCCTGGACAGTAGATGTGACACCCTTGACAGTAGATGTGTCCCCCTGGACAGTAGATAAACATTTAAATGTTTGGAATACTTCATTATTAATAGAAAATGTCCATTGAAACAACATAAAAATGTATACCTGCTATCAGTTCCAGACATCTTTAATGAAACTTGATGTATATTAAAGGTATGACAATAACTGTGCAATTACTAGGGAAATGGAGGAGCTGGAATAGAGTTAGAAAGTCAATACCAGTCTACATTCGGTATAGAGTAGAACTCCCTGTGGGGCATCTGTGTCTGTATAGACAAGAGAAGTAATGGTTTGTGATGATGGAAACAGTGATGGTGTTTTAATGTTAATGTTTGGTAGGGGAAGGTGGAGTATTGACATACAGAAAGTATATAGCTTATAGACATACACAGCCAATTAATCCCTAATGAATAAAATATCAATTTGAAAAGAGTTTGCACAAACCAAGCATTTTTCAACAGAAATTTTCACTCCAACTGAAATTCAATTACAAATCTGCCTTAAAATGATTAGAGATTGGTGTGCCAGGTGATAGACAGAACATGTAAGCAGACATATTGGTTTAGGAAATGATGGTGACATGTCTAAATTCAGACAACTGTTTACCAAATGTCATGGCTGTTATCATTACTTTGTCTGGAGTATGAGGCTGAAATAACTGGTAATGACATGGTGAGTTTATCTAGATTAGAAATTTGATTCTTCCTGAAGGTCAGTCACTATTTATATGGCCTTGAGTCTAGTAAAAGTCAATTACTGTTACTGTGACCTTGAGACTAGTGAAGGTCATAGTCAATCTCTGTTACTCATGGTTTCTATGTCTACAACCATGTTTATACAATCAACATCCTGGTTTCTTGAGGATAATTGTGGATTGTTAATCTACTGAATTCTTGGCTTGTTACTCTGGTTTAGACATCTAAATGGAAACACTTCTGAACATGTGATAAAGGAAAATGGATTTGGATGGATTTATTGATATAAGATCTTGTGATTGAAGCGGTCAGATCGTTCTTGTTAATGATCAGTGTTTAAACATTACTTTATTTTTCATGAAGCATTAAGTTGATATTTCTAAGCTAGCAATGGTCGGTGAAATTCTGCATATTAAAATTGATTGCTAATCAATAATCCAAGATGGCTAATAGTTAGCTATCTTGTATCTGGATAGTTCAAACAAGTTTCAGCACTATTTCTATGAAAAGCTGGAGAGAAATCTCTTAAAAATTTGCAAATATATTCTTTATACTAAGATTTCAATAGTTTATTTTGAAAAAGATCAAAACAACAAGCTGGTTGACAGGTGGCAATTTTTGGCTGTCTACTGTATGTAAACTTTCTACATTTCAAACTTCTTATCAAGTTCAGCAGGATTAAGCTGAAATTTACCTAAAATGATCCTGAGATGGCCTTGACTAAGTGTTATCATTTTTCAGGTTGATCCATAATTCAATATGGTCACACTTATTGCCATCTTGAAAATCACATTTTAAACTTCTTCTCAAGTTTCACTGTGCAATGGAGCTGAAAATTGAAATTCAATATGGTCACACTTGCTGCCATCTTGAAAATTACATTTTAAACTTCTTCTCAAGTTCCACTGTGCACCGGAGCTGAAAATTGATGGGAATGTTAAGGAAGGGAAGCCAATAAAGTGTTGTTATTTTTCAGCCTCATCAAAAGTTCAATATGGTATCCATGGCAGCTGTGTTGTAACATGATTGCGCAATCATGATTTCACAGGACAACACTAAAACTTCTTCTCAAGCTCCAACAGTGGGATTGAGCTGCAACATGCCTGAAATGATTCTGAAATGGTCTTGACCAAGTGTTGTTTTTTTTTGGTGGTTGGTCCAAAATCAGTTATGGCTAGCATCTGATAAACATGTTTTTAAACTTTTTAAATCCACAGGTGCTATGGAGCTGAAATTTTGTGTGAATGTTGAGAAACTGACGTTAGGAGTGTTTTTTTCCTTTACTGCTAAATATTTTGAACTGTTTTTATCATTTAAATAACTGTTCTACTACTACTGTTAGACTTTGTGTAGTTTTATATAAAAAGGCCATTAAGGCAAACTAACCTCTTGTTGGAGCTTTCAGAGATCTTCCAGTTCAAGTTTCTTACTATTTCTGAGAGAGTCGGTGCCACATGGAACCAATTCAAAAGGCTATATGTGAATGCAGACACAGTGATATACCTAGATTCTTCAAAGATCTAATAAAGAAATCTTTTTAGGAAAGCATAACCTTACCAGTTAAAAATTTAGAAAAGAATTATTGAGTTCTACAAATTTGCAGTAGTATATTACACACAGAATAGCTGCTCTTTGGCTGCTGAGCTGGCATGAAATTGAAAGTGTTTAGAGGGACATTGGCAATCATCATCTGAAACATCACTGGGCCGGATTATATCAAGTTTTATCAGGGGGAAAGGCAGTGTGATTGATGTAACAGATAGTTCCTATTCAGTTTTGGCGTTGCGCCCATCTACAAGTCACATCTAGCCATATGTTGTTCCTGTAATATCAGGATAAATGTTTTTATAGGGAAAATTATATTTTTGATTTTTGTGGAATTGAGAGATGAAAATCTGCTGTCTTGTGATCTAAAAATGCCTCAACTGCATTTAAAATGTGTTAATGAGATTAACAACTTCAGACAGGAGAATTTCTTGTCTAAAATCCATACTTAAGGATGCTGTTGTATTTCCTATTTGAAGCTACTTACTGTGAACAATTCAATTTTACTGCATTATCACTTTAGGCAAATTGAAGAAATGAGAAATTAGCTCATCCACAATAACTGCTTTGTAAACAACATTTAGAAACTGCAATTAGTGGAATCAGGTGTTGGCTAAGAAATGTTTAGCTTAAAAAGCACTGAAAATTAGATTGGTACCTTGTACAATACTTGAAAAATAAAGTAGAACTTTACTGAATTTGTTGAAATTTGAAAAATACTTGAAGAGCTTTCCTCCTTTCTTTGAGAAAATTCTAGACACAATGTACAAGTTGTATATTATACAAAGGTGTAGTAGTGAGGTCATTGATGGGCTGGGTTAGTTCTAGACCTCCGTTTAATGAAAGGAGACACGAGATAAAGTACAGTTATACTATTTACGTAATAGGATGCTGAATCATCAAAGTTTCAGAATATTACATCACAATACTCGAATCGTGTCAAACTATAAAATCTATCTTTGTCAAGTATTGATTTTCTGGCATGCTGCATTGTGCTGCAATTTAGGTCATTTTGAGATTACAGTGTTGATATGGGAAAAGCAGCCATGTTTTGCCATGAGCATATGTTTTTCTAAAACTATATTTTGTTCCTGAAAAAAAATTTTTAGAAACAGTCTACATTATTCAATAGAAAACGAAATAACTGTTGAACAGTAATAACAGTCAAGGGAGCTGTAAGGTTTCTGATTGTGAACCTAGTTTCTTGAATATGTAGATGATTTTCAGGGTCTCGCATATATTCTCAGCCTGTATTACCGTTAACATGGTTTGGAAAGAACAGAAAGCTTTTTGATGATGTTCGGTCACAGAAAACTTCTGGAATTAATGTAAGGTATTGATTTTGTCTTCATGATAAAACATGGAGCTTCATTCTCTGTATTAGGACTGGACTTGGATCTTTGGTACTTCAGACAATTTATACTTTGATCATTCAAAGATACTTTTGCACCAGCTTTTCTTTATTCCTTAATAGAGAAGGAATTTTAAATGAAATCACAAAGTGACCTTTGAATTATATGGTTACCATACTAACCAGACAACATGGATTTTAGGAATAAAGATGGTTTCCATGGTAAGAGAGTTGGAATCACTCTCAGTGGTACATATCTGAGTAGCCCGTGACAGTCTAATTGCATTGGAACATGGCAAAAATGCATAACCAAAGCTTTGTAGCATGTTTACAGTAGTTTCTGCTTAAACCTTACCTAGCCTGTACTATGTTGTAAATCCTCACTCTCTTGGCCCATAGTCTACATAGCTGAATTTTTGTACAATGTGTGGAAATCTAGAAGTACAAGGGATTCAATTTACTCTTATAGATTTAGTATTGTGAAAGATTTGCTCTCTAACCCATCTCCTCTCCCTTCCAGCCCCAATATCTCTCCCTTCCAATGCCAATATATCTCCCTTCCAGCCCCAATATCTCTCCCTTCCAATGCCAATATATCTCCCTTCCAGCCCCAATATATCTCCCTTCCAATGCCAATATATCTCCCTTCCTACCACAATATATCTCCCTTCCTACCACAATATCTCTCCCTTCCTACCACAATATATCTCCCTTCCAGCCTCAATATATCTCCCTTCCTACCACAATATCTCTCCCTTCCTACCACAATATCTCTCCCTTCCTACCCATCTCCTTTCCCTTCTTTTCATCCTTTCAGTTCAAACTAGATTTAATGAGCTTAGTCTGATTAAGATCACATTATAATACTTTATGCATGGGAGTGCTCCATGAGGCAATTTTATCAGTATGATATTACCAAATAAATTATGTCATATTTTTCAGACAATTTTACGAACCAGACTGTTTGTCAGGGAGAACAGCTTACCATTACTTGCCAGAAATCCACAAGAATTGTTATATACTCAGCGCTGTTTGGACGCGCATCCGAAGACAGTTCATTATGTTCCTCAGGCACCAGCACAACATACGCAGGTATGGTACCCTTACTGGTCAGAACTCTAGATTAATTCAGGTTAAAAGATTTACAAGAATTTGTCTTTACTTATAACATCCAATGTATGAGGTCTGGGCTTTTATTTTGACAATGTTATTAAGCAGATTGGGATGCTATTGTCAAATTAAGTTGGTGATAGGCTTTACCAATGCCTGCTCTTGAACATAGTCAAAAGTATCATATATATATATAAGCTTTGTTCATGTATGTGCATCCATCTGTCTGTCTGTTTGTCCGGTAGTTCTGCTGCATGTCTCATTGTTGGATGTTTGGACTAAAGACATGGTTTGTAGGTACATTACCAAAAGGAACTGTTTACATACCAATCTGAAGTCATGAAAATTATATATCTGATAATACCTCTGTTTATCCTGCAATAAGTCCAGGGGTCAACACATTACTTCTGACTCAATGTCAGGGGGTGGGCTTATTACAGGACTCCAGGTGTCCAGGCATTACTTCTGACACAAAGTCATGGAGTGGGTTTTTAACAGGACCTCTGAGGGTCAACATATTACTTCTGAACCAAAGCCAAGAGGTGGGCTTATTACAGGACCTCTTATGGTGAACACATTACCTCTAACTCAAAGTCGGAGGTGAGAGAGAGATACATGTACTGTTTAAGAAAGTGAAGAACATGATGATAAAGTGAAAAGGATTGTAGAAGATTGAATCTTATAAGCTGAAATAAAGGTATTATATGAGGAGAAGAAATAGAAAGCAGCCCTATGTTGAGATGAGGGACATAGAGTTTAAGAATGGGACAGCAGTGTGGGAGGAGGTACATCAAGTACCTGTGGTAGTAGAGAATTACACAATGTGGGTGGCAAGGTTAGTAAGAGCAAATGACCTAGAGGTCTCTGATTAGGATATTGTCTTGAGGTTTTTACCTGCATTTTAATACTAGAGAGTAATGATGATTATCATTTTAATATGACAAAGTGTTTGTCAGTAATGATGAATGATTGTTAAAATAGATGGAATTGTGTGTGTGGAGTATGTACAGAGGAATGTTTCAAGTATCCATCACCCTGAAACATTAGAGTCTATGTGATACTATTAGGCTGGTATGTAATTATTGAATGATGGATAACATAGAGAAAGAAATAGACATGTTTTCATATTTTACACCTTCTTGCATATTTATACCTTGAGGGAGTGTATGGGAAAGGGTGTAAATTAGCTAGAAAGGGCAGACAGGTTTTTTTGAGAATCTTTTTATCTAGATCCTGGAAAGAAAACTTAATGATTTGCTTGCTGGCATTGATACCTTACTTGTGTTTGCCAAAAACAAGTGTAGGTTTTGAATACTGCCAGCTTCACCCCTAGAGAGACTTTCAGGTTCCATCTGTTGTTAGTGATACCATCAGTATAACACAACTAATCAAGTCTTCCTGCTATCTTCACCTCTAGGAACCATATCCAATCCCATTTGGGGATCTAATGTTGGCTTTTAAAATGGAGAGCATGTGACTTGAACAGTAGGCCCATACAAAATTGTGTTTCAGAGTCTATTTTAAAGGTTAACTTTGTACAACAGATGGGAAACACTTTGTACTACAGATAGGAAACACTTTGTACTACAGATAGGAACACTTTGTACTACAGATAGGAACACAGCAGACATCATTAGATGATTTTTATTTGTTTACATAGTTTGCAGATCTCGGACTGCTGTAGAGGAAATTATGTCCCGTTGCCATGGCCGCAAACGTTGTGCAGTAGAGGCAGAAGAGTATGTCTTTGGTAACCCCTGTCCTCCAGGAATTCCGAAATACCTCAATGTTGTTTATACTTGTGGTAAGTAAGGTGAAGGTCATAATATCTACAATACTGTAATTATGTCATAACTGACAACTTGGACCAAAGTGACCACCAAACTAGTCTACCCAATGGTAATGTCAAGGTCATAATATCTACAATACTGTAATTGTGTCATAACTGACAACTTGGACCAAAGTGACCACCAAACTAGTCTACCCCATGGTAATGTCAAGGTCATAATATCTACAATACTGTAATTATGTCATAACTGACAACTTGGACCAAAGTGACCACCAAACTAGTCTACCTCATGGTAATGTCAAGGTCATGATATTAAGAATACTGTATTTATACCAAAACTCATCAGTCAGGTCTTAGTTACCTGTGAACTATTTGACTCCAAATGTTCATAAAGTAAGATCAAGGTCGTTACCTGAATACTGTAATGTCATAATGAAGTGTCATATCAATATGACAACTTTACCAGTCTTTCCCCAAGGACAAGATCAAGGTCGTTACCTGAATACTGTAACGTCATAATGAAGTGTCATATCAATATGACAACTTTACCAGTCTATCGCCAAGGACAAGATCAAGGTTGTTACCTTAATACCGTAATGTCATGAAGTGTCATATCAATATGACAACTTTACCAGTCTTTCCCCAAGGACAAGATCAAGGTTGTTACCTTAATACCGTAATGTCATGAAGTGTCATATCAATATGACAACTTTACCAGTCTATCACCAAGGACAAGATCAAGGTTGTTACCTTAATACCGTAATGTCATGAAGTGTCATATCAATATGACAACTTTACCAGTCTTTCCCCAAGGACAAGTCAAGGTTGTTACCTTAATACCGTAATGTCATGAAGTGTCATATCAATATGACAACTTTACCAGTCTTTCCCCAAGGACAAGATCAATGTTGTTACCTTAATACCGTAATGTCATGAAGTGTCATATCAATATGACAACTTTACCAGTCTTTCCCCAAGGACAAGATCAAGGTTGTTACCTTAATACCGTAATGTCATGAAGTGTCATATCAATATGACAACTTTACCAGTCTTTCCCCAAGGACAAGATCAAGGTTGTTACCTTAATACCGTAATGTCATGAAGTGTCATATCAATATGACAACTTTACCAGTCTATCACCAAGGACAAGATCAAGGTCGTTACCTGAATACTGTAATGTCATAATGAAGTGTCATATCAATATGACAACTTTACCAGTCTTTCCCCAAGGACAAGATCAAGGTTGTTACCTTAATACCGTAATGTCATGAAGTGTCATATCAATATGACAACTTTACCAGTCTTTCCCCAAGGACAAGATCAAGGTTGTTACCTTAATACCGTAATGTCATGAAGTGTCATATCAATATGACAACTTTACCAGTCTATCACCAAGGAGATAATTATCCCAATTAATCTAGGGACGTGGAATCACATTGTCATTAGCCTATAGTTGAAATCCAAAAGAGTTGAGTTTATATAAATGGTGTTTAAGAAAATCTTAACATAACAGCCCATTTTGCATTATTCATTCAAGTCACTTTCCATCGTTGATATGGATGGGAAAAATTCCAGTTGATGTAATTTAAACTCGTTCTGTGTAGTAAAAGTTTGGCATCAGTTTTATCTCATTCATAGAAACAAAACAAAAGTTTAGATACAGGAATGTGTTACCTGTCAGTTTTTGTTGATTGACAGCTGATGTTTATTACTTTACCTGGTGTAGGTGAATCTCGTGTCAATTTCGCTTAAATTTCAGAAATAAATGTTAACATGAAAAAGTCATTAAATTGGTAAAACAGACTCAAATGAACCTTATTAACGCAATTGTCTTAACTTTTATTGGAAAACAAATAAAAAAGATTTATCAACTTGAAATATTATTATGAATGATGTTCTGAAGTAAGTGTCATGTGTGGTCCACATGTACTGAGAGGGTAATAAAACTGTTTATTTAAGAACATGTTTAGGAAACATTGCTACAGGTTGAGACAGTGTTTATAGTTAGAAAGGGATGGCAGGTTGTTAATCTGTGGCCCGCCAACAGCTGTACCAGGATGTAAACATATACTGGGTAGACCAGGTTACCAGTGGCTCTCCTACAAAATAGGTTACAGGTTTAGGGCTTTTATCGGCTAAGTTTAATGATCTAAGAAAAACAAAAACATCCCTGAAGGGAAAAAAAATGTATTTAGAACACCCACATGCTGGAGCTTTTGGCACTGCTGTGTTGACTTTGGAGAAGCCGTTTATGTGACAATGCAAACAAAGACAGATATTTAAATTGAGAGATTATGTACCAGCATGTGGGCTCCTTAGGTACATTTATGATTAGATCTTCATGTTGTGTAAAAGTAAGAACGAGAAAGGAAAACAGGAGGAAAACATGAAATAGAATGTAGAGAGATGAATATAGAACTAAAGGAATTTAAAAATAGAAGGCGCATAAAATAGAAATTAGAGATGGACATCAAACTACAGGAAGTAAAGGAAAAGTGTAAAATAGAAAGTAGAGATGGACATCAAACTACAGGAAGTAAAGGAAAAGTGTAAAATAGAAAGTAGAGATGGACATCAAACTACAGGAAGTAGAGGAAAAGTGTAAAATAGAAAGTAGAGATGGACATCAAACTACAGGAAGTAGAGGAAAAGTGTAAAATAGAAAGTAGAGATGGACATCAAACTACAGGAAGTAAAGGAAAAGAGTAAAATAGAAAGTAGAGATGGACATCAAACTACAGGAAGTAAAGGAAAAGTGTAAAATAGAAAGTAGAGATGGACATCAAACTACAGGAAGTAAAGGAAAAGTGTAAAATAGAAAGTAGAGATGGACATCAAACTACAGGAAGTAAAGGAAAAGTGTAAAATAGAAAGTAGAGATGGACATCAAACTACAGGAAGTAGAGGAAAAGTGTAAAATAGAAAGTAGAGATGGACATCAAACTACAGGAAGTAGAGGAAAAGTGTAAAATAGAAAGTAGAGATGGACATCAAACTACAGGATGTAGAGGAAAAGTGTAAAATAGAAAGTAGAGATGGACATCAAACTACAGGAAGTAGAGGAAAAGTGTAAAATAGAAAGTAGAGATGGACATCAAACTACAGGAAGTAGAGGAAAAGTGTAAAATAGAAAGTAGAGATGGACATCAAACTACAGGAAGTAGAGGAAAAGTGTAAAATAGAAAGTAGAGATGGACATCAAGCTACAGGAAGTAAAGGAAAAGAGTAAAATAGAAAGTAGAGATGGACATCAAACTACAGGAAGTAAAGGAAAAGTGTAAAATAGAAAGTAGAGATGGACATCAAACTACAGGAAGTAGAGGAAAAGTGTAAAATAGAAAGTAGAGATGGACATCAAACTACAGGAAGTAGAGGAAAAGTGTAAAATAGAAAGTAGAGATGGACATCAAACTACAGGAAGTAGAGGAAAAGTGTAAAATAGAAAGTAGAGATGGACATCAAACTACAGGAAGTAGAGGAAAAGTGTAAAATAGAAAGTAGAGATGGACATCAAACTACAGGAAGTAGAGGAAAAGTGTAAAATAGAAAGTAGAGATGGACATCAAACTACAGGAAGTAGAGGAAAAGTGTAAAATAGAAAGTAGAGATGGACATCAAACTACAGGAAGTAGAGGAAAAGTATAAAATAGAAAGTAGAGATGGACATCAAACTACAGGAAGTAAAGGAAAAGAGTAAAATAGAAAGTAGAGATGGACATCAAACTACAGGAAGTAAAGGAAAAGAGTAAAATAGAAAGTAGAGATGGACATCAAACTACAGGAAGTAGAGGAAAAGTGTAAAATAGAAAGTAGAGATGGACATCAAACTACAGGATGTAGAGGAAAAGTGTAAAATAGAAAGTAGAGATGGACATCAAACTACAGGAAGTAAAGGAAAAGTGTAAAATAGAAAGTAGAGATGGACATCAAACTACAGGAAGTAGAGGAAAAGTGTAAAATAGAAAGTAGAGATGGACATCAAACTACAGGAAGTAGAGGAAAAGTGTAAAATAGAAAGTAGAGATGGACATCAAACTACAGGAAGTAAAGGAAAAGTGTAAAATAGAAAGTAGAGATGGACATCAAACTACAGGAAGTAGAGGAAAAGTGTAAAATAGAAAGTAGAGATGGACATCAAACTACAGGAAGTAAAGGAAAAGAGTAAAATAGAAAGTAGAGATGGACATCAAACTACAGGAAGTAAAGGAAAAGTGTAAAATAGAAAGTAGAGATGGACATCAAACTACAGGAAGTAGAGGAAAAGAGTAAAATAGAAAGTAGAGATGGACATCAAACAAACTGAACAGTGAAAAGAAAATGGATGGGTGGAACACGTCATAGATAATGGTAGAAAAATGAATAGGATGGGATTGGAAATCGAAAACTGAGAAAGGGCTTTTCAGACAACAGAATATAAGTAAGAAAAATGAGATAGAGGTTAAAGAATAACCTCAGAACAATTTAGCTTAATTCTGGGTAAATTAAGGTCAACCAGTAAATTTTGAGTTTGTGATTTTTTGAAGTGTGTTTTACGTTAACATACTCAAGTGTTATAGAATGTTTGATTCTTGTAAGAAAAGTTAAGCAATAGACTTCTATTAGCAAAGTTTGTTCATAGTTGCTTAGTCTTCAGTCAGCACCCACTGACCACCTAATGTCTTCATTTTGTCAATACAAACATCCTGTAGATGTTGACACTGAATTCAGCTAAAGAATGGCATAAAACAAGAAATCATTGTTCCATTCATTGATTTGGGACATTTCTTTGAGACAGTAAGGAGTAGAGGATATAAACCATTGGGGCACATGTTTCTTATTTTCTCTCTCAGTGCCTTTCTGTTTGATGATGATGGGATTCAGGGTTTGTCTTGTACCTCTACAACCAAAAACAGCAGTGTTTTTACATGTTTTTTATTTTCTGTCTAAGTACCATTCTGTTTGACGGGTTCAGGGTTTGTCTTGTACTCTAAAACCAAAAACAGCAGTTTTTTTACATGTTTATCTGACTTCTTAAATTAAAGCACATGTTTTTTCTTCCAACTTTAATGGTTGTTAATTAACTGGACATAAACTCTGGCAGTGCATACACATTGGTCTGTTGATTAGACATGGAAATAGTCTCTCCAAATCAAATGATTAGGTCTATGTTGATAAGGATTTTATAAAACAAAATGTTAGATATCCATATTTAAATCCTGATCATTTTAGTTTATTTAAAGGTAAAGGATGGTAAGAAAATGCCGTGATAAATGCTAGACGTAGTGTAAGGCTTGGGGAAAGAGAACTTCCTAGCTCATTGGTTGAGAATAAGACTAGTAAACCAGAGGCTCCGGGTTTGATTCCTAGTGGAGGCAATGCAATAAATAATGAACTCTGGTACATTGGTGCCCATGTAGGAACCAGGTAATAGTACTTAGCCATGTCACATAGGCATCAATGTAACCTCTGGAAGCTTGAGGACATCTTCTTTCCTGATAATTACTAGCTACAACATAATGTTCAGTTAGGGAAAACTTCTCTTAAGCTCAATCAGTTGAGCATCAGACCAGAGGTTTGGGTTTGAATCATAGTGGATGCAATGGAATCAAAAATTACCTCTGTTACATGTTTGTTCCATTTATCGCCTATGAAAGCAATTGGTCATTTTAAGGTTGTGTCTCCTTGTAAATGCTGGTGGTTACCTCAATGAACAATGTATTGGATCTCTGTCGCATGCTTTTCAGAGCACTTAGGGTGTCTTACCAAAGGACACACCTATATCAGTACAGGCCAGTCCATTTCTTGAGAAACACAAATTATTACAGGTAGGAAACAAGAAACCATGCACCTGAGATCTTCACCATAGGCTCATGGTGACCTATTGCCATCATGATTTGTCTGTCGTCGTGCGTCGTTAACTTTTCACATATTCGACTTCTTCTCAAGAACCACTGAATGGATTTTGACCAAACTTGGCACAAAGCATCCCCATGAGAAGCCGCTTCAAGTTTGCAAAAAAAAAAAAAATGGCGTAGTCCCAATAGGGGCCACAGGAGGGGGAAAAGGGGAAACTTGATATGAATGTTCTACACAAGGTCCAGGCAAGTGTTTTAACTTTTTGGGGCAATTCAAAATCCAAGATGGCCACCCTGGCCTCTGATTGGCTAAGACATTTTGGACTTCCTCTCAAGTACTGCTGGGTGGATCATGTTCAAACTTCGTACTGATGTTTTACACACGGTCCTGCACAAGTGTTATTACATTTTTGCAACATTTTAAAATCCCCAGATTACTGAAATATATTCCTCAGGTGACCGTTAAGGGCCCTTGGGCCTTTTGTTATTTTTAGCATCTGTTCTAACCTATAAGAGTTTACCTTGTCTGTTTGTATTTTTGTTGGTTTGACTGTCTTGGTTTAGTTGTTTGAATACAACTTCATCTCTTTCATGTATTTGATGATGAAAAGTTTAATTAATTTACTTAGCAGTCAAGTTCAACCTTCATCAAACTTTTTTTTGTCTACATCTTCAGGATTATTACATCTGGATATGAAATATTGGTCACTGGACCTACATCTTATATCTATCAGTTGGATTATACATGCTTCTCCAATGTCTCAAATAAAGGTCACTCTAACCCCTAATTTACCAACTGTGATAAGATATCACCATTCCTTCAGATTGATGCCTGTCATTTGATGGCTTAAGGATGGCCAAGGGGTGTAAGTCAAGTAACCTATGGAATTAAGGGCCCCCGATAATCATTGGTGATCATTTATATGGAAAGGGCGTGAATTCTTAGGACCAAATGACCTTTGGTGACTTAGACAATGAGGAGGCACCTGTGGATGATCTATGGTGACCTAGAAGAAGAATGTGGAGGGGGCCCTCGTGGATTTTGCAGAATCATTGATCCTTGGTGACCTAGAAGATGAGTGTGGAGGGGGCCCTTGTGGATTTTGCTGAATCATTGATCCTTGGCGACCTAGAAGATGAGTGTGGAGGGGCCCTTGTGGATTTTGCAGAATCAATGATCCTTGGTGACCCAAATAAGAAGTGTATGGTGTACTGCTTTTCATCACTTGTCACCACAATTTGTCATCACTTTTTAATTTGACTAAGGAAAGCTTACTCACATGGTTGTTATACCTTCCTAGGGCTGTACGACAGCATCTGTATAATTAGAGCTTGTCAAATGTTGCAGGACAAGGGGTCTAAAACATAGAAAGGTTGGCCTTCATTTTCAGTATCTAAATTGACAGTAATTGGTTGTCTGGAAATGTAGACATTGGAGACAGGGTAAATTAAATCCACTTGTTAACAGTTAAAACTGTGCCCTGAGAACTGGTTAACATTACCTACTTGTGTAGTACTGATGTTTTAGTCAGGTATTTAGTAAGAATAATCAGCTTTGATGTAATGAGACATTGACATGTGTGGAATGGCAAGGCTTCCTATGTAAGAGGATCAAGGATTTAACATAAGGGAAACTCTCCACTTATTTCCTTGGTATTGTATGTACATCTAAAAGGAAGACATATCCTTAGAGGGATTGTAAATGACATGCCTTAAAAAGTCATATGATTTGTGAACGAAAAAAACTGTAAATGGATTAAAAACAGTGTTCCTGTACAGACAAAGTGAGGCTCCCCACCATCACAGACTCGTCCCTCTACAGACTGCCCTCTTCCCACAATCACACATCCTCCCTCCACAGACTCCTGCCTCCACAGACTCCTCCATCTACAGAATGCTGTCTTCCCACAATCACACATCCTCCCTCCACAGACTCCTCCTTCCACAAACTCCTCCCTCCACAAACTGCTCTATCCACAGACTCCTGCCTCCACAGACTCCTCCCTCTACAGAATGCTGTCTTCCCACAATCACGCATCCTCCCTCCACAGACTCCTCCCTCTACAGACTGCTCTCTTCCCACAATCACACATCCTCCCTCCACAGACTCCTCCCTCCACAGACTCCTCCCTCCACAAACTGCTCTATCCACAGACTCCTCCCTCTACAGACTGCCCTCTTCCCACAATCACACATCCTCCCTCCAGACTCCTCCCTCTACAGACTGCTCTCTTCCCACAATTACAGATCCTCCCTCCACAGACTCTTCTCTCCCCACCTTCACACATCCTCCATCCACAGACTCCTGCCTACACAGACTCCTCCATCCACAGACTCTTCTCTCCCCACCATCACACATCCTGCCTCCACAGACTCACATCCTCCCTCTACTGACTACTACCTCCACAGACTCCTCCCTCTACTGACTCCTCCCTCTACAGACTCCTCCCTCTACAGACTCTTCTCTCCCCACCATCACACATCCTCCCTCCACAGACTCCTCCCTCCACAAACTGCTCTATCCACAGACTCCTCCCTCCACAGACTCCTCCCTCCACAAACTGCTCTATCCACAGACTCCTCCCTCCACATACCAACACTGGTGCAAGGAAAGCTAAATAAGTCTTAGAGGCTACCCACTATCATACAGTTCCCTCTTCATACTAACACCCTATATGGTGCCAGGACAGCTTAATTAGTCCTGAGAGGCTTCCTACCATTATACATCACCCTCTTCATACTAACACCATATATGGTGCCAGGACAGCTTAATTAGTCCTGAGAGGCTTCCTACCATTATACATCACCCTCTTCATACTGACACCATATATGGTGCCAGGACAGCTTAATTAGTCCTGAAAAGCTTCCTACCATCACTCATCCTCCCTCTACATACTGACACTGGTGCCAGGGAGGCTAAGTTTGCCTTAAGAGCACTTCCCTACCATTATACATCACCCTCTACATACTGACACTGTATCTGTCGACAGAAAGGCTAAATTAGTCCCAAGAGGCTCCCTACCATTATGCATCCTCCCTGTACATAAAGTTGCATTGTAGGCTTAGACAAGAGGAAGGAAATAAATAAATAAACAAACTGACCTTTTACTGCTCTGAACTAATGGACTAAGCCTAATCTTTATTTCTTTATAACGGGTTGAAAGTGTAGTGTAAGAAATCAATATTGAAATGTGTGTGTGTGTATGTGTCATGGATTGCTCACTGATTCTCTTCACTTTTACTTGTTTCAGTTCCTAAACGAATATTAAAAGAAAACAGTCGACATCATCATAAGAAGAAGAAAAAGAAAAAGAAGCCGTCAACAAATGTGGTCAATATTGACATAGGAGACAGCGACAGCAACATTCCAAGTGACCTGACCACCTCAACAACGTCGTCTTCAATCCACAACACCATCACAAGGGCTCCAGACGTGTTCCCAGCAGGTATTACCATGGTTCTCTACTTTTATTTCTGTTATGTTACTGTTATGTCACACTAGATCTGGCCATATTCCCTACAGGTATGACCATATTCCCTACAGGTATGACCATGGTTCCCTACAGGTATTACCATGGTTCTCTACTTTTATTTCTGTTATGTTACTGTTATGTCACACTAGATCTGGCCATATTCCCTACAGGTATGACCATGGTTCCCTACGGGTATGACCATGGTTCCCTACAGGTATGACCATATTCCTTACAGGTATGACCATATACCCTACAAGTATGACCATGGTTCCCTACAGGTATGACCATATTCCCTATAGGTATGACCATATACCCTACAAGTATGACCATGGTTCCCTACAGGTATGACCATATTCCCTACAGGTATGACCATGGTACCCTACAAGTATGACCATATTCCCTACAGCTATGACCATGGTTCCCTACAGGTATGACCATGGTTCCCTACAGGTATGACCATATTCCCTATAGGTATGACCATATTCCCTACAAGTATGACCATGGTTCCCTACAGGTATGACCATATTCCCTACAGGTATGACCATGGTACCCTACAAGTATGACCATATTCCCTACAGCTATGACCATGGTTCTCTACAGGTTTGACCATGGTTCCCTACAGGTATGACCATATTCCCTATAGGTATGACCATATTCCCTACAAGTATGACCATGGTTCCCTACAGGTATGACCTTGGTTCTCTACAGGTTTGACCATGGTTCCCTACAGGTATGACCATGGTTCCCTACAGGTATGACCATATTCCCTACAGGTATGACCATGGTACCCTACAGGTATGACCATATTCCCTACAGGTATGACCATGGTTCTCTACATGTATGACTATGGTTCCCTACAGGTATGACCATATTCCCTACAGGTATGACCACGGTTCTCTACAGGTATGACCATGGTTCCCTACAGGTATGACCATATTCCCTCCAGGTATGACCATGGTTCCCTACAGGTATGACCTTGGTTCTCTACAGGTATGACCATGGTTCCCTACAGGTATGACCATGGTTCCCTACAGGTATGACCATGGTTCCCTCTAGGTATGACCATGGTTCCCTACAGGTATGACCATATTCCCTACAGGTATGACCATATTCCCTACAGGTATGACCATATTCCCTACAGGTATGACCATGGTTCCCTTTTTTAAGTCATCTGACCCAAAGGGTCCAGATGACCTATAGCCATCGTGCTTCGTCCGTCGTCGTCCGCCGTGCGCCGTCCGCCGTGCGTAAACTTTTCATTCAAACAACTTCTTCTCAAATACTAGAAGGTCTAGGGGGCTAATACTTGGCACAGAGCATACTGGCATGGAGCTCTACCAAGTTTGTTCAAATAAATGACCTTGACCCACTTTAAAGGTCACAGGGGTCAAATAACTTGTATCTAATGTCAGATGACCGTTAAGGCCCATGGGCCTCTTGTTTATGTTACATAAGAGCTGATCATCAAGCTGCTGGGTTAAAAGTTTTAGTGTTCACCTGTCTTTTTCAGTCTTCTATGTGTACAGGATAACATTGCAATGGTTTGATAACGGTATTATGTTTAAAAACAATGCCTTATACAAACTTATCACTTACAGAGAATGCCATGAGAGGGATGAACAAAATTGGTTTGTTTAACTGCAGGTTATCGCTTTCAAATAACATCATCAAGGTTATCATCATTAAGTAAAATTACCAAGGTTATCACCATTAAATCATCAAGGTTATCACCATTAAATAAAATTGTCACCTGCAGTAAATATAGATGGGCTTATCATAAGTCATCTGTGTATAAAGGGATAAAAACAACAGATAAAGTTTGTGGAGAAGAATAAAAGGATAGAGATACAATACATTTATTATCACATTAAGTAAGAAACTGTAATTCCCTGAGTTGTCTTGTTCATGAACATTTTAGATATGAACAAGCGACTACTTTCTAACATCGCAGCTTATTATTAGTTCCCTACCGGTGAAACCGTCCGTCCGTCCGTCCGTCTGTTTGTTCGGATGTTGGTTTCCAGAAACAGTTTGAAAACAGATTGATGGATTTGGATCAAACTTCATACAATGGTAGTTTATAAGGCAATATAGTGTGGGATTTTGTTTGGGGTCAAAAGATCAACTACAATGGTCACTGTTACTAAAAATAGAAATTGTTGTCACATTTTAGTTTCCGGACAATAACTTGAGAACGGATTGATGGATTTGGTTGAAACTTGATACACTGGAAGCTTATAAATAATAAAACAAGACACTTCTGATACAGAACAAGTTCTACGTTACTTGAAAAAATAATGTTTTTATTCTGCAATTAGATCATGGGGCCAACATATAAACTCGGATCCATAGTAAAGGGTTAGCTTATTGCAAACACTTAAGTAGCATATGCTTCCATTTGCTTTACAACATAACATTGTTGGGCTTATTAGCAGACATTGGCTTATTTGCTGATAAATACAGTAATTTACGGCAGGGGACATGTGTTGCATGCAACACTAACTTTAAGCTTGTTTTATACTCATTACAAATATTCTTTGTTTATAAAAGCGTTTTTTTTTTCTTTTTTTTTTTTTAATTTTAAGATGATGCAAAACAATGCGACTACTTTCTAACATCACAGCTTATCATTTTATACTCCTTACAAATATTATTGAATTTTAAGATGATGCAAAACAACCTGGGAGGAAAGGTGACCTGACTGTTGAAAAGGGAGATAACTCTAAAGAAAAGAGTGAAGACAGTGATTTGCCAAACACAACAGTGCAATGCAATAACCACACATTGAGAATCCCTGGAGCTATTGTACCCTCTACCAGTATGGAGCGTGCAGCTAGTGGCATGGTTGTTGACTGGTTCAACACATTCTACTTCTTAAGGGGTAAGCATTCACATTGCAATACAATTACTGCAAAAAACTGATATCTTAATTTAGGATGATTTTTGTTGGTAAATTTCTGAAATTCTGTGTACTTCAACATACTAAAGAGAAATACAGTGTGTATATAACTGTACCCTCTAGGGTTGCACCAGCTCCTAACTAAGAAATGGTACAGAGAAAGTAAAGTACCAATTCTGAATGGTGATAGAGGAGTAATACTTTTCAATTATCTCATAAAACATGCTAGAATAGCTCTCCCAATAGTTCACCATTATGATTAAATAGCCAATTCTGACTGGTGATAGGTTTGGACTACTGTATAGTGTGTACTATAAACATTCCCTCAGATAAAAATGTTCATTTATGCTGATTGTTAAATTCACTCCAAAGAACATTCAGACGTATAATCCAGCTACAATATCAGGAGAGGTAGACAATAGTTAAAAGGCTGTGTGGTCATTATTGTGTCATATCTGCCTGAAATATGAGAGCCAAGAGCCAGAAAATCTTATCATCCTATAAATTATCTCCAGTCTGGCAACAAAGGCCAGAAAAGTATATTACTTAATTCTATTCTTTTCATAATTTATCATTTCATCCACGAGTAAAATAGATAAAGGGAGATAATCCAAAGTGATACACTTGATGCTGTGATTTTATATACAAGGCGCAATCTTAACTTTTCAAGATTTTTTTTTGTTTCAGAGAACCACGAGAAAGCAGTGCTGTATCTAGTCCTCGGGGTTTGTTTTGGAATCATCGCCCTCCTTATAATAGTTGTGATCAAACTCATGATAAACAATCGACGCAAAAAGAAGGTGAAGCTGGATATAACTGATCCAACACATTCAAATGTGTTACCTCCTCCCAATCACTTGGACACTCCCACACTGTCACGGGCAGATTCCATAGACAGGATTGAGATTGTCAGGTTTGAACCACGATCCACACTACGTAGGGACAGAGATGCTACTCTGCGACGAGACTTTGAGTCACACATTCCTCTAAGAACTGACTTTGAGGCTGAGGACACTCTACGGAGTGATCCTGGGGACCGTACCTTAAATAATTACTATGGATGAGTCAGTGATGGGTGTTTAGCAATGTTCTACAGTTAGCTAGTACATCACAGAAAGGTAGCCACACCTTTAACTAAATGTATTGGCTGTTGTGGTCGGTCAAAGCTTGTGGTATTCCTTTGTCATTTAGTACAGATGCTGTGAATGGCTGAATCGAATGTGAGCTTGTTTATGATTGGCTGATACACGTATAACCTTTTAACCTGTGATTGACTTTGATCGGTCATTTAAGCATTTGGTGATATGATTTCCAGTGTTATATCAGGAAATGTGTTTCCTATTTGGTGCTTTAATAAATGTAGTTGTCTTGAAGTCTGGAGGTGTAAATTCATGCCTGGAGGATTTTAGTAGTAAATAAGATACAATATACAGGTACAAACTAAAGTTCTCTGTAAAACAAAAGGAAATACAGAATGCAACCTTAATCAGTGTTGTACAGAATTCAATGGTGATTTCATAAGTTCATAAATTTAATGAGCAGTGTTGATTTCATAAGATTTCATAAAATGGTATATTTTGCCACTCTTTAAGAAATATGTAAAATTTCTTTTTCAATTTTTCAAATTATCACATTTCTTTGTGATGAGGAATGGTTTCATGAATCACTACCAGGTTTTAGAAGTGTAGAGGTAGAGAAGTGATCAGTGTTGTCTCTACCAGGTACTTATTACAGAAGTATGGAGGTACAGATCTATCATAATGGCAATCTCTACCAGGTACTTATTACAGAAGTATGGAGGTACAGATCTATCATAATGGCAATCTCTACCAGGTACTTATTACAGAAGTATGGAGGTACAGATATATCATAATGGCAATCTTTACCAGGTACTTATTACAGAAGTATGGATGTACAGATCTATCATAATGGCAATCTCTACCAGGTACTTATTACAGAAGTATGGAGGTAGTGATCTGTGTTATCTCTACCAGGTACTAATTACAGAAGTATGGAGGTAGTGATCTGTGTTATCTCTACAAGGTACTTATTACAGAAGTATGGAGGTACAGATCTGTATTATCTCTACCAGGTACTTATTACAGAAGTATGGAGGTACAGATCTGTGTTATCTCTACCAGGTACTAATTACAGAAGTATGGAGGTAGTGATCTGTGTTATCTCTACAAGGTACTTATTACAGAAGTATGGAGGTACAGATCTGTGTTATCTCTACCAGGTACTTATTACAGAAGTATGGAGGTAGTGATCTGTATTATCTCTACCAGGTACTGATTACAGAAGTATGGAGGTAGTGATCTATCATAATGGCAATCTCTACCAGGTACTTACCGTATTACAGAAGTATGGAGGTAGTGATCTGTGTTATCTCTACCAGGTACTAATTACAGAAGTATGGATGTAGTGATCTATCATAATGGCAATCTCTACCAGGTACTTATTACAGAAGTATGGAGGTAGTGATCTGTGTTATCTCTACCAGGTATTTATTACAGAAGTATGGAGGTAGTGATCTATCATATTGGCAATCATCCAGCTGCCAAACCAAGAATAAATCAGAGATTTTATAATTATGTATTTTATACAGGGATCCAATTCAACATGTAGGATCAATCTTTAAGATAATTTTGAAATACCATTTTTTATGTTTCTGCCACCTGCCAATTCTGTGTAGAGGTTTACCATATATAAGCAAACAGTTAGTGCAATAACAATCAATTATTTTGTTAAGGTTATTGTATTATTTTAGAACAGGTACTTGTAGGGGTTCTACAGTACTGTAAAATATAGAACAGGTACTTGTAGGGGTTCTACAGTACTGTAAAATATAGAACAGGTACTTGTAGGGGTTCTACAGTACTGTAAAATATAGATCAGGTACTTATAGGGGTTCTACAGTACTGTAAAATATAGAACAGGTACTTATAGGGGTTCTACAGTACTGTAAAATATAGAACAGGTACTTATAGGGGTTCTACAGTACTGTAAAATATAGAACAGGTACTTGTAGGGGTTCTACAGTACTGTAAAATATAGAACAGGTACTTGTAGGGGTTCTACAGTACTGTAAAATATAGAACAGGTACTTGTAGGGGTTCTACAGTACTGTAAAATATAGAACAGGTACTTGTAGGGGTTCTACAGTACTGTAAAATATAGAACAGGTACTTGTAGGGGTTCTACAGTACTGTAAAATATAGAACAGGTACTTGTAGGGGTTCTACAGTACTGTGAAATATCAGTACAGGTGCAGGCTTACAGTACTTTTTTGGTGGTTTCACAATAGATTTAGGAGAATTTTGTTATGATAACATAGGGCATACCAAGTGTTTTTCCTTCTTCTTAGCATTAGTTACAGTTTAACTGTACAATTTCCCCATTTACATGTCTAGTTCAGTATGCAATAGAGTGAAACAAAATGGCAAACAGGGGAACTATATACAGGGGAGGTAACTCTTTTAAAAGCCTATAACATACCAAACGTGATATTACTGCATGTAGATAGTTTTGCTTGAATGTTATGTTTTTGTTAGTAATGCATTTTTACATTCAAATATGAATCCCTTTTAGCATCATCCTATTTGTCTGTCTACACTAGAACACAAAAATATCATGGTATTGTAATATTTTATCATTTATACAAATGTTGTTTTTTTATCTGAACTTGACAAGGGATTTACATATTTACATAATATTTTAATGAATATGTTTTATTTGTTCAGGTTATTATTAGCGCAGCAGTCAAATAATATCTTGATATAATAATGTGTTTCATACATTAATAATGCATCATTAAATGATTGAATCTCGTAATATACAACTGGCGTTAATTTGAACACAATCATTTTATGTTTATAGTGCTTATATATATAGTTATGTTGTAAATTACCCTTTACCAAAGGATAAAAGTGTTTTTAAAGAATTTTAAATGTACATATTTCATTTTATTAATGATAAATAAATGATACATGGTTTATCCCTTGTGATTTTTGTGAGATTCATGATTATCAATGTTTTCTACTCTCACCAGACATTGTACCAATGTGTATCATTATTATATGCGTCAAGTTCCCATCAGTATGTATACTAGACTGCTGACATGAAAGGATCACTCAGTGTCTCCATATAAAGATAGATTGACTTAAAGGAAAACTTCAAATTGAATTATTTAACAATACCTGAGAGAGTATGAAAAAATGATGAAATATACCTTGTTATATAAAACCTACAGTGTAATATGTATATTTATTATTGGTTCAGCTTCCTTTTTAAAGTCTGATAGTGGTTTATTCTGCGACTCAATGGCTGAATTTTCCTGTAGGTTTGGCAACATGTATGCATTCATATACCTGTGTAGGTCATCCATCTTTCTCCACTGATTTTTTGTCAAACTGAATCAATAAAGCATTGTTAATTGTTTTTTAAGAATCAATATGAATTATTTCAAAATTTTCATCTTTATTTCCGAGTTTCTTTTCTGTAATTAACACTGCACTGCATTACTGACGATACTGTTGTAGAAAACTGTCTCTTCTATTTAGTGGAAATATTTACATAAAGTTCTCACCACTACAAGAATTTAAATTAGATTCATATATTTGATTTGTTTGTTTGCTGGATCTATCATCCGGTAAACAGCCAGGGTCATGTTGTAGTAGATGGTGACTACCAGTCACTATCCAAAGCAATTAGGATGACGTGTCCTAACAAAGACCACAACCATGTCAGCACAGATTGGTCATTTCCTAGGATCTTAAAAATTTCACTAGTTTTAACTGAATTATTAACACATCAGTGAGATCTTCTAGTAAATATAAAAAATGCTGATTGGCTTACGGTCAAGTTTAATCTGACAAGACACATCCTTTTCTCAGCCTTTAGGAAATGGAGAACAGTATTTCAATGTGTCTCCTAAAACTTCATGGAAAAAGTATGTATATAAAACAGAATTCACCAAAGCATGGCCATGTATCACACAGAAATATTGTCACGTTTAAGGATGTCATCCTGTCGAGTATTGCCATTATACATTTGTAGAGATCAGAGTCTGTGTTCTCATTTGAAGGGTAAATATCACACAGTTAATCTGGCACCTTGTCTGTGGCCTGGTATTACAGTGATCTCCTGGTATTACAGTGATCTGTGATAGAGCCAGCCTCTGGTCAACACAGGGTACAATTTTTCCATAATCCACCAACTTACATCAATACACATGATATTTGTCAATATTTTTTTCTAAACCTACAGATAAGTAAATATTAAAGTATTGTTTATTAATGGGGTTTAAGTAGATTGCAAATCATATCATAATTGACCACCATGATGGAAAACCTATCTTCTTGCCTGGTGAAATTTCTTTTTGAAGATGCCATTTTCAAATATTGGAACATAAAAATACCATATTTATATTCTATATATAGAAACAGGATCAGACATAATGTCACACAATAACTGTGGATGTTTCTTTCAATAAGGACTAAACTTTACCATGGGAAAAACTTGTTGTATTGCAGTAAAGACTGGTTAGTTCAGCAATCAGTTTAGATGGTATGCCAAGGGGAGGTATTAATTGTAGAACTTTTAGAGTACATTGTTTTAATTTTCTTCAATAGCAGGCATAGGGTTACATTGTAGAAAACGCAACATACAAAATCAACAGGATAAGAGTTGCATCTTCACAGCTTTGGTCAGGCCTGCTTATGTAATGGTGGGAGAAATTAGCTGTAGGGCACATTCTCTCTGTTCAATTTTTTAGCAATATTTAGAATATTTTAATGAATGCAGCAAGAAAGTGTTTTATAGACATTGAAATCAGTCTAGTCATAAAGATATGTATACTTGTTGATTCATCACATTTTCTAATGTTTATTTTTGTGAGTCGACAAATATTTTACCTGTAAAAATTTGTATATATCTCAGTTTGAAGTACATGTGTATACATTTTCATGAAGTCATTTAATTTATATCTATATATATATATATATAATGCAATATTGTCCGTTTCATCTCTGAAGTTTAATTTTAGATACCTTATCATGACTTTCATATAATAAGATCTGTAACAGACATTTAATAGGACCTGTTTACTGTTATTTTCACACAGTATTTTCAATATTTTGGATGGCTTCATATGGATTGTCTCCCCTTATTTGGGTGGCTCATTCTTAGATAGAAACTCAGGTGATCAGATCAATTCTACAGAAAACAATTGGTTGATTTTCTTATTTGTCCAAATGTAAATACAGGTCTAACTAAATAAATGGCAGAACAAGGTTTAATAAATTTGTACTTAGATTTCTGCTTCAATAAAACAAAGATACTGTTAGCATGGTGTGTTCAAAATGAATAATGGCAGAATTCTGGTAATTATACCTGGGAACCTTCAGGGTAAGTGTCACTACATTAGACTTTTGTTAAGAACTTGTCACAAGTCTTCCATTATCAGTGTATTTGAAGGACAACAATCACAAACATGTAAAGGAATAACACTGGTTTGTTGTAATGTTCTATTGTGGGTAGACTTGGAACTCCATCTGGCACCAGGGATGTATATTTCTGTCTTGTAAAGATATACTGTAATGGTATGGGATATGCTGACTATAGTGCTGACAAAACTTTATTATAATTTACAGGTTTATACAGGATAATACCCTGCTAAAAGTTTTCCCACATTAACAACCTGGTCAAACCTAACATTCCACCAATTCAATTTCACCCACCTAATAAATGCAAGCTGTTGTAGAAAAAAATAACCTTGTTGAAAATATAAATCCCTTCTTGTGTTACAAGGTACAAAATATGCCCCTATATTCATGATCGTCCCACATAAAGCCCCTTCTTCCCTCTGTTCCGATGACCCCAGATATCCCTTCTACAGTGTTAGCAACACAGCCTTAACTTACATGAATGTGTTCCCTTTTTTTGTCTCTTTCCTGGTTAGAAACATGAATGTACACGGGTAACACATATACGTGTATATATGTATAGATATATATAGACGTCAGTTTATCATAAAGTCACCCATCAGTCATCATTATTTATGTTAGGTGTTTTAAAGTATATAAGGTTTTTTTCAAACTTCTCACCTATTATCAGTTATCCTTTGGAATTCCTCAATTTTTATTATTAAAACAAAAAGGAATTCAACTTATCTCTGGTTTTTTTTTCATGTTTTTTAATTCCTCAAAAATCTGGTGAAATGATATGAGCACATATCTACTAGAGGGGTTCCAAGTATTGAAAGAAATGATGTGAATTTCATTTTTGACCAAACCATATCAGACTTTGTTAACTACAAGATGTACACGAGTGTTAAGGATTTTTTTTACATGACGTATGATTAGTGTTGTGACAGTATGTTTGTATTGTAGATCTGTTGAATATAGTTTCCATGTATAACTACAATATCAAAATACTGAACAATTAAAATGGGGAAAAGACTGTTGATTGTTGTTGATTTCTTGTTTGATGTACAATTATACAGAAACCATTTCACAAACAGGTCTTCGTATTACACAGTGTTTATTGTGTGGTGGATAGATTACAGCATAATATTGTACACATACTGCCGGATCAGGATTCAGATTCACATTGAATCAAGATTCAAAAGTTTTCATGAATAATCTCAGCTCTGGTGATTCAATGCTCACAACAAACACGTAAATTTCTCATCATTATGTTTTTATTTTTCATCCTTACTTACATCCAGCAAACTACATGCTTGATTGATAATGAGTATGATTACAATGGAAATAATGGTAAACCACTTGGAATGGTGACAATGTTGTTTTCTTGTACATATATTTATAATGGACGGAATGTAGGTATTATGTAAATATAACCATATGGTCTAAAATGCCACATGTCACAATAAAATATGTGAAGAAAGGAAATCAAATGAATTTTATAGAACACAAAGTTTTGATGTATGAAATATACACTACAAAAACATGATGAAACTATAATCATTTTAACAAACAGTGATCAAACAATGTACATTAAACAATTTAATGTCACTCTCAATTAACTATCTGATTGTTATAATGTGTAGCAATAACGTCAGGTAGTCCAAGGGACATAACTCCTCGTAGAGTACACCTACAGTATACCTGTGTTCATCAGATATAATTCAAGATCTTGCGATGCACCTATAAGAATGTGTAGTTTGAAAACTATCACATAAAGATTTGAAATTATAGCCAACTTTTCTTTATAAATCTACAGTCCTCCTCCAACACAATGAGTTCAATCCCATCTGGAGTTTTTTTCATCATATGAATCTGTTGTCATTATAATTAATTTTTACAATGTCAGAAAACCTTTCTTTCTTACTTTGGAAGTAACCTGTTGATGAACAACAGATTATCAGATCTTAAAAGCAAATGTTTTGTTCAATATGCATGTAAAAGATATACACACTGATATCACCGAGGACCACCCCATTTAATATCCCGAAGCCCATTTAAGTTCCGCTTCAGTGCTCCACTGTCTGCCCACTCTTGGTCCATATAAGCATCGTCTGCTTCTGCTTGTAATTTCTGAAACAAAACAAATCAAATTATCTATGGTATTGTCATACGTGTGAAGCAACTCAAATTTAGTCCAGTGTAACCTTTGACCCTTAAAACTCTAATGGACAATGATTCAGTACATCTACAAACATCTTTCTAATCAGGTTTTTAACTTTCTACTCTGTAAACAGAAATGATGAAAATCTATAACATGCCCAAAATTCTACACACCAGCATTTGCTGTGTGACATTTGACCAATGAAGACAATGACTGATTACAGTCGGATGTAGAACCGCAATCATTACTAAAATCCATTCAGTAGCTTCAGACAACTATATTCTGATCACGCCAAAATGTTGGGTTACTAGACTCGGGTTTAAAGGTAAAATAAAAAATCAGCTGAAGGATCATGGTCCAGATATCTTGGACAAAAAAAGGGTATCCCACTCACTTTGTATTAGACAGTTAAAATCATCAACAGATCTTATGTTTTAAGGGACTTTTTCATTAGTAAAGATTGTTTCTACAGATTGAGACAAAAATGACTAATAAAAAAGTATTGGTTTATTATTTAAACGTGAACAGCTGACAAACCTTGTAGTCCTCCTGCTTTTTGTAGTAGTATGCCATCATCTTCTTCTGTTCTTCCTCACTAACCACCTGCTCTCTCTGGGGCACACCCAGGCCTCGCTGGAAACATTACCACACAACCATCATACTTATGTGGAAATTAAAACCTTGCACACAATATTTGGTGGGAGTAATGTATGATTTTCATTGATTCAGTCTTTTATCATTCAAACAATCATAAAATAGTGGTAGTCGATAGTTCATACCAGTAACTTCATTGATGAGAATCAGTCTAATTAACAGCATGCTCATATCAGTTTTAACAAGATACCAAAAAATAAATATGTATATAATTAATAAACAAAAAATCCAGAGGGTACACAAATTATTTCTTGCTGAAAGTCATTACCAGTTAAATCATTTAAATTTGTTATTTCACTGAACAGCAATACAGGTCTATGGTAGGGCTTAGTATAATGCATTGACTTGTTGTCGGATAAATAAGGTGTTTAGCTTTCCATTCCTTGAAATTCAACATTTGTATAGCCTACCTTTTGCAGCTTGGCTATGATCTTTGTTTTCTCATTTTTACCGACAAAATCCTTCAAAAGTTTCCCCCTCAACATCTCCTTGCCAGAGAACCATACTGAGGTATTGGCTTCAGGTAGCACTTCAGTTGAAGCCTAAAAAGTCAACAAAGCGATTAAATGTTTAATGTATAAGATATACACAATTAAAGAACTAGTCTGTTACTTGGTAACATTAGATACAGACCTTGAGCTAGTCTGTTACTTGGTAACATTAGATACAGACCTTGAACTAGTCTGTTACTTGGTAACATTAGATACAGACCTTGAACTAGTCTGTTACTTGTTAACATCAGATATAGACCTTTAGCTAGTCTGTTACTTGGTAACATTAGATACAGACCTTGAACTAGTCTGTTACTTGGTAACATTAGATACAGACCTTGAACTAGTCTGTTACTTGTTAACATCAGATATAGACCTTTAGCTAGTCTGTTACTTGGTAACATCTGATACAGACCTTGAACTAGTCTGTTACTTGGTAACATCTGATACAGACCTTGAACTATTCTGTTACTTAGTAACATTAGATACAGACCTTGAACTAGTCTGTTACTTGGTAACATTAGATACAGACATTGAGCTAGTCTGTTACTTGGTAACATTAGATACAGACCTTGAACTAGTCTGTTACTTGGTAACATTAGATACAGACCTTGAGCTAGTCTGTTGCTTGGTAACATTAGATACAGACCTTGTGCTAGTCTGTTACTTGGTAACATCTGATACAGACCTTGAGCTAGTCTGTTACTTGGTAACATCTGATACAGACCTTGAACTAGTCTGTTACTTGGTAACATCTGATACAGACCTTGAACTAGTCTGTTACTTGGTAACATTAGATACAGACCTTGAACTAGTCTGTTACTTGTTAACATCAGATATAGACCTTGAGCTAGTCTGTTACTTGGTAACATCTGATACAGACCTTGAACTAGTCTGTTACTTAGTAACATCTGATACAGGTAACATGTAACATCTGATACAGATTTTAAGCTAGTCTGTTACTTGGTAACATCTGATACAGACCTTGAACTAGTCTGTTACTTGGTAACATCTGATACAGACCTTGAACTAGTCTGTTACTTGGTAACATCTGATACAGACCTTGAACTAGTCTGTTACTTGGTAACATCTGATACAGACCTTGAACTAGTCTGTTACTTGGTAACATCTGATACAGATTTTGAGCTAGTCTGTTACTTAGTAACATCTGATACAGGTAACATGTAACATCTGATACAGATTTTAAGCTAGTCTGTTACTTGGTAACATCTGATACAGATTTAAAACTAGTCTGTTACTTGGTAACATCTGATACAGATTTTGAGCTAGTCTGTTACTTGGTAACATCTGATACAAGTAACATGTAACATCTGATACAGATTTTGCACTAGGTATCGTGTGACATTAGATACAGACCTTGAACTAGTCTGTTACTTGGTAACATCTGATCGATTTGATTCGGATACATGCTGCTCTTCGTGAACCAGTAAGAGATTGGACTGGTGGTCTATTGAGACTTGACATAGGAACAGGAAATGTAAGAATATGTATAAGCAATTTTTTCTCTGGAACTTTAACGCTAAATAGAATGGTAACCAGCATGTTGCCACAACAGTCTGTTGTTTGTTGTTAAGACAACACCTAGTGATAGAAGAATTGCAAAAGACGAAAGACCAATAACCAACCACCACAGGATGACACAAGCACCCTTGGCCTCATCCCTTTATGAAAAAGGGAAAGCGGATAAACACATGAAATAATAATTATTAATCACATAACTACTGCAAGACCCAAATGTATACCAATTAAAAAGTTAAAATCTGATAAGATATCTGACAAGGGGCATAACCCTTGTCAAAATATGTTGGGTTTGGATGATGAATTCACAAGATAGATATCATCCAAGAACAGGAGCAGGTGCTCTTTGGGGAAAAATTATCACATCTAAAAAGAAAAGAGGTACAACTCCTAAATACACAACGACTACTGATCATCTGTGATATATCTTACAAACAGCACTAAATATCAAATTATCACTTAAGGACATATGATGAATTTGTATGATATTTATAAAAGTACAATTCAAAATAAAATTATTGAAATTAAAAAGGAAATTATAAACAAGTTGAAAAGAAATTGGTGGAGAATGTATAATCTTGTGTCGTAGAAGGACAAGCAGACCAAGTTCCTTAATATAAGTGTACCTGAGTGCCTTCCAAGTCCTCTGTGTTTTCAAACTCCATACGTATATTGTCATGTGGAGGCAGGTTCATTGGGTACACTATCATTACTGCTCCTCTCAGAATATCTATGGCTTCCTTCACTGTGGTCTGAGTTACATACTCATCCATTTGTACCTTTTTCTGAAAAGACAACTAACGCTACAACAAATGCTACTTCTAACGCTACAACAACTAACGTTACAACTAACACTACTACTAACACTACAACTAACGCTACAACTAATGCTACAACTAACGCTACAACTAACACTACTACTAACACTACAACTAACGCTACAACTAATGCTACAACTAACGCTACAACTAACGCTACTACTAACGCTACAACAACTAACGTTACAACTAAGGCTACAACTAACACTACTACTAACGCTACAACTAACGCTACTACTAACGCTACAACAACTAACGTTACAACTAACGCTCCAACAACTAACGCTACAACAACTAACGTTACAACTAACACTACTACTAACACTACTACTAACGCTACAACTAACGCTACAACTAACGCTACAACAACTAACGCTACAACTAACGCTACAACTAACGCTACAACAACTAACGCTACAACTAACGCTACAACAACTAACGCTACAACTAACGCTACAACTAATGCTACAACTAACGCTACAACAACTAACGCTACAACTAACGCTACAACTAACGCTACAACAACTAACGCTACAACAACTAATGCTACAACTAACGCTACAACTAACGCTACAACAACTAACGTTACAACTAACGCTACAACTAATGCTACAACTAATGCTATTACTAACGCTACAATAACTAACGTTAAAACTAACGCTACTACTAATGCTACAACAACTAATGCTACAACTAACGCTACAACTATCGTTACAACAACTCATGCTACAACTAACGCTACAACTATCGTTACAACAACTAATGCTACAACTAACACTACTACAACTAACGTTACAACTAACGCTACAACTAACCCTACAAATTGTGTTTCTACTGCAAATCATTAACATCGACACAAATATTTTTACAGTCCTGTTGAGAAAATTCCCCATATATGCTAGTGAAGTAATTTTTCAAGATTTATTACAAATTTGGCAAATTCTGTACAGGATATATAGTACAGATAAAATGGGTATGAGAGGGAAGGTAATTAGCAATTATACACATGCTAATGTTATAAACTACATTATTTCTCAGTATGTCTCAACTACCTTGCTGATCATGTCTTTTGCCTCTTTCATTGTTTTTGTCAAAACTTCAGCCATCTTATCATTTGGAGCTGTGAATGAAACAAAAACAATGTAATATCATCACCTGTGTCATCAATTATGCTATAATAACAGTATAATTAGAGACAACTAAACCTCTCATTTAAACTCTCTAATCACAACACACAGGTATAAAACCATCACAACACACAGGTATAAAACCATCACAACACACAGGTATAAAACCATCACAACACACAGGTATAAAACCATCACAACACACAGGTATAAAACCATCACAACACACAGGTATAAAACCATCACAACACACAGGTATAAAACCATCACAACACACAGGTATAAAACCATCACAACACACAGGTATAAAACCATCACAACACACAGGTATAAAACCATCACAACACACAGGTATAAAACCATCACAACACACAGGTATAAAACCATCACAACACACAGGTATAAAACCATCACAACACACAGGTATAAAACCATCACAACACACAGGTATAAAACCATCACAACACACAGGTATAAAACCATCACAACACACAGGTATAAAACCCCACACACAGGTATAAAACCATCACAACACACAGGTATAAAACCATCACAACACACAGGTATAAAACCATCACAACACACAGGTATAAAACCCCACACACAGGTATAAAACCATCACAACACACAGGTATAAAACCATCACAACACACAGGTATAAAACCATCACAACACACAGGTATAAAACCCCACACACAGGTATAAAACCATCACAACACACAGGTATAAAACCATCACAACACACAGGTATAAAACCATCACAACACACAGGTATAAAACCATCACAACACACAGGTATAAAACCATCACAACACACAGGTATAAAACCATCACAACACACAGGTATAAAACCCCACACACAGGTATAAAACCATCACAACACACAGGTATAAAACCATCACAACACACAGGTATAAAACCATCACAACACACAGGTATAAAACCCAACACACAGGTATAAAACCATCACAACACACAGGTATAAAACCATCACAACACACAGGTATAAAACCATCACAACACACAGGTATAAAACCCCACACACAGGTATAAAACCATCACAACACACAGGTATAAAACCATCACAACACACAGGTATAAAACCATCACAACACACAGGTATAAAACCCCACACACAGGTATAAAACCATCACAACACACAGGTATAAAACCATCACAACACACAGGTATAAAACCATCACAACACACAGGTATAAAACCATCACAACACACAGGTATAAAACCATCACAACACACAGGTATAAAACCATCACAACACACAGGTATAAAACCATCACAACACACAGGTATAAAACCATCACAACACACAGGTATAAAACCATCACAACACACAGGTATAAAACCATCACAACACACAGGTATAAAACCATCACAACACACAGGTATAAAACCATCACAACACACAGGTATAAAACCATCACAACACACAGGTATAAAACCATCACAACACACAGGTATAAAACCATCACAACACACAGGTATAAAACCATCACAACACACAGGTATAAAACCATCACAACACACAGGTATAAAACCATCACAACACACAGGTATAAAACCATCACAACACACAGGTATAAAACCCCACACACAGGTATAAAACCATCACAACACACAGGTATAAAACCATCTGGCGAACACTAAACAAGAAAAACAAAGCTTTGATCTCATCTCAGAATATTGTCTACAGATTGCTTTTACAACTGCAGTAGGTTTCTACTTTAGCACCTCTATGATTCTATGAAGACTTACCCATCCCATTTCTGCGACCAATTGGATCCTTTTTCATTTTGGCCCCTCCACTAGGTACACATTTATCTGCCCACTCATCCTTCAGTTTGAGATCAACAATCTGGTCATCTGTCAGACCCATCATATTTGGGGGCAGAGTTATACCATGTTTAGCCAGTTCTTCCATTTCTGAACAGATTCATCATCAAATACTTTACAATACAATAGACTTCTGACTTACATTTAAATCTATAAATAATTTATTTTCTTCTCAAATTCTGAATGAAAATTGATACAGTTTCATAAACAAGTACATTTATATATACATTAAATACATGTCTGCCGCATTATTTTGTTGTTTTTCAGAATCACTTGTCACTATCATACAAATTACTTTTATTCTTCTAAATATAACTTTTATGAAATTCTGTTCACTTTGTGATTCTATGTGCTTCACCAAAGCTGTAAAGCATACTGTTAGCATAAGTTGACAAAGAGTGGAAACAAAATAAATTCCCTTTTGCAAATTGTTTTGAAATATACAGTACACTAACCACATGACATTTATGGTCATCAACACAGTTAAATTGATGGCCTCTACTCAGGGAAAGAAAGTGACATTGGGCTGGTGAAAATTACTCATCATAAGACTGATAAGTGGGTATGTTTAATTTTTCTCCCACATTGTTTATTTTTCCCCTCATAATATGATATATAGATAATGGAAACTATGAGATACAAACATTGTAAAGACTTTGGTTTAAGCAGATCTACTAAACAATACTTTCTTTGAGCCCAAGGATGTCCTTGTCACTAACCTGCACAGATTCGCTGGATCTTGAGCCGACCATTGTAAATGGCTGTTAAGTCTTTCAGTAAGTCATCCACTGGCATCTCAACTGTAGTCTCATACAGGAACTGGCTCTCATCGGCCTTTTTGACATGTAACTTCACCATGGTTGATAAACCGTTAGATTTCTGTGGAAACAGCATCAAAAGAAATTCTAATAAAACAATATCAAATAAAGTGATGAACAATACACTATTTGATATGCAGAGCTTGAGGGAAGTGACAAATTTCAGAATCTCTGACAAAGATAAAGCCAAAACAAAATGGGCCTGGTTAATTGGAAACCAGAAACTTGCTACATCCATCACTTTTTTATACCCAAAAACAGATCCTTTTACTAGAAAATATTTGCAAAACATGGGACATATGACTATGCTTCAGCTGAAGCCCATTGGGAAGTGTAACCAAACACACTAAATCAAAAAGAGAAAGTGTTGTATTTACACCACCAATGTGTTCTGTAACAAGCTCCTCCAACCTCGTGAGTGCAGGTATGTGTTTATCTCTGCATGTGTGTTTAAGTTCTCAGATTAAAACACAGGACTTATTCACTTCTAAGCAAAATCAAGGCCAAATGGGGATATTATAGTCTAACCTGATGCTTTTATATAGACTAATTAAAAAAATAAATGTATAACAATAATAATAACTTTTTGAAACAAATGATGTTGTAACTTAAATTTGTTCAATCAAAATATTTTGACAAAGAACATCATATTGTACCTTGAGATTTTTTAGAAGAGTCACTCTGTCTTCATCAATGTCAACTGACAATTTACCACTGGACTGAGGAAGGCATAGTTGCCTGTTCATGTATTACCAGGTACAATGCTACATTTTGCTCAATCAAAATATTTTGACAAAGAACATCATATTGTACCTTGAGATTTTTTAGAAGAGTCACTCTGTCTTCATCAATGTCAACTGACAATTTACCACTGGACTGAGGAAGGTGTAGTTGCCTGTTCATATATTACCATGTACAATGCTACATTCTGCGTTAAGATATATCTATCATTATGAATCCAGAACAAGGAATTAACATAAAATTTATTGTTCTATCAGCCAGATGATCATGATCAGTGTTTCATTTCTTCAAAAGTCAACCTAAGAGTCACAACCAGAAATACATGGGGAATTATCTAGAATTAGACAGAATCAAAGTTAGAATAAATCTGACCCTGTCAGGTTAAATCAATGTTGTTTTGTTGTTAACAATTTGACAATCTTAAAAGAAATAATCACCATTTGTGCACGTAATAAGGTTGAAGCCAATTTTAAGCTTATCCAAGACAATTGTTTACTTCAATATAAAAATGAAGTTATCCAGAAAGATTTGTCAAAGGCTTTCCCCATAGACTGTTAATGAAAAAGCTGCATTCTTTCCGCAACAAATTCAATATATCCTATTGGTAAACTAATGTCTCCTGAAGAATGTGATGTTGTGTGCCTGATATGTCTTTGATTTCTATGACTTTAATACACTTCTAATAGTCTCCATATCGTCTATGGGAAAGAGTTGGTAACTTTGAGTTCCTCAAATCTTTCTGGACAGACCTAGGTCAATATTATAACTCCTGGCATTTTTTATGCTTGAATTAGCATGGTACCAAACTGCACTGGCAAAAAATAGGTGGTTCAGAACTTGTTCATACAAATGCTTAAAGCTTGTTATGATGGTAAACATACAGTTTGCTTTCTTAACTTTCTCACTAACACAGTCTTCAAATTTTAACTGTGAGGCAATGCTATAGCCATTATTTTATTCGGTATGTGTATTTATACATCATAGATTCCCAGCTGGACTAAGATATGACGTGGTTAGAGTGCTCTAGTCGCGCTGCCTCACCACGACAAGTTTGAAAGACATTTATCTTTGTCAGATGTTAAAACTGTTATTAATTAGCATTACCCAAAGATTTTCCCAGGTTGGAAAAACGTTATTAGTCTCTGTGAATATCACATTTCTTGGATGGATAAATCCTTCTATCACCCTAATGTAACTTCAATGATTGTATACAGGAGATGATTGTGATAATAGTATAATTGTACAAATGATGATAAATATGCTCAGAAAATGCTTTAAAATGTTCAGAAAGCTTTGAGGATACATTATTGCAAAGAGCATAACTAGCACCTTGATACTTTGCAGGTGCCGGTTTCTTGTTTTTGAGTTTTTCCCTTTTAGTTTCTCATCGCACATGTTAAACTTCTATAAAATCATGAAACTTACAGATAATAATTACACCTGAAGCTTATTTAAACAGTTAATACCATACCTGTTTCCGATTTTCCTTTTTCTGTTTATTGAATTTTCTCGAACAAAGTTTGACGGGTCAAAACAAATTCTAGCATGTGCCCGGAAGTAAACAGTAAAGGCACGGACCGAATGTACTGGTTACGATAGTAACATCAAAAATAGAAATAAATAAAACGTTTTGTGAGTGAATTGTTTATACATTACGCTATATAATTAAACAAAACTGAACAGTGATGTTGTCAATTTGTTTCTAACAAAGGCAATATAATAAAAACTTTAAATAGATTCCAGCAGTTAACATTGGAACCACTTCCCCTTCCTGTTCGGAATCCGGGAATTTTGATATTTTGATACTGGAGAATTGTATTGTGACGATCATATGTACTTACCGAACCATTATGGGCATGCCACCTTGACACAGTGATTTACATTTTGGTGCTGTAAGTTAATTTCTAAAACTGTCATTATTTTTAAATCGTATACTTAGCCAACTCAGCTTTTTTTTTTTTTTTTTAGCGTCCTTGTTCTGGTTATACCCGAGCCTAGGACACTAAGGGGGAGTGGGCTGGTAGTGCCGAGGCATTAAGGTGTGCAATTTCGCTTTTTAGTAATCGTCAAAACAGGTCTAATGTGGGGAGGACAGATCCAGCTATTTCTATACCCTAACGTCTAAAAAAAAAAAAAGGTGGGGGGGAGGGATTTTGGACTGTCACAGAAACACCTATCCCTACTCAAGTCTAACTCTATATTTACCTATTATAAACCTATACTCTGTGGCGGCTAGCAATTAGCTTTCTCTTTTTCGAAAACCAGCAGAGGATCTTAAACGTGTACAGCGTGACTCACCGTACACCGGACCCCCGTTTAACGTCCCTTCCAAAGGACAAGAGGTTTAGAAGATAGCGGTAGAGAGCGTATGGGAAAGTAAGAAATTGGAAAATAGGTTTAGCTTGTTAGCGGGCGTAGGTTTGTTATTGGTAGATGAAGTTCTAGCCACCATTTGACGTCGCTAGTCATGATGTTCTAGAGTGGGTTTAAAAGTGGGGAACTAGATATTAGGTTCAGTTATGAGAGTGGATGTGATGGGGTGAGGAAAAGAATGTGCTGGAATTGGGTTAGCATAGATTATTAGGATTAATGAGAATTAATGTGAATTATTATACAAACGATGTAGTTCGGGAGACTGTAGATTACTGTGTGTATTCATCTACATGCCTATCCTACTAGAACAGGGATTTGTATATTAGAAGGAGGAAGGAAGAGGAGAAGAGTTTGTGTACCGGATGTTGTTGGCTTGGGGACTCCGCCCAGTGTATGCTGTTTTTATGTGGGTGATGTTTTTGTGTATGCATGTGATGTTGTGGGTATGGTTACTTAGAAAGGGATCTTAATGTATTTCTACTGCGCCCCCTGCTAAGGTATGTGGTGTGTGTTACTGGTAGGTGTTGGAGGGTATTGTTGGTATGTGTGGGGTGGTGAGATTATGGTCTTGTGTCCAATGTTGAATACACCTCCCTGTAAAGTCAATTACGAGGGCTGTGTATCCCTAGTTTCCCTACCTAACTAGATTACCGTAACACTTGGTAGGCTCAGGTAGATACGAATACGCCTACTGTTTATCCAGTTATAGTAAACAGTGCTTTTACGATCTACAAGTGGTACCTATTTGGGTTTTATTCTATACTGGACGTGGACTTATAATTGGGTATATTGTATGTGGTTTTTTTTTTTGTTGTGTATCGCTGTCCTAGATTTTATAATATAATACAATCAATATCAGTCAATTGGTCGAATACATATTTCCTATGTTGTTTAGGAGGGTTGAGTACCGTTTTTGAATCGAATTTCATATTGTCTATATCCTATATTTGGTTTTGGAAAACTGTTCTAAGGTTGTCATGGGTGGTACATTCGAACAGTATGTGTTCTATGGTTTCTGGTTCACCACAGTAAGGACAATATGGACTGACTTCCTTTTTAATACGGTTGATGTTATGACAGAGTTTGGTGTAACCTAATCGAAGTTTAGTGATAACAGTATCCTCTACTTTATTATAACTATATAACTGAGGTTAGATCTTAACATTGCTCTCGATGGAATGGAGCCAGTTATTAATTAATTTCGACTTATTTTCCTGCCTTATCAATTGGGTTTTGTTATTGATTATACTGACGACCTCTGAGACACTCAAGTCTATATTTAGATGAACATCATGTGACCCTAAGGCTGCTTTAGCGAGTTGATTGGCTATCTCGTTACCTAAAATGTCAACATGAGATGGAATCCATTCGAATTTTAGATCTATTCCTAATTGATCGATCTCGGTGATCATATATTGAATTGCATTAATCAATTTAGGTCTCCTGCTATTTCCAGTTATCAAAGATTGTAAAGAGCTGAGGGAGTCCGAAAGAATGACTACTCGATCAAATTTGGTGTGATTTTTCTTGATACCTATCAATGCGATTTGAATAGCCATGAGTTCAGCTGTGTAGACCGAAGCTCTGTCACTTAGCCGAAGAAATTTTCAGATGTTATAAGTATCGTTAAATATACCTAACCCTACTCTTATCATTGGTTGGATTTTTAGAGCCATCGGTATAAAATTTAACGAAGTTGTTATATTTATTATCTATCAACTCTAATGCTAGGTTTTTAGCGCCTATCGGGTCGTGATGTTTATCTAACGTCTTATGTAGTACTAGCGATACGTTAGGTAGTGATTTTAACCACGGGACTTGGAAGTCTTGTTTGTAGGAGATCTTGACACCTTCTAAACCATATTTCTGCTTTAATCCAAGTATTTCTGAAGGATAGGGAGCCCTGATGTTGGTTAGGGGTATTTCACTATTTTGGATTACCAACTCAGCTGATTCGTGTAAGATGTCTTACGTCACTTGATTGCATTGGTGGATTAATGGCACCTATCGAAAGTTTCTCGTATTGTTGAATCGCTAATATTGTTTGAGTAACTCGGCCTATATCAGGGATGTATATTCGTGTTATACGTCCGTGGCCTACATCTACATTGTAAATGTAGTAATTTGGCACCCCGCAAGATTTCATTTGTTAAAGAAAAAAATAGTATCAATGATATGAAATAGGCAATGCCTGAAACAAGCACAAGTTTGTCAACAAGATGCACATTTTGAACTGCCTGATCCATGTATGCACTTAAGTGTGTTTTTTAAAATTTGTTGTGTACATCACCAGATTTTATGAAAAAAATGGCACATACACATGTACCGATGTATTATCATCACCATCATCATCTTCTTCTTCTTCTTCTTCTTCTGGAAAACAATGCATCATCATGATCAGGCATTGGTTTGATGGCACAGTTGTAACACACTTCGCATAACTGTTTGGGGTTCAATTCCTCAAAGGGATACAGGTTTCCTCCCACAATTAGACCCCTTGCATGCTGACAACAAGTGTGATTTTTATTAGTTGAAATCATAAAGTTTCCACATGTAAATAAGTTATCCACATACCATCATACAACAGGAAGGCAGGCAAAGAAGAAGAAAACAAAATATGACAAGATAACACATAGCATAACATGATCCCCACACCCTGCAGGTTAAAAGAAAGACATACAATCATATATATATGTTAATATCACAACAAGTTTAATTTTTTTTTTGTTATCTTTAATTGTTCCATACAAGGTACATGTATTGAAACTGAGAACTTCTGCTAGAGTACTAGCTTGATGCCTGTTCATGGTTTTGAGTAACGGGTAATTACCTTGAACAGTTTAAGAGAATTGATCTGAAAAAAAAACTAATTTTGTAATTTGACCGATCTGTTTCCAAGGTAACAAAAAAGTAATTAAATGGTAAACTTCCCTATAGCATACTACTAGCTTAATAAGTGTAAAAAGTTTTGAGCAATTATCTTGAATGGTTTCAGAGCATTTGTCCAGAAATCACTGGAATTTGGGATGATGGTTATCTGTTTCCATGGTAACAGTAATTGTAAAATAAGTATATGTGAATTTCCCTTTCAGAGTTACAGAGATAACAGAGAGGACTATCTATCATTTTTGCTTTAAAAAAGAAATGAGTTTGAAGTCAAAATATGCTGCTTCCATGTAAGAGACAATGTATATTTCGTTCATGGAGCGTGACGAAAATTCCCGAAGGCTAAACTGGAAATAAGGTACATCAGAGAACAAACATGCTCTGATCTTGAATGGTTAAATTGTATTTTTTCAATGAGATATTTATTATATGCGTTTCAAACCATTAAAGTATATGTTTGTTAAATTCATTTCAATTATTTAAGACATTTAGTATGATTTCATTCCCACATGAAAACTTAAAAAGATATTTTGTCTGTCAAAATCATTTTTTATTCCATGCAACGGGTTGGCAATTCTCATTGTGTGCTGCGGTAAGTGTATTGTGGGTAATGAAGTTCCAGCCACATTTCTGTTTAAAGTTGATGGTATGGGCAGTTTGTGTTTGTTGAATTACCACATACAATACCATAAAGCTGAGCTCATTTTAATTATTGTTTAGGGCAAAGTGAACATTTTTGGGTAGAGGATGCAAAAGGAAATCTTGGCTATCATTATAAGAAGTAAAGTGAAGCCTACAGCTAGATTTTCAAACACCTGTGGAGATAGCCAACTGGTAGAATCTACTGACATGGAATTTGATGACTTGTCATAGACAGAATGGAAACTCATGACCAGGGGAAGTTAAGAAACACCAGGCTTTGTGAAATGTCATTATCAGAAGACAGTAAAGCAGTGATATGACTGCAGAGGCAAAAATTGTGTAATATTGTACTCTATTATCAAAGCCACTTAAATCTTGCAGGGAGTGATTCAAAAACTGAAATCCAAAATATTGAAATAGCATAATGCTTGTTTCATGTGATAAGGATTTTATGTAACAACTAGTGATTATGTTATGTAGCATTTTTAGTTATTTTCTTGTATGAACATCATCCGGTAAGATTGAGAAAGCAGTGTGTTAGCAATGCTATAGCTTCTCTGTGTTTTAGGACACCTTTCTCCAAAATCTCATTGATGTTTCAGAGTGATAAACTACAAAAAGCTAAGTAATTTTCATATTAAATGACTGGCTTTTATGATAAATTAATTTTATCAATGTGTGATATTTTTGTATTACAAACACACTTATGTGATTTCATTTTTTGTAAAGAGTTGATCTTTTGGTCCCTTTATAAACATAAAAAGAAAACCAATATGTCTGACAGACTGCCATCTTGGTTTTTGATGGTCATAATTTGTTATGATTATTGCTATTTCTGGAGAAGAACTGGATCGGTCATTCTCAAATTTCTTATGCAGTTTCCCTTAGTGCCTAAATGTGCTTTTATAATTTTAGCTTTGATCAGAAAAACAATGGCTGACAGGCAACTATCTTGGATTTTGACTATGAAAGTTTGTTAACACTTTTTTCCTGATAAGCACTGTATGTAGGCTACCATTACTCACTAGTGATGCTCTTTTGATTTTTGGACCAAAAAAAAAATGCTGGGCAATTCAACCATCATAGATTTGATAGCTAAATGTTATAATTGGTAGTTCTGAGGAATTACAAAATTCAATGGAATATAAATATAGGGAAAAGAAAAGAAGGAAAAAGATCCAATTTTCAAAAAAAAAACAAAGATAAAACAATGATAGGCACCAAGATGACTCTTTAGGGATCTCTTGTTATGTGTGTGTTGTTGTAAGTGAAGTAAGTCTTTTCTCAGTTTGACAAAACTCTGGCAGTGCAGGCTGTGTGTTAACTTTACGTCATTTGCGAGTAGTTGATAAATTAGATAACAACTGTGAGAAGAAGATGCTTTGATAAATTAAACAGCCCATTAAACAGATAAACACAGAAGTCATCATAAAAATGTAAGTCTCCATGGACCGAGCTTCCAATCCCTATAAACATTACATACTAGATATTCTGAGGAAGATACATCGCTGTGTCTAACTACATCAAAATAACAGTCACGATATTAATGTACAATGTCGGAACCTATTGTGCATGTATAACCCTAGACTTCAATCATAAATTAAATCTACTGAAGTCGGCCAGATCCTGAGGCAGCCATTCAAAATGATAGCCATTATATAATTGGTGGTTATAATGCCTGTAGTTCAGACCTGCTATAATAACACCTGTCTTATTTCAAATGTGGCAGTAGTATTAGTACAATCACACAGGGTTTTGATATTGTGACATCTTTACTTACTCAGTTTGGGATATTTAATGTTTGTTACCAAATATGTATGCTTTTTTTTAAACCATTATATTGGAAATGTTTACATTTTGTAAGCCAACATTACTTGTTTCAATATATCAAATTTTTATTGTGCGCATGATATATATATATATATACTTGTATTTTAAAAATTTTAGTCTGGAAACTCCAGTTTTTAATACAAAATAAAGTTTTGGTTTTAACAAATACTTCAGAAATGTTTACATCTGCAATTTGCATCATCAGTATTGAAGTTAAAAAAAACATGCATCTTCATCATGGTATAGAGTAATTTAGTGTAGTTGGAAATGATTCAGTTATTTAGATGAGAAGAGTTACATTTATAAAATATTTTCACAGTAAGACCATTCAGATTTGTGTTCCTGACTTGGTTACTGTATAGATATCAATAATCCTGGCCCTATCCATACATGGAAATCCTAATGTGTCATTGTTATGCTAACTATGCTTATTCTGGAGAGGGAGGGGGAACATTATTGTTGGAAAAATAACACAACATGATTTATATCCATATATATTATACATGTGTCAATATTCAATAAAACTGATGTAGAACTATTGTAAAATAGACTTGTTAAAAAACTGATGCTCTGGGAATATTTCACACATGGAATAACAACAAGTTTTTATATACATTTCCAGATTTGCACCTAAACAAAATGGCTACTACTGGTGGAGGTTATCTCCCTTACTTTGGATCAAGATATTATGATAAGTTGGGAATCTTCACCAGAAATAAAGATGATAACAGCACAGAAGACTTTGATCCGGATGAAGATGCTTGTGATGAGAGGATTCAGGATTTAAGCAGTTCAGAAATAAAAAAGATAAAAAAGGGGACAACGTTGATGGAACCAAGCACCCCAAGAGTTGTAACAGGTATGTATATCTTATAACCAAACCCAAACCATGTACCCAGAGAATTGTAACAGGTATGTATATCTTATAACCAAACCCAAACCATGTACCCAGAGAATTGTAACAGGTATGTATATCTTATAACCAAACCCAAACCATGTACCCAGAGAGTAACAGGTATGTATATCTTATAACCAACCCAAACCATGTACCCAGAGAGTTGTAACAGGTAGGTTTACCTTACAACCAACCCAAACCATGTACCCAGAGAGTTGTAACAGGTATGTATATCTTATAACCAACCCAAACCATGTACCCAGAGAGTTGTGACAGGTATGATATCTTATAACCTAACCCAAACCATGTACCCAGAGAGTTGTAACAGGTATGTATATCTTATAACCAACCCAAACCATGTACCCAGAGAGTTGTAACAGGTATGTATATCTTATAACCAACCCAAACCATGTACCCAGAGAGTTGTAACAGGTATGTTTACCTTATAACCAACCCAAACCATGTACCCAGAGAGTTGTAACAGGTATGTATATCTTATAACCTAACCCAAACCATGTACCCAGAGAGTTGTAACAGGTATGTATATCTTATAACCAACCCAAACCATGTACCCAGAGAGTTGTAACAGGTATGTATATCTTATAACCAACCCAAACCATGTACCCAGAGAGTTGTAACAGGTAGGTTTACCTTACAACCAACCCAAACCATGTACCCAGAGAATTGTAACAGGTATGTATATCTTATAACCAAACCCAAACCATGTACCCAGAGAGTTGTAACAGGTATGATATCTTATAACCTAACCCAAACCATGTACCCAGAGAGTTGTAACAGGTATGTATATCTTATAACCAACCCAAACCATGTACCCAGAGAGTTGTAACAGGTATGTATATCTTATAACCAAACCCAAACCATGTACCCAGAGAGTTGTAACAGGTATGTATATCTTATAACCAAACCCAAACCATGTACCCAGAGAGTTGTAACAGGTATGTATATCTTATAACCAAACCCAAACCATGTACCCAGAGAGTACCATGTACCAGAGAGTTGTAACAGGTATGTAACAGGTATCTTATAACCGAACCCAAACCATGTACCCAGAGAGTTGTAACAGGTAACCTTACAACCAACCCAAACCATGTACCCAGAGAGTTGTAACAGGTATGTATATTATAACCAACCCAAACCATGTACCCAGAGAGTTGTAACATATACTTATAACTAACCCAAACCATGTACCCAGAGAGTTGTAACAGGTATGTATATCTTATAACCAAACCCAAACCATGTACCCAGAGAGTTGTAACAGGTATGTATATCTTATAACCAAACCCAAACCATGTACCCAGAGAATTGTAACAGGTATGTATATCTTATAACCAAACCCAAACCATGTACCCAGAGAGTTGTAACAGGTATGTATATCTTATAACCAAACCCAAACCATGTACCCAGAGAGTTGTAACAGATATGTATATCTTGTAACCAACCCAAACCATGTACCCAGAGAGTTGTAACAGGTATGTATATCTTATAACCAAACCCAAACCATGTACCCAGAGAGTTGTAACAGGTATGTATATCTTATAACCAAACCCAAACCATGTACCCAGAGAGTTGTAACAGGTATGTATATCTTATAACCAAACCCAAACCATGTACCCAGAGAGTTGTAACAGGTATGTATATCTTGTAACCAACCCAAACCATGTACCCAGAGAGTTGTAACAGGTATGTATATCTTATAACCAAACCCAAACCATGTACCCAGAGAGTTGTAACAGGTATGTATATCTTATAACCAAACCCAAACCATACCCAGAGAGTAACCCAAACCCCAGAGAGTTGTAACAGGTATGTATATCTTATAACCAAACCCAAACCATGTACCCAGAGAGTTGTAACAGGTATGTATACCTTATAACCAACCCAAACCATGTACCCAGAGAGTTGTAACAGGTATGTATATCTGATAACCTAACCCAAACCATGTACCCAGAGAGTTGTAACAGGTATGTATATCTTATAACCAAACCCAAACCATGTACCCAGAGAGTTGTAACAGGTATGTATATCTTATAACCAACCCAAACCATGTACCCAGAGAGTTGTAACAGGTATGTATATCTTATAACCAAACCCAAACCATGTACCCAGAGAATTGTAACAGGTATGTATATCTTATAACCGAACCCAAACCATGTACCCAGAGAGTTGTAACAGGTAGGTTTACCTTATAACCAAACCCAAACCATGTACCCAGAGAGTTGTAACAGGTAGGTTTACCTTATAACCAAACCCAAACCATGTACCCAGAGAGTTGTAACAGGTATGTATATCTTATAACCAAACCCAAACCATGTACCCAGAGAGTTATACCTAACCCAAACCATGTACCTAGAGAGTTGTAACAGGTATGTATATCTTATAACCAAACCCAAACCATGTACCCAGAGAGTTATACCTAACCCAAACCATGTACCTAGAGAGTTGTAACAGGTATGTATATCTTATAACCAACCCAAACCATGTACCCAGAGAGTTGTAACAGGTATGTATATCTTATAACCAAACCCAAACCATGTACCCAGAGAATTGTAACAGGTATGTATATCTTATAACCAACCCAAACCATGTACCCAGAGAGTTGTAACAGGTAGGTTTACCTTATAACCAACCCAAACCATGTACCCAGAGAGTTGTAACAGGTATGTATATCTTATAACCAAACCCAAACCATGTACCTAGAGAGTTGTAACAGGTATGTATATCTTATAACCGAACCCAAACCATGTACCCAGAGAGTTGTAACAGGTAGGTTTACCTTATAACCAAACCCAAACCATGTACCCAGAGAGTTGTAACAGGTAGGTTTACCTTATAACCGAACCCAAACCATGTACCCAGAGAGTTGTAACAGGTATGTATACCTTATAACCAACCCAAACCATGTACCCAGAGAGTTATACCTAACCCAAACCATGTACCCAGAGAGTTGTAACAGGTATGTATATCTTATAACCGAACCCAAACCATGTACCCAGAGAGTTGTAACAGGTATGTATATCTTATAACCGAACACAAACCATGTACCCAGAGAGTTGTAACAGGTAGGTTTACCTTATAACCAAACCCAAACCATGTACCCAGAGAGTTGTAACAGGTAGGTTTACCTTATAACCAAACCCAAACTATACTCGGCGTCAATGAAAACGCAACACCTTTAAATTACTGTCAAAATTTACCAGTTATAGTTTTGAATACAATATTTAATAAAATACCTAAAAGTTGATTATGTCCATAACAAAATTCACTCAATGCAATCAGCACTACATCATGGGAATACTTTGATTTCCGGTGACTAATGTCCATACCCCCAAAATCAAAATTACCACGTTCAATATCTAATGTGGCCACCATTTGCAGCGACACAAGCGCGGCATCTTCGAGGCATTGACCGAATAAGGCGTTGAATTTGATTTGAGGAATGTTCCTCCACTCTTCCTGAAGAGCGATTTCAGGTTGCCGACGCGTCTGGGGCTGTTGTGGTCGCTCTCTCACAGCCCTACCCAATTGGTCCCAAAGATGCTCGATCGGACTAAGATCCGGGGAAAACGCGGGCCACGGAAGGGTTGCGATGTTCTGATGTTGAAGGTAGTCTGTAGTGATACGAGCGGTATGTGGTCGTGCATTGTCCTGTTGTAATAACGCTACGTTTGGGTGTCCAGCAAAGAATGGAACAACAGCAGGAGTTAAGACCTCGTTGATGTAGCGCTGTGCTGTGAGATTGCCGCCAATAATAACTAGAGGGGTACGGTATGCAAAAGAGATACCTCCCCACACCATCACACTGCCCCCACCCCACCTATCCGTTTCCGTTACACAGCAGTCCAAAAACCTTTCACCTCAACGTCGCCACACTCGAATTCTACCGTCATTTCCTCTGAGGCGGAATCTCGATTCGTCGGTGAACAGGACGCCAGCCCACCGACGTTGGGTCCATCCTCGGCGCTGTTTTGTCCAATTTAGAAGATTTTTACGGCGAATTTGAGTCCATTCGTTTCCTCTAAATGGACGGCGTGACGCCAATCCGGCTGTGCAAAGGCAACGGCGCACAGTACTAGCTGACAAACGTCTGCCATGACTTCCTATCGTCTGTCTAGCCGTTCTTGTCGCGGTTTGAAAACGATCTCGCAGGTGACTTAGTCGAATGTAACGGTCCTGGTTTGGCGTCGTCACTCTCTGTTGCCCCGGACGAGGTCGATCTCTCACGGATCCGGTTTGTCGCACTCATTCTGCCAGTCGATTGGTTGTGGAAGCAGAACAACCCATTCTCCTGGCAACTTCCCTCTGAGAAAGCCCTCCTGCCAGCATACCCCGAGCTTCGTGTCTTTCATTGTCTGTCAGTCGAGGCATTTGTAGCAAATAATGATGACAATTTAAAAAATTGATGACGGAAAAAGGTCTGCCTGTAACTACAGTGTTCACTACTAGTGACTGAGCAAGGATATAACGCACTTTAGAGCGCCGACGTGCAAACTCATGCTTTTACGACAATGCCCTGTGGTACGACAAGGAGTTGATATTACTCGACCATTATTTCGTTAGTTTTGTAGTGCATTGTGTTGTGGCTAAATACAGCAGAATAAGAATCTAATCCTTGTTGTGAAGAATATATTATGTCCAAAATTTTAGTGTTGCGTTTTCATTGGCGCCGAGTATATGTACCCAGAGAGTTGTAACAGGTAGGTTTGCCTTATAACCAAACTCAAACCATGTACCCAGAGAGTTGTAACAGGTAGGTTTACCTTATAACCAACCCAAACCATGTACCCAGAGAGTTGTAACAGGTATGTATATCTTATAACCTAACCCAAACCATGTACCCAGAGAGTTGTAACAGGTAGGTTTACCTTATAACCAACCCAAACCATGTACCCAGAGAGTTGTAACAGGTATGTATACCTTATAACCAACCCAAATTATGTACCCAGAGAGTTGTAACAGGTAGGTTTACCTTATAACCAACCCAAATTATGTACCCAGAGAGTTGTAACAGGTGTGTATGCCTTATAACCAAACCCAAACCATGTACTCAGAGAGTTATACCAAACCCAAACCATGTACCCACAGAGTTATACCAAACCCAAACCATGTACCCAGAGAGTTGTAACAGTTATGCGTATTGTGTAACTGGTGTGAATCATGTACCATGAGTGTTGTAACATGTATATACTGTTGATCCATGTACCATGAGTGTTGTAACAGGTAGGTTTACCTTATAACCAACTGTGTAACTGATGTGAATCATGTACCCTGAATGTCGTAACATGTATATACTGTTGATCCATGTACCATGAGTGTTGTAACATGTATATACTGTTGATCCATGTACCCTGAATGTTGTAACATGTATATACTGTTGATCCATGTACCATGAGTGTTGTAACATGTATATACTGTTGATCCATGTACCATGAGTGTTGTAACATGTATATACTGTTGATCCATGTACCATGAGTGTTGTAACATGTATATACTGCTGATCCATGTACCATGAGTGTTGTAACATGTATATAGTGTTGATCCATGTACCATGAGTGTTGTAACATGTATATACTGTTGATCCATATACCATGAGTGTCGTAACATGTATATACTGTTGATCCTTGTACCATGAGTGTTGTAACATGTATATACTGTTGATCCATGTACCCTGAATGTTGTAACATGTATATACTGTTGATCCATGTACCCTGAATGTTGTAACATGTATATACTGTTGATCCTTGTACCATGAGTGTTGTAACATGTATATACTGTTGATCCATGTACCCTGAGTGTTGTAACAGGAAACAAAAAACAATTTCATTATTGTACATTCATCTGTCGATGAATACAAATATCGATGAATTTCTGACATTTTGCATTTTTTCAATAGGAACACTTTACAATCCAATTGCTAGAAAGAGATGGAACATCAAGGCTCGACTTCATCTTACCAACCCTTGGTGGATAGTGCACATATTGAGGACTGATACCTACAAAGGTTTTGTAGTACCAACAGGTCAGAATGCTGTTTCCTACCGCCTCATCACAGATCCTTACCAGGTCAGACAACACAAACTTGTGGAGATACTGTTAACTGACTGCCAGCAAGATAACACCGCTGCCTTGGACAAGTTTCAACAGTTTTTACAGTGAGTGATTGATTCTTGAATAGTTCAGTTTTGAAAATCATGCAATGAAGATACCTTCAGGCCATCCTTCTAATGATAGAAAACCTTGTTACAATGCCATCCTTCATCTGGCTAAACTCTGTCGTTATAAAGGGGTCCTTATGATAAGTATGTCCCTTGAGAAATGTTAAGTAACTCTAAGATAAGTGACAAGGACATTAAGACATATGTTGTCTGCAGGAGAGACGAGAGGTTAACACGAGGGGCAGTATCACAGACAGAAAGAGGTTAACACGAGGGGCAGTATCACAGACAGAAAGAGGTTAACACGAGGGGCAGTATCACAGACAGAAAGAGGTTAACACGAGGGGCAGTATCACAGACAGAAGGAGGTTAACACAAGGGGCAGTATCACAGACAGAAAGAGGTTAACACGAGGGGCAGTATCACAGACAGAATAGATACAAAGAATATTTTAGTATAGCAATTTCATTGTATTTATTTTTTCTACCAGTAGATGTTATTTTATTTATTTTTTCTATTGGTAGATGTTATTTTATTAAATTTCTGGCAATGAAATAGCAGAATTTATCACTTTGATAAAATACTGTAGTGATGACATGAGAAGTTTCTGATGACCAAACAGGAAACCATTGCTAACCTTTATGTGTGTAACTTTAATTCAGACTGAACCATGAGGAACTGCAGCTGGACGTGTCTCACCTGTTGGACCTGTTGCAGAAGTTTGAGGATTATCTACCAGATGATGATAAGGGGATTGTTTCCCAGATAACAAAGAGGCTCAAAGGATTTGGTACGTACTGACATCCTACCTGATGATGAAGGCTCTCAGAATAAAAACAATCTTGTTGGATTTGGCAGGTACTGACACACCTCTAGATGATGAAGAGATTGTCTTCCAGATCACTAACAGACTCAGGATGTGGTAGGTACTGACACACACCTCTAGATGATGAAGAGATTGTCTTCCAGATCACTAACAGACTCAGGATGTGGTAGGTACTGACACACCTCTAGATGATGAAGAGATTGTCTTCCAGATCACTAACAGACTCAGGATTTGGTAGGTACTGACACACACCTCTAGATGATGAAGAGATTGTCTTCCAGATCACTAACAGACTCAGGATTTGGTAGGTACTGACACACACCTCTAGATGATGAAGAGATTGTCTTCCAGATCACTAACAGGCTCAGGATTTGGTAGGTACTGACACACCTCTAGATGATGAAGAGATTGTCTTCCAGATCACTAACAGACTCAGGATGTGGTAGGTACTGACACACCTCTAGATGATGAAGAGATTGTCTTCCAGATCACTAACAGACTCAGGATGTGGTAGGTACTGACACACACCTCTAGATGATGAAGAGATTGTCTACCAGATCACTAACAGGCTCAGGATTTGGTAGGTACTGACACACACCTCTAGATGATGAAGAGATTGTCTTCCAGATCACTAACAGGCTCAGGATGTGGTAGGTACTGACACCCACCTCTAGATGATGAAGAGATTGTCTTCCAGATCACTAACAGACTCAGGATGTGGTAGGTACTGACACACACCTCTAGATGATGAAGAGATTGTCTTCCAGATCACTAACAGACTCAGGATGTGGTAGGTACTGACACACCTCTAGATGATGAAGAGATTGTCTTCCAGATCACTAACAGACTCAGGATTTGGTAGGTACTGACACACACCTCTAGATGATGAAGAGATTGTCTTCCAGATCACTAACAGACTCAGGATGTGGTAGGTACTGACACACACCTCTAGATGATGAAGAGATTGTCTTCCAGATCACTAACAGGCTCAGGATTTGGTAGGTACTGACACACCTCTAGATGATGAAGAGATTGTCTTCCAGATCACTAACAGACTCAGGATGTGGTAGGTACTGACACACACCTCTAGATGATGAAGAGATTGTCTTCCAGATCACTAACAGACTCAGGATGTGGTAGGTACTGACACACACCTCTAGATGATGAAGAGATTGTCTTCCAGATCACTAACAGACTCAGGATGTGGTAGGTACTGACACACACCTCTAGATGATGAAGAGATTGTCTTCCAGATCACTAACAGACTCAGGATGTGGTAGGTACTGACACACACCTCTAGATGATGAAGAGATTGTCTTCCAGATCACTAAAAGACTCAGGATTTGGTAGGTACTGACACACACCTCTAGATGATGAAGAGATTGTCTTCCAGATCACTAACAGACTCAGGATTTGGTAGGTACTGACACCAGGCAACACTGTCAGTCAGGCATTTATGTAAAAAATTATCGTGTTATGATATTTAATCATGTGACAACATTATCTCATTTGACAATATTAAATCAGTTGATAAAACTAAATCATGTGATTTGAGAAAATGATGACATCATACAAGCAGGACTTTGGTTTGTTACAGATGGGAAGATGATAAAAAGAGCACGGGAGTTTCCAGAGCTGTTCCGTTACCTTCCACAACTGGTACCATACCACTTCCTGTCCATTATAAACACAGAACAGGCTGAAATCCTTGAAAGACTTGACTATGCCTTGAAAGAAGAACCTTGGGTGTTTGCATTCAAAAGGGTAAAATTTGTGGCCAAGTGTATGGATGATGGGTCATTATCCCTGTTTCTGTGTTTGAAACCCAGGACAGTTATATCCCTGTTTGAGCCCTGTGCATGTTATATCCCTGTTTGATTGAACCCAGTCCCTGTTTCCGTGTCTGAGCCCAGGACAGTTATATCCCTGTTTGAGCCCAAGACAGTTATATCCCTGTCTGAATGAGCTCAGTCCCTGTTTCCGTGTCTGAGCCCAGGACAGTTATATCCCTTTTTTGAGCCCAAGACAGTTATATCCCTGTCTGAATGAGCTCAGTCCCTGTTTCTGTGTCTGAGCCCAGGACAGTTATATCCCTGTTTGAAGCTTTTACCTTTTATTTCGGTTTGAGCCTTGTCCCTGGGTTATGCCCTGTTTGAGCCTAATCCCCAGGTTATCCCACCTTGTGTCTCATCACTGAATTAGACCCTTAATTATAGGCTCTCTGAGCCTTGTCCCACTTAATTATGCCATATTTGAGCCTCATTCAATGGTAATGTATGGTTGACTCCTTCCCTGAGTTATTTCCTGTTTGAATTTTGTCCCTGGGTTATGATGCTTTGGAGTCTTGACCCAGAATTTCTCAGTTTGAGCCTCATCTCTGGACCATCCCTGTTTGAGTCTTGTCCTTCAGTTATGCTCCATTGAGTCTCATCCTTGGTTATCCTAGCCTCGTCCTTTGGCTATGCCCTGGCTTAGTCTTGTCCCTTGGTTATCCCCAGTTTTGGGTTATTTGTACCATTCATTTTGGCACTGGCCCTACACTAAAAAGTAAAGACAACATTACTGTAGAAGGTCCCGGTCTGGTAACAAATAGCTAAGGCTATATGTAAACTATGTTTTCCCAACATTTTAAAGATGTTTCCCTCAATGACTGTATTAAAACTTGTGTTACCTTATCCTTCAGTGTTAAGTAGAACAAAATGATAAATCAGATTATTTCTAAGAAATTACCAAATTCAGTATAAGGTCCCTTTGAGATTAAATGTTAAAAAAATATGTCCTAATCATTTCAGCAAGTGACAAGATGATACATGCATTGCAAAGAGAGCTAAATGTGTACTGAATAACTGAATATAGTGAGTTGTAGACTCATGTTTAACACTTATTAGTGTACTCTATTAACAGCTCCTGGTGAAAGAGTACCATGTGATGGGGATAGAGGTGAGTCAGGAGGTGCTACGAAAGTGTGGTATCTTATCAAAAATACCGAAACTCTACCAGGAAGCCATTGAACTGTACACTTATGTTAAGAATGAAACAAATGCACATGGCCATACCTGTCTACACCTTAACTCTGATCATCATAATAAGAAGCTAGACACGCTGAACAAGGACAGCAACCAGGGAGCTGTCCTGAAATATCTATATGACAAGGAGATACTAGTTAGGGAGAGGATAGGAGGAAAGGTATGGACTTTTCCATATGACCTGTGGAAAAGTGAGGTCAACATTGCAAAAGGCTTGAACCAGCTGTTTGAACAACACATTGACAGCCCAAAGATACTGGACATAGACGTCCAAAACAAGTAAGTTACACATGTAAAATGGCTACAGACTTTACACAAACCAGACATGACGTCCAAAACAAGTAAGTTACACATGTAAAATGGCTACAGACATAACACAAACCAGACATGACGTCCAAAACAAGTAAGCTACACATGTAAAATGGCTACAGACTTAACACAAACCAGACATGACGTCCAAAACAAGTAAGCTACACATGTAAAATGGCTACAGACTTAACACAAACCAGACATGACGTCCAAAACAAGTAAGCTACACATGTAAAATGGCTACAGACTTAACACAAACCAGACATGACGTCCAAAACAAGTAAGCTACACATGTAAAATGGCTACAGACTTAACACAAACCAGACATGACGTCCAAAACAAGTAAGTTAGACACGTAAAATGGCTACAGACTTAACACAAACCAGACATGATGTCCAAAACAAGTAAGTTACACATGTGAAATGGCTACAGACTAAACACAAACCTGACATGATGTCCAAAACAAGTAAGTTACACATGTAAAATGGCTACAGACTTAACACAAACCTGACATGACGTCCAAAGCAAGTAAGTTACACATGTGAAATGGCTACAGACTAAACAAAAACCTGACATGATGTCCAAAACAAGTAAGTTACACATGTAAAATGGCTACAGACTTAACACAAACCTGACATGACGTCCAAAACAAGTAAGTTACACATGTGAAATGGCTACAGACTAAACGCAAACCAGACATGACATCTAAAACAAGTACTGTATTTACCTTATGATAAACCAATGTGCCCACTATGCGGCCATCATTAGGTCCATTATTACGTCACAATTATCTTTATAACGGCAAAGTTATACTTTATACGTCTTCATATTCTGTAAATTTGTCCTGATGACGGCCGCATAGTGGTCGAAACATATCGACGAATTAGTCCATAAATAAAAACTACAACAAGTATTCCTGGATGTTGAGAATCCTTCCTTTTTGCCTTATGTTGACCATATTGTAAGGAGATCTACAGAATACCTCAGATATCCATTCAGGAACCTAGCCGCAATCTGAGACATATAGTGTGTTGGTTGTTCTACATTGTTTTCTCTTGATATACGGTAACTGAAATATGTATGATAGCATCTGGTATACACTATTCAGACATTCTAAACATCATAAATAAATTGTAACTGCCTTAACATTTAATAGTCAATTTATAAAACCATCTAAGGTAATGAAAGTTAATTACTTAATGAAGATTTGAATTTCGTCTGACAGTCCCAGTTTTGTGAACATATGTACCGACAAGGATCAGATGAAGGCTGCAGAATTCATTAAGAACTATCCTGTTGTTGTCATATCTGGGAAGGGAGGCTGTGGCAAAACAACGGTGGTCACTAAAGTGATGTCAGAAACGTGAGTAGCATATCTGGGAAGGGAGGCTGTGGCAAAACAACGGTGGTCACTAAAGTGATGTCAGAAACGTGAGTAGCATATCTGGGAAGGGAGGCTGTGGCAAAACAACGGTGGTCACTAAAGTGATGTCAGAAACGTGAGTAGCATATCTGGGAAGGGAGGCTGTGGCAAAACAACGGTGGTCACTAAAGTGATGTCAGAAACGTGAGTAGCATATCTGGGAAGGGAGGCTGTGGCAAAACAACGGTGGTCACTAAAGTGATGTCAGAAACGTGAGTAGCATATCTGGGAAGGGAGGCTGTGGCAAAACAACGGTGGTCACTAAAGTGATGTCAGAAACGTGAGTAGCATATCTGGTAAAAACCAGCAGAAAAACAACGGTGGTCACTAAAGTGATGTCAGAAACGTTGTAGCATACATCAGGCTGTGGCAAAACAACGGTGGTCACTAAAGTGATGTCAGAAACGTGAGTAGCATATCTGGGAAGGGAGGCTGTGGCAACCAACGGTGGTCACTAAAGTGATGTCAGAAACGTGAGTGGGAAGGGAGGCTGTGGCAAAACAACGGTGGTCACTAAAGTGATGTCAGAAACGTGAGTAGCATATCTGGTAAAAACCAGCAGAAAAGTAAGTAGCTTGTCACATCAGAATTGTGAGTAGCTGAACCAGACTTGTGTGATCCATACTTCCAGTACTACAGACTTGTTAGATCCATACTTCCTGTACTACAGACTTGTTAGATCCATACTTCCAGTACTACAGACTTGTTAGATCCATACTTCCTGTACTACAGACTTGTTAGATCCATACTTCCTGTACTACAGACTTGTTAGATCCATACTTCCTGTACTACAGACTTGTTAGATCCATACTTCCTGTACTACAGACTTGTTAGATCCATACTTCCTGTACTACAGACTTGTTAGATCTTTACTTCCTGTATTACAGACTTGTTAGATCCATACTTCCTGTACTACAGACTTGTTAGATCCATACTTCCTGTACTACAGACTTGTTAGATCCATTCTTCTTGTACTACAGACTTGTTAGATCCATACTTCCTGTACTACAGACTTGTAAGATCCGTACTTCTTGTACTACAGACTTGTTAGATCCATACTTCCTGTACTACAGACTTGTTAGATCTGTGCTTCCTGTACTACAGACTTGTATGATCCATACTTCCTGTACTACAGACTTATATGATCCATACTTCCTGTACTACAGACTTGTTAGATCCATACTTCCTGTACTACAGACTTGTTAGATCTGTACTTCCTGTATTACAGACTTGTTAGATCCATACTTCCTGTACTACAGACTTGTTAGATCCATACTTCCTGTACTACAGACTTGTTAGATCCATACTTCCTGTACTACAGACTTGTTAGATCCATACTTCCTGTACTACAGACTTGTTAGATCCATACTTCCTGTACTACAGACTTGTTAGATCCATTCTTCTTGTACTACATACTTGTTAGATCCGTACTTCCCCGTACTACAGACTAGTTAGATCCGTACTTCCAGTACTACAGACTTGTTAGATCCGTACTTCCTGTACTACAGACTTGTTAGATCCATACTTCCTGTACTACAGACTTGTTAGATCCATACTTCCTGTACTACAGACTTGTTAGATCCATACTTCCTGTACTACAGACTTGTTAGATCCATACTTCCTGTACTACAGACTTGTTAGATCCATACTTCCTGTACTACAGACTTGTTAGATCTGTACTTCCTGTACTACAGACTTGTTAGATCCATACTTCCTGTACTACAGACTTGTTAGATCCATACTTCCTGTACTACAGACTTGTTAGATCCATACTTCCTGTACTACAGACTTGTTAGATCCATACTTCCTGTACTACAGACTTGTTAGATCCATACTTCCAGTACTACAGACTTGTTAGATCCATACTTCCAGTACTACAGACTTGTTAGATCCATACTTCCTGTACTACAGACTTGTAAGATCCGTACTTCTTGTACTACAGACTTGTTAGATCCATACTTCCTGTACTACAGACTTGTTAGATCCATACTTCCTGTACTACAGACTTGTTAGATCCATACTTCCTGTACTACAGACTTGTTAGATCTGTACTTCCTGTATTACAGACTTGTTAGATCCATACTTCCTGTACTACAGACTTGTTAGATCCATACTTCCTGTACTACAGACTTGTTAGATCCATACTTCCAGTACTACAGACTTGTATGATCCATACTTCCTGTACTACAGACTTGTTAGATCCATACTTCCTGTACTACAGACTTGTTAGATCCATACTTCCAGTACTACAGACTTGTTAAATCCATACTTCCTGTACTACAGACTTGATAGATCCATACTTCCAGTACTAAAGACTTGTTAGATCCATACTTCCTGTACTACAGACTTGTTAGATCCATACTTCCTGTACTACAGACTTGTTAGATCTGTACTTCCAGTACTAAAGACTTGTTAGATCCATACTTCCTGTACTACAGACTTGTTAGATCCATACTTCCTGTACTACAGACTTGTTAGATCTGTACTTCCTGTACTACAGACTTGTTAGATCTGTACTTCTAGTACTAAAGACTTGTTAGATCCATACTTCCTGTACTACAGACTTGTTAGATCCATACTTCCTGTACTACAGACTTGTTAGATCTGTACTTCCTGTACTACAGACTTGTTAGATCTGTACTTCTAGTACTAAAGACTTGTTAGATCCATACTTCCTGTACTACAGACTTGTTAGATCCATACTTCCTGTACTACAGACATGTTAGATCCATACTTCCTGTACTACAGACTTGTTAGATCCATACTTCCTGTAGTACAGACTTGTATGATCTGTACTTCCAGTACTACAGACTTGTTAGATCCATACTTCCTGTACTACAGACTTGTTAGATCCATACTTCCTGTACTACAGACTTGTTAGATCCATACTTCCTGTACTACAGACTTGTTAGATCTGTACTTCCAGTACTAAAGACTTGTTAGATCCATACTTCCTGTACTACAGACTTGTTAGATCCATACTTCCTGTACTACAGACTTGTTAGATCCATACTTCCAGTACTAAAGACTTGTTAGATCCATACTTCCTGTACTACAGACTTGTTAGATCCATACTTCCTGTACTACAGACTTGTTAGATCTGTACTTCCAGTACTAAAGACTTGTTAGATCCATACTTCCTGTACTACAGACTTGTTAGATCCATACTTCCTGTTCTACAGACTTGTATGATCTGTACTTCCAGTACTACAGACTTGTATGATCCATACTTCCTGTACTACAGACTTGTTAGATCCATACTTCCTGTTCTACAGACTTGTATGATCTGTACTTCCAGTACTACAGACTTGTATGATCCATACTTCCTGTACTACAGACTTGTTAGATCCATACTTCCTGTACTACAGACTTGTTAGATCCATACTTCCAGTACTACAGACTTGTTAGATCCATACTTCCTGTAAAGACTATCCAGACTTGTTAGATCTGTACTTCCTGTACTACAGACTTGTTAGATCTGTACTTCCAGTACTAAAGACTTGTTAGATCCATACTTCCTGTACTACAGACTTGTTAGATCCATACTTCCTGTACTACAGACTTGTTAGATCTGTACTTCCAGTACTACAGACTTGTTAGATCTGTACTTCCTGTACTACAGACTTGTTAGATCTGTACTTCCTGTACTACAGACTTGTTAGATCCATACTTCCTGTACTACAGACTTGTGAGATCTGTACTTCCAGTACTAAAGACTTGTTAGATTTATACTTCCTGTACTACAGACTTGTTAGATCTGTACTTCCAGTACTACAGACTTGTTAGATCTGTACTTCCAGTACTAAAGACTTGTTAGATCCATACTTCCTGTACTACAGACTTGTTTACATAAGTTATATAGAACAGTAAACTTTGTGAAGACTGTTAATCAATTTTCCAAAGATTATGAGAGATATACTTAAATTATGGCTTTGTACAATTATTTTCAAGGTTTTGGTAAAAGCACAAACGTGTATATACTTTTCAAGTCAAACTCAGAACTAGAAGCAGTGGAGTCTCATCACAATTTGACTTTGACTCTGGAAGTACCTGGCATTTAGTGCAGCAGGGCCGAACTCTTAAGAGTCGACTAACTGTATAGATAAACATGCTTACCAATATATGTTGATGTAGTAGTTGAATTATTATTTTGTTTATTATTCTTAACATTATATTTTCAGGTGCAAAGAAATTGATGATAATCCGATTGTCATGTATACTGCCCCAACAGGAAAGGCTGCAAAGCTGCTTGGACGGAAAGCAGGCACAGATGGCTTTACATTACATCAGATAATTTATAGTTTCCGTTTCCACATGAAAATGAAGCCAGACTTACCCTGGAAGTTTTCAAGTACAAAGGTCCTTGTTGTAGATGAGTGTAGTATGGTCGCAGTCCACATCTTTGCGACATTACTGGACATCCTCCTGAGGAACTCCAATCTTCAGCGAATCATTCTCCTTGGAGATGTACGACAACTGCCATCTGTCCAACCAGGAAATTTTCTGGAGGATATTTTTAACACTTTCAATTGGAACCCTGGTTGTAGCATTGAACTTAAAACCAACCACCGATCCGAATCAGAATTAATAGTCAATAATGCTACAAAAATTTCTTGTAAACAGATGCCAAAATTTGATGAAAAGTGTAATTACAGATTTTATTCTGTTTTGCCTAATAAGCAAATCACAGATCAGAAGGAATATGAAAACGAACATTTCAAGAAAGGTGATTAGACATGAGGACAATATTCTGTCCATGTATGTATAAGAAAAATAGTGGATCCTACTGGTGGTTTCATTTTATATGAACATTATAAAGTCAGTTTAAGAATTTTACATTTAATCTATGCACTGTAAAATGAAAAATTGATGACAAAGGCTGATTTTCCTATCTTGTATATATGTTTGCAGGGTGTAAATAGACCAGCCCATAGGAGGGATATGCTACCAACGTGTTTTTGTTTTTATCCCCAAGACAACAGAATTTTAGATTTTTGAGAGTATTAGGATTTTTACTACATTTTTGTGGGTATTTTTTAATTGTCATTGATATTTTTCTCAGTTTTAGAAAACATGCTTAGAAACCAGGAAAACATGCGAGACCATACCACTTCCCACATCATTGCTTACAGGAGGTAATTATCACCATAGTATTAGTATAGGAACCAAATCAGAAAGGCACAAAAAATTGAAATAACACAATACCCCCAACCCCTCCCCCTCCCCTACCTTGTGTGACAGAGGTCAACAATAATTCTGTCATGAGTGAGTTTAAGGTGCAAAGGTAAAGGTCACCATAAGGCTATTTATAGAAATTTGTCATTCAATATTTATACTCATGTGTACAGAAGCAGAAACCATTTTTGTCATACAAGCATCTTCTAGTTATCATTTGGATTATCATGACTTTCAGTGTTGGATTTTTGTGTTGTTTCTATTTTCAGAAACATGTGTAAAGTCATCAATGAATTGGCAATGGAATTCTACAATCCAGATCGTGTAGAGGGAAAGCCCAGGGAGATCAACAAATTCAAAATAGGAGATAAAGTGGGACTTTATAAGAATGGATGGGTGAGCTTATTTAAATGGGAGGGTGGAACAAGAGGTTTTGTCTCTCCAGTGTATGTGGAAGACACAGATGACCAGGTAATGCAGCCCACCCAGTTGCCCACAGTTACAGAGACACCCTGCAAGAAGCTAGGAATAGTCCAGAAGTTAACATTAGAGGAGGAGTTGTCTGTTTGTTACAGCCAAGAAATTGCCGGAAAGATGTTACAGGACCAGGACCAACAAGGAGGGGAATCAGTATCACAGCAAGGTGAAAAAGAAAAGACTCAGAAGAAGATCAGGCTTTGTAATGGAGAGATATACTTCATCAAAGATGTGAGTTGGGTGGCAAAGCATTACGTATTCCATACTTTAACAACACTAAAGATATTTAGTTTTTAGCAAGATCATGATAAAATATTAAATTGAACTGATAATGAGTCAATAATTTGATAATTTGAAATCCGGTATAGGAAGTGCTAGCAGGATAGTATACTGTCCTGTCTACAGGGCCACAATACTGTATACAACATGTGTGTTAAGAGCTAATAAAGTAGTACAAAAGAAAGGAAATCACTCCTACCTTCATTTTGACCTTTGACCTCTGTTATTTAAATTATTATAGTGCTTACTTTGCTTTCATAAGATAAATGACCTTTGGTTAAAATCAAGGTTGGAGTTGTCGGCAGAAAATGATTTTTGAATTCTAATATTTAGAAACTGATCTGTCCATAGAAATATTACTTTATACAAGTAGAATGTTGTTCTTTATCAGAGAATGTTATGTACGTGTGATCTGTACATCTAGAATGTTGTTCTTTATCAGAGAATGTTATGTACGTGTGATCTGTACATCTAGAATGTTGTTCTTTATCAGAGAATGTTATGTACGTGTGATCTGTACATGTAGAATGTTGTTCTTTATCAGAGAATGTTATGTACGTGTGATCTGTACATCTAGAATGTTGTTCTTTATCAGAGAATGTTATGTACGTGTGATCTGTACATCTAGAATGTTGTTCTTTATCAGAGAATGTTATGTACGTGTGATCTGTACATCTAGAATGTTGTTCTTTATCAGAGAATGTTATGTACGTGTGTTGAATCTTCTTCTTTATCCGAGAATGTTATGTACGTGTGATCTGTACATCTAGAATGTTGTTCTTTATCAGAGAATGTTATGTACGTGTGATCTGTACATCTAGAATGTTGTTCTTTATCAGAGAATGTTATGTACGTGTGATCTGTACATCTAGAATGTTGTTCTTTATCAGAGAATGTTATGTACGTGTGATCTGTACATGCAGAATGTTGTTCTTTATCAGAGAATGTTATGTACGTGTGATCTGTACATCTAGAATGTTGTTCTTTATCAGAGAATGTTATGTACGTGTGATCTGTACATCTAGAATGTTGTTCTTTATCAGAGAATGTTATGTACGTGTGATCTGTACATCTAGAATGTTGTTCTTTATCAGAGAATGTTATGTACGTGTGATCTGTACATCTAGAATGTTGTTCTTTATCAGAGAATGTTATGTATGTGTGATCTGTACATCTAGAATGTTGTTCTTTATCAGAGAATGTTATGTACGTGTGATCTGTATGATCTGTACATCGTGTAGTACATCTAGAATGTTGTTCTTTATCAGAGAATGTTATGTACGTGTGATCTGTACATCTAGAATGTTGTTCTTTATCAGAGAATGTTATGTACGTGTGTGATGTTGTTCTTTATCAGAGAATGTTATGTACGTGTGATCTGTACATCTAGAATGTTGTTCTTTATCAGAGAATGTTATGTACGTGTGATCTGTACATCTAGAATGTTGTTCTTTATCAGAGAATGTTATGTACGTGTGATCTGTACATCTAGAATGTTGTTCTTTATCAGAGAATGTTATGTACGTGTGATCTGTACATCTAGAATGTTGTTCTTTATCAGAGAATGTTATGTATGTGTGTGATCTGTACATGTACACTAGAATGTTGTTCTTTATAGAATGTTGTTCTTTATCAGAGAATGTTATGTACGTGTGATCTGTACATCTTGAATGTTGTTCTTTATCAGTGTATTTTATGTACGTGTGATCTGTACATCTTTATCAGAGAAGAATGTTGTTCTTTATCAGAGAATGTTATGTACGTGTGATCTGTACATCTAGAATGTTGTTCTTTATCAGAGAATGTTATGTACGTGTGATCTGTACATCTAGAATGTTGTTCTTTATCAGAGAATGTTATGTACGTGTGATCTGTACATCTAGAATGTTATGTACGTGTGTCTGTACATCTAGAATGTTGTTCTTTATCAGAGAATGTTATGTACGTGTGATCTGTACATCTAGAATGTTGTTCTTTATCAGAGAATGTTATGTACGTGTGATCTGTACATCTAGAATGTTGTTCTTTATCAGAGAATGTTATGTACGTGTGATCTGTACATCTAGAATGTTGTTCTTTATCAGAGAATGTTATGTACGTGTGATCTGTACATCTAGAATGTTGTTCTTTATCAGAGAATGTTATGTACGTGTGATCTGTACATCTAGAATGTTGTTCTTTATCAGAGAATGTTATGTACGTGTGATCTGTACATCTAGAATGTTGTTCTTTATCAGAGAATGTTATGTACGTGTGATCTGTACATCTAGAATGTTGTTCTTTATCAGAGAATGTTATGTACGTGTGTGTACATCTGTTCTTTATCAGAGAATGTTATGTACGTGTGATCTGTACATCTAGAATGTTGTTCTTTATCAGAGAATGTTATGTACGTGTGATCTGTACATGTTCTTTATCTAGAATGTATGTACGTGTGATCTGTACATCTAGAATGTTGTTCTTTATCAGAGAATGTTATGTACGTGTGATCTGTACATCTAGAATGTTGTTCTTTATCAGAGAATGTTATGTACGTGTGATCTGTACATCTAGAATGTTCTTTATCAGAGAATGTTATGTATATGTGATCTGTACATCTAGAATGTTCTTTATCAGAGAATGTTATGTACGTGTGATCTGTACATCTAGAATGTTGTTCTTTATCAGAGAATGTTATGTACGTGTGATCTGTACATCTAGAATGTTGTTCTAGAATGTTGTTCTTTATCAGAGAATGTTATGTACGTGTGATCTGTACATCTAGAATGTTGTTCTTTATCAGAGAATGTTATGTACGTGTGATCTGTACATGTAGAATGTTCTTTATCAGAGAATGTTATGTACGTGTGATCTGTACATCTAGAATGTTGTTCTTTATCAGAGAATGTTATGTAGAACAATTGTATATACATGTACATCGTTAATAAAACTTTTGTTTGATGTGTTTGAAGGATTATGAACAAGAAGAAGAAGTTAAATCTGGTGTATTTCGTCGCCGACGTTACCTGAAGCTGTCTGATGAAGATGGTGAATCACCAACAGAATTTTATGCCTTGTACTCACAGCTAATGAGGGAATGTAAAATGACACAGGCATGGGCAAAGACAATACACACATTCCAGGTAATTTGTGAAAATATGGTACTGTACACAACATATTCTAGGTAATTTGTGAAAATATGGTACTGTACACTACACATTCCAGATAATATAGCACAAATATTGAACTGTACAAAATGTTGTCAAAATATGGTACTGTACACTACACACTTCAGGTGATAGAGTGAAAATATAGTATAAAAGAAAAATTGTACCTAAAACTATTGTTTCCCGTGTTGAAGGACTCCTAATCTAACTCTTTTTTTTTGCATTGCAGGATTATGAGAGTAACCATAATGTGTCGCAGGCCTTTGAGTGTCACCCTTTTGTTTCTCGTTTTGCAAGACTGTGTTTTTTTTTTTTTTTTTTGCTTTTAAAGTTCCAAGTGAGTTGGTTGATAAGTGGGGCACTGCACATTGGGAGTGGATACCGAAAGGTATGCTGGGCAATGAAATAAAATATTAAAATTAAAGCAACAACAGTGTTAAACTCAGAATCCTGCGATACAAGAAAAAAAATCCAAATAAGTTTCAATCACAACACACACCAGGGGGTCATATGTTAACCCACTCACAGGTGATGCTTTGTGTGTGTCGTGATTGGAACTTATTTGGATCTTTTTTTTTTTCCTGTATCATAGGATTCTGAGTTTAACACTGTTGTTTCTTGTGTTGCAAGGCACCAAGTGTAACACTGTTTTTGTTTCTTGTGTTGCAGAGCTCCAAGTGTAACTATGTTGTTTCCTGTGTTGCAGGGCTTGGAGTGTAACCCTATTTTTGTTTCTTGTGTGGCAGGGCTTGGAGTGTAACCCTATTTTTGTTTCTTGTGTGGCAGGGCCTGGAGTGTAACCCTATTTTTGTTTCTTGTGTTACAGTACTTAGAATGTAACGCTATGATTTCTTGTGTTGCTTGTGTTGCAGGGCTCCGAGTGTAACTATATTGTTTCCTGTGTTGCAGGTCCTGGAGTGTAACCCTTTTTTTGTTTCTTGTGTTACAGGACTTAGAATGTAACACAATGATTTCTTGTGTTGCTTGTGTTGCAGGGCTCTGAGTGTAATACAATCACCTTTGTGGTTGGGAACTGTAAAAATCAGAACTGGTCACATGTGTATACAGCTGTAACAAGAGGGCGCAGTTCAGTCAACATTGTCGGTCAGGAGGAATGTCTTCAAATGTCAGTGAAAAAAGGAAAAATGCCTAGGGAGACAGGACTCTCTCATCAGCTGAAGAAAATTATACCAGTAAATATTGCCATAGCATGTAACATAGTGTATTGTCTGATCATACATGTTGTCAGAATCTTGATTATACAGAACCAACAACAGATGAATCATGGACTGAGTTATATGGTAAAGGAAAGGGCCTGGTTTGAATACTCCAGCTTTAGCTACTATCAGAGAACTTAGAATCATTGTCTGTTCCTTACCAATCATACTAATCAGCTGTCTGCTGTTAGTCTGGATTTACTGGACATTCATTTGTCGAGAGTGAAGGTCATTAGATAAAAATCAAAGTTTAGTTAATATTCTGATATAGATTTAAAGACACCACTTAAACATAATAACTATCATTATGCAGTGTGGCATGATGGTCATCACTAGACAGTGTGGCATGATGGCCATCACCAGGCAGTGTGGCATGATGGCCATCACTAGACAGTGTTGCATATGGCTATCACCAGGCAGTGTGGCATGATGGCCATCACTAGACAGTGTGGCATGATGTCCCCTACTAGACACTGTGGTATGACTTTACTTGAAAGGGCATTTCTGTTTTGCCATATCCCGTAAAGAGGAGGGTAAAAACCCTTTCATACAATATTGGGTTTCCATGTAAGGATTTACCAGACCATCAAGCCATTTACCTTTATCTGAGAGTTACTAGTAAGCATTACAAAATGGAGGTAATCTCAATTTTTGTATTTACCCATGAGGTATAAAAGTCCTTATAAAAATTATAACACTTGTTTCCAGAGCTTGTTTTGGCTACTCTGTGTGGACTTAAGTGTAAAGATACATCAAGGGGAGGCAGTGTCTAAGAAACATGTTTAAAAGTATAAACTACCTGTTATTCTCTTTTGATTTTACTAAACCATGATCTTGATAATTTAATCATCTATAGATATGAGATCAGTTATGCTGTTACGGTCCATGGTTTATCATACAGAAGCTTTATAAATTGTCTGCTCTGCTCCATACTAATGGCCATGTCTTACCAGATGTTCTGACTTTTTGTGATAATCCCTCTGACATAGACATTGTATCACTATATCTGTCAGCACAGCAGCAGAAAGCTTTCCTCTGACAGGGACATTATATCACTATATCTGTCAGTACAGCAACTGCAAGCTTTCCTCTGACAGGGACATTATATCACTATATCTGTCAGCACAGCAGCAGAAAGCTTTCCTCTGACAGGGACATTATATCACTATATCTGTCAGCACAGCAGCAGAAAGCTTTCCTCTGACAGGGACATTATATCACTATATCTGTCGGTACAGCAACTGCAAGCTTTCCTCTGACAGAAACATTGTATCACTATATCTGTCAGTACAGCAGCAGAAAGCTTTCCTCTGACAGAGACATTATATCACTATATCTGTCAGTACAGCAACTGCAAGCTTTCCTCTGACAGAAACATTTATATCACTATATCTGTCAGTACAGCAACTGCAAGCTTTCCTCTGACAGAAACATTGTATCACTATATCTGTCAGTACAGCAGCAGAAAGCTTTCCTCTGACAGGGACATTATATCACTATATCTGTCAGTACAGCAACTGCAAGCTTTCCTCTGACAGAGACATTGTATCACTATATCTGTCAGTACAGCAACAGAAAGCTTTCCTCTGACAGGGACATTGTATCACTATATCTGTCGGTACAGCAACTGCAAGCTTTCCTCTGACAGAAACATTGTATCACTATATCTGTCAGTACAGCAACAGAAAGCTTTCCTCTGACAGGGACATTGTATCACTATATCTGTCGGTACAGCAACTGCAAGCTTTCCTCTGACAGGGACATTGTATCGCTATATCTGTCGGTACAGCAACTGCAAGCTTTTCTCTGACAGAGACATTGTATCACTATATCTGTCAGCACAGCAACTGCAAGCTTTCCTCTGACAGAAACATTGTATCATTACATCTGTCAGTACAGCAACAGAAAACTTTCCTCTGACAGGGACAGTATATAACTATATCTGTCAGTACAGCAACAGAAAGCTTTCCTCTGACAGAGACATTGTATCACTATATCTGTCAGCACAGCAACTGCAAGCTTTCCTCTGACCAGGACAATGTATTTCTGATTGCTTAATATTGTAACACACTTTACCTGTAATTACCTGGGGATTGGCATGTTCAGTCACACCCAGTTTGTCTAACAAAATCACACCTGTGATCACACCTGTACTAATACATGATTAGTACTCACCCTTGTCAATTCAACTAGATTACAACTTACTAATTCAATGTTATATTAATGAATTAATCTCATTTTGGAGTGTATTGCTAAACAAACATCCTTAAACAGGTTCTTCTGTTAGAATCCTTGTCAACCTTTCTCTCCTCATAGTCAGGGTCAGAATGATTACTTCAACCAACAATGTCACAGGGTAAAAATTTGCCTTCCTTGTCTGACAGTCAGTCCAAAATCAAAGTAGGAAGGATTACATCTAGGAGAAAATATGCAAGGATTAAGGTATTCTGGTTCCTTAACATCACTTAATTGAAAAATGTTCATGGCCAAGATGTACCTTGTTTTACAGGAGTTATATATCATAGTTTTGTTGAAAGTAATCTTACTTTTTTCATTGGAGTCAGTGAGAGATTTACTAACAGGTTCTGTCTGTCCATTCATGCAGCCTACTGGATCAGGAGAAGTTTATATGAGAATATCCCAGTTATATACATGTAGACTACACCTGTACCAGTGTGGGAGACATTGATGAGTTCCAGGTCTTAACATTTGAGTTACTGATGTTTGATCTACACTTAACATTTGAATTACTGATGTGTGATCTACACTTAACATTTGAATTACTGATGTGTGATCTACACTTAACATTTGAGTTACTGATGTGTGATCTACACTTAACATTTGAATTACTGATGTGTGATCTACACTTAACATTTGAGTTACTGATGTGTGATCTACACTTAACATTTGAATTACTGATGTGTGATCTACACTTAACATTTAACATGTGTGAACTTAACATTTGAATTACTGATGTGTGATCTACACTTAACATTTGAGTTACTGATGTGAGTGATCTACACTTAACATTTGAATTACTGATGTGTGATCTACACTTAACATTTGAGTTACTGATGTGAGTGATCTACACTTAACATTTGAGTTACTGATGTGAGACATGTCCATATATATATATGATAACATTCTATATACATAACATTTGCTCTGTTTAATTCATCTTAATGAGTTTGGTATTGTTTTGATACAACATAGGACCAATATTAATACCTTTAAGTGCAGTCTTAGTAAATATTGACAAGGAGTAGACCACAAGTTAACAACAATTAGTCAGACATTTAATCATGAAAAAATGTTTTGCCAAAAGTTTATGGTAGTGAACTAAAATGTCAGTCATCATTCTTCAATACTATAAAGTATAATATTGATGATTTCTTAATATAAAAACTTCTTAATTCATGTCTGATGGTATACCTGAATGCCAAGTGAGCATCCATCTAGCATATCATTTCCTTTAAAAAATCTGCTGAATAATCAAAACGGTCCAGGTTCTGATAGTTGGACAGTAGCCTGCTGGAATCAGGACTTTTCTTTCAATCACTTTGGATTTTCCTCAGTCGCCTCCTAGGTTTTCAAAATTTAGGACCTTATCAATAATGAGACCTGGAATGATGAAACAGCTGTATGACGTAGCATTGCTGATGAGTCCTAGAGGGACAAAACAGCTGTATGACGTAGCATTGCTGGCGCATCCTAAAAGGATGAAACAGCTGTATGACGTAGCATTACTGATGAGTCCTAGAGGGACAAAACAGCTGTATGACGTAGCATCACTGATGAGTCCTAGAGGGACAAAACAGCTGTATGACGTAGCATTACTGATGAGTCCTAGAGGGACAAAACAGCTGTATGACGTAGCATTACTGATGAGTCCTAGAGGGACAAAACAGCTGTATGATGTAGCATTACTGATGAGTCCTAGAATGACGAAACAACTGTATGACGTAGCATTACTGATGAGTCCTAGAGGGACAAAACAGCTGTATGACGTAGCATTACTGATGAGTCCTAAGGGACAAAACAGCTGTATGACGTAGCATCACTGATGAGTCCTAGAGGGACAAAACAGCTGTATGATGTAGCATTACTGATGATCCTAGAGGGACAAAACAGCTGTATGACGTAGCATTACTGATGAGTCCTAGAGGGACAAAACAGCTGTATGACGTAGCATTACTGATGAGTCCTAGAGGGACAAAACAGCTGTATGACGTAGCATTACTGATGATCCTAGAGGGACAAAACAGCTGTATGACGTAGCATTACTGATGATCCTAGAGGGACAAAACAGCTGTATGATGTAGCATTACTGATGAGTCCTAGAGGGACAAAACAGCTGTATGACGTAGCATTACTGATGAGTCCTAGAGGGACAAAACAGCTGTATGACGTAGCATTACTAATGATCCTAGAGGGACAAAACAGCTGTATGATGTAGCATTACTGATGAGTCCTAGAGGGACAAAACAGCTGTATGATGTAGCATCACTGATGAGTCCTAGAGGGACAAAACAGCTGTATGACGTAGCATTACTGATGATCCTAGAGGGACAAAACAGCTGTATGACGTAGCCTTACTGATGAGTCCTAGAATGACGAAACAACTGTATGACGTAGCATTACTGATGAGTCCTAGAGGGACAAAACAGCTGTATGACGTAGCATTACTGATGAGTCCTAGAGGGACAAAACAGCTGTATGACGTAGCATCACTGATGAGTCCTAGAGGGACAAAACAGCTGTATGATGTAGCATTACTGATGATCCTAGAGGGACAAAACAGCTGTATGACGTAGCATTACTGATGAGTCCTAGAGGGACAAAACAGCTGTATGACGTAGCATTACTGATGATCCTAGAGGGACAAAACAGCTGTATGATGTAGCATTACTGATGAGTCCTAGAGGGACAAAACAGCTGTATGACGTAGCATCACTGATGAGTCCTAGAGGGACAAAACAGCTGTATGACGTAGCATTACTGATGATCCTAGAGGAACAAAACAGCTGTATGACGTAGCCTTACTGATGAGTCCTAGAATGACGAAACAACTGTATGACGTAGCATTACTGATGAGTCCTAGAGATACAAAACAGCTGTATGACGTAGCATTACTGATGAGTCCTAGAGGGACAAAACAGCTGTATGACGTAGCATCACTGATGAGTCCTAGAGGGACAAAACAGCTGTATGATGTAGCATTACTGATGATCCTAGAGGGACAAAACAGCTGTATGACGTAGCATTACTGATGAGTCCTAGAGGGACAAAACAGCTGTATGACGTAGCATTACTGATGAGTCCTAGAGGGACAAAACAGCTGTATGATGTAGCATTACTGATGAGTCCTAGAGGGACGAAACAGCTGTATGATGTAGCATTACTGATGAGTCCTAGAATGACGAAACAGCTGTATGATGTAGCATTGCTGGTGCATCCTAAAAGGATGAAACAGCTGTATGATGTAGCATTACTGATGAGTTCAGAGGGAAAAAAACAGCTGTATGACGTAGCATTACCAATGAGTCCTAGAGGGAAAAAAACAGCTGTATGACGTAGCATTACCAATGAGTCCTAGAGGGACAAAACAGCTGTATGACGTAGCATCACTGACGAGTCCTAGAGGGACAAAACAGCTGTATGACGTAGCATTACTGATGAGTCCTAGAATGACGAAACAGCTGTATGATGTAGCATTGCTGGCACATCCTAAAAGGATGAAACAGCTGTATGACGTAGCATCACTGATGAGTCCTAGAGGGACAAAACAGCTGTATGACGTAGCATTACTGATGAGTCCTAGAATGACGAAACAACTGTATGATGTAGCATTGCTGGCACATCCTAAAAGGATGAAACAGCTGTATGACGTAGCATCACTGACGAGTCCTAGAGGGACAAAACAGCTGTATGATGTAGCATCACTTACGAGTCCTAGAAGGATAAAACAGCTGTATGATGCAATTTAATTCATTGTCTGACAATACTGTATCTAACCTTAAAGTTATATCAAAAGGTGCTCTTCACTTGTGTCTTTTGAACAAGTGAATAGGACCAGGGCCATATTTACCATCCACATACTGGGATGATGAGCTATCAAATTTTTTAAACTGACATTCTTTCAAGCTCCAAGTGGTCAAACGTATAAATCTGGAAACATTTTTTTTCTAAAAAATAAATCATTACTGATTTTGATTCCTGGCATTCTGGGATGAACGGCTTTAAGTTTTCAAATGAATGACCAAGGTTAATTTGTAAGGTTGCATTTATAACTAAATTCAACAGGTATTCCGTACATTGTAAAATCTTTTAGATACCACTAACATTTATGGAACGAAGTAAGTTGTGTCATTCACAGTAGCTAGAGGAATAAACAGTATGCAGTACAGGTTTATTGTTGGAACTGTTGTCTTGAGAAGATTTTTTTGTGCTTGTTAACAGAACTCTTAGATGATAATAATATGATTCACTCTTCTTTTTCAGTCTACTCTCAGAGAAGAACTGTTCAAAATTGCTCGAAATGGTGGATCACCAGCAAAGAAAGTGGAGATATCTAGGAACGATTCATTTTCTGATTTGAAGGAAATAGAAAACAGTGAGATTTACAACACATCATCTGTGGAAAGCCCTTGTTTCAGTGGATATACCACACCCACAAAGACTGACTGCAGGTCAAAGGTCAGTGGATATCTCAGCAGCCAAAATGGTGACTCTGAAAAGTCAAGGTCAAGACATCATCAAGGTTCTTCCAGGTCATCAGATCATTGCATGTTCAAAGGTCAAGGATCTGAAAGATACACACGTTTAGTCACACCACATAGCACATTGGTAGAGTCACCAGCAAAGTCTAGACTGTTTAAAGAGAACACTGCGACACCTCCATCAGAATGTAAATGTCACAACAACACAGCTTGTATTTGTGGGGTTACACCTTTGTCGTTGGAGTCTGGAGAGCACCTTGTTGACAATTCCCCAGGTAGTGCAAGAGGAGAGAGTGAAGTGTGTCTGAACGATAGTCAGTGGTCAGATGTTAGCAATAATGAAATATTGTTTCAATGTGAGGAACAGGTGCTACAACAGACTGATTCAGATGAGACAGTAAATATGGCAGGTGATCATTTTGAGCAGTCAGATGATGATGATTTCATCAATATTAATACAGAGTCTGAATATATGGCCGTATCCTCAACATCCTTGTTGTCTGTACCTCAGACAACAGGACTAAACCTGCTACACCCATCCCCAAAACGGCTACCTGAAGATAACTTGGATGGTGCCACGCCTGCTAAACAGATACGCCAAGCTGCCTTGCATACAGGCATGACACCAGCATTTAAGAAACTAAATTTCTAATTTAGGTTATTCCACTAAAACATTTACCCTACCCTAGGACTCTAGGTTTTGATAATTGTTTAAAATTAATAGGCAGAAAACTAAACTTTGAGTAGAAGTTGATCATTTTCAAGTTCTATGGTCAAATAGATGTTTCAATGGAATAGCCCTAGTAAGGGTATATGGAGGGTGTTTTCACTGGAATTGGAGTGTCCGTCTATGGAGAGGTTTGTTTGTAGTCATGCTGCTTACACTCATTTCTTGATCATTACCCAATATATTGATGAGATGATAACATTTTTCTTTGTTTTGTTATATATAATTATATATGTTTGTATGAAGTATACATTCTCGACAAGCCTTTTGCACATCATCATCATCTTCACTATGGGCAGTAATTCTTGGTTCTGCACTGACAATTTTTGTGGGATTCTCCTACATTCCATCAATACTTTCAAAAGTCAAATGCTGGAAATTTTCATAAGACATTTCACTTCTCTCCATTTGGTTTCAAATGGCAGTGAGGCACTAGTTTTAAATGTGTGAACATTTTTTTTTTATGTCTGTAGTTAACAATTTAATTTTTGTTATTGTTTGGTGTCATGCCCTTTTTATAGTGGTGTACATCAATAATGTCTTTAAAATACTAGTAGCATTAAATGATTGAGTGGATTTTGTTTTAAGTGTGGTCAGAAGCATCCTTGGTGGGGGGAGTGGATTTTGTTTAAGTGTGGTCAGAAGCATCCTTGGTGGGGGGAGTGGATTTTGTTTAAGTGTGGTCAGAAGCATCCTTGGAGGGTGTGGGGGGGGGAGTGGATTTTGTTTAAGTTTGGTCATAAGCAACAATGGTGGGGGGGGAGTGGATTTTGTTTAAGTGTGGTCAGAAGCATCCTTGGTGGGGGGGGGGGGGGAGTGGATTTTGTTTAAGTGTGGTCAGAAGCAAACATGGTGGGGGGGGGAGTGGATTTTGTTTAAGTGTGGTCAGAAGCATCCTTGGTGGGGGGGAGTGGATTTTGTTTAAGTGTGGTCAGAAGCATCCTTGGTGGGGGGGGGGGAGTGGATTTTGTTTAAGTGTGGTCAGAAGCATCCTTGGTGGGGGGGGGGAGTGGATTTTGTTTAAGTGTGGTCAGAAGCATCCTTGGTGGGGGGGGGAGTGTATTTTGTTTAAGTGTGGTCAGAAGCATCCTTGGTGGGGGGGAGTGGATTTTGTTTAAGTGTGGTCAGAACCATCCTTGGTGGGGGGGGGGGGAGTGGATTTTGTTTAAGTGTGGTCAGAAGCATCCTTGGTGGGGGGGGAGTGGATTTTTTTTAAGTGTGGTCAGAAGCATCCTTGGAGGGTGGGGGGGAGTGGATTTTGTTTAAGTGTGGTCAGAAGCATCCTTGGAGGGTGGGGGTGGGGGGAGTGGATTTTGTTTAAGTGTGATCAGAAGCATCCTTGGAGGGGGGTGGGGGGAGTGGATTTTGTTTAAGTGTGGTCAGAAGCATCCTTGGAGGGTGGTGTGGGGGTGGGGGGGGGAGAGAATCAACTTTGTATAAAGGGAAATTGAGCAAATTCTTAAAAATCCTTCTTCTTCTTGTAGGAATGGTTGCATTTTGTCCAAATTTGGTCTGTGGCATTCATAGGTGAAGGGGGCTCAATTTTGTATACACAGGGGATTTGTTCCCTTGGGCAGAAACCAATAGCGTAAATAGAGCTAAATCTTTAAAAAAAGTCTTTATTCTCCTTTAGGAATGCTTGGATTATGTCCTAATTTGGGCCGAAATTTCTTTGGTTAAAAGGATGCATTTTCTTTTATAAATGGTCGGTCTTGATCCTCTTTAGCAGGAGGGGCAGGACCTCCATAGAGGAAATAAAAGAGATTATTTAAATCTTTCTTCTGTAGGGGTAGGATGGGCAGGGGCCTAGATGGGCAAAATTTTTGAAATCATCCTTCTTTTTTTTAAAATTGCCCTGAATCTGCCCCAATTCGATCTGAAACATCTTTGGATGAGGGAAAATCAATTTTGTATAAACAGGGGTTGGTGCCAATGGTGTAAAAGATATAAACATTAAGAATTCTTTTTCCTTTAGTTTGTATAATGTCAGCCAAGCAATGCCATGTGAGCTATGTGAGCCATATGGGCCTCTTGTTTGATATTGCTGTTTATTGTAATCCTTCACCTTCTATACTTGTTCTACAGTTTTTATCTATTTTTTGATCACCTTGACAACACTATGGCCTAAGGTGATCATATTTGACTTGAAGGTATCAGTGAATATTTATTAAATATTTAACTATGTTTCATTGAATTGAAGTTTTGAGTTATGGTTCTGATGTCAATATTATCTTTTTTTTTTTTTTTTTTTTGTAATTGTTTATTTTTCTGAATTTGATGCAAAATATAACACAAAGAAAAAGAAGAGACATTCACACACACATCCTCCCTCACACACACATACACACCGTCACACCCAGACCTGCACAAACATCCGTGGGGATGAAGCCCTGAAAAAGTCCACTGACGATAATACATATTTCCACACACAGTCAAAGTTTAACTGGAACGTACAAAGTTCGCGTCATTTAATGGGTATTCATCAGTCAATGTCGTGTCATAAAAAAGTCTCCGTATCTTATTCTTGTCTCTTGCATTTTTCACTTTCAGCACAGCGAATAGTTTCCCGTCCACGCTAAATGTATTTTTCACACACTCAAGTCTGTGCGCGTGGCGTAACATGTCCTGATTGTACTTGGTTAGGTCCTCTGACACCGTGTACTGGGATCCTTGCAGGACTCTCCTGGAACTTAGCACATCATGTTTTTTCCTCCTATGTGTGAATTTGACTATCACACTTCTCTTTTTGGCGGGTTAAATCGGCCGAGTCGGTGGGCAATGTCTATGTCATTACTGTGAAGTTGGACTTTTAGCTTAACTTTAGCAAATTTCACAACCTTTTCTACACACTCCTCTACGGTTTCACTTTCCTTTGTATCTTCTAGTCCAAAGATTCTAATCGAATTTTTCCTACCCTGCTGTTCTAAGTCATTGTATTTGATTGCACATTCCTTCTTGTTTTGCTGTAGTTCCAAAACCTGGTTCTCGAGGTAACCAATAGTTTCTTTAAGGTTTTTATTTTCCTCTTCCAACTCTACAACTCTGACTTTTAGTGAGTCCACCAGTTCCTTATTTTCTTTCCGAATATCGTCCTTCAGTTCATCTTTGAGACTAGTCAATTTCTTATCTATGTCTGTTATGGTAACCATACTGGATAGCATGTTGGTGATCTCATCTAGTCGTTGACTTATAGCTTGTTCGTTACTTTTTGCTGCCGCCGTTGACGTTCTCGGCCCTCCCATCGTATACGGTATCAGTGTATGCCGATGTTTCGGATGAAAAAAATCCACGTATACGAATGTCTATATTCGAGTGGTAACACAGGTAAGTCACATGTAAACAGGTGTGTCCGTTAGTAGTCATTACCGCGGTGAAGCGCTATGCCATTGTGTATTTTCAAAGTCAAAAACACACTTTCAAATAAGATTCCACAAATTTCAAATGTGATATTTCGATTCCAAGTGGTATTAGCAGCACATTGTCAAAAAATTGTCGTTTTCCAAACAGTATGGATGACGAAAATACTGATTTATCTTTGTTTTTGCAATCATAGTAACATTTCTATTGATTTGAGCGTTGTCCTGTAATAATTCCCTGTTGAGTGGCCTTTGTAGTAAGATCACCGTGTGGCTAAGAGGTGAGGAGTTAACCCTATAGTGAAGCCACCTCTTGGCTATGAGTAAGAGGTGAGGAGTTAACCCTATAGTAAAGCCACCTCTTGGCTATGAGTAAGAGGTGAGGAGTTAACCCTACAGTAAAGCCACCTCTTGGCTATGAGTAAGAGGTGAGGAGTTAACCTACAGTAAAGCCACCTCTTGGCTATGAGTAAGAGGTGAGGAGTTAACCTACAGTAAAGCCACCTCTTGGCTATGAGTAAGAGGTGAGGAGTTAACTTACAGTAAAGCCACCTCTTGGCTATGAGTAAGAGGTGAGGAGTTACAGTAAAGCCACCTCTTGGCTATGAGTAAGAGGTGAGGAGTTAACCCTATAGTAAAGCCACCTCTTGGCTATGAGTAAGAGGTGAGGAGTTAACCCTATAGTAAAGCCACCTCTTGGCTATGAGTAAGAGGTGAGGAGTTAACCTACAGTAAAGCCACCTCTTGGCTATGAGTAAGAGGTGAGGAGTTAACCCTATAGTAAAGCCACCTCTTGGCTATGAGTAAGAGGTGAGGAGTTAACCCTATAGTAAAGCCACCTCTTGGCTATGAGTGAGAGGTGAGGAGTTAACCCTATAGTAAAGCCACCTCTTGGCTATGAGTGAGAGGTGAGGAGTTAACCCTATAGTAAAGCCACCTCTTGGCTATGAGTGAGAGGTGAGGAGTTAACCCTATAGTAAAGCCACCTCTTGGCTATGAGTGAGAGGTGAGGAGTTAACCCTACAGTAAAGCCACCTCTTGGCTATGAGTAAGAGGTGAGGAGTTAACCCTATAGTAAAGCCACCTCTTGGCTATGAGTAAGAGGTGAGGAGTTAACCCTATAGTAAAGCCACCTCTTGGCTATGAGTAAGAGGTGAGGAGTTAACCCTATAGTAAAGCCACCTCTTGGCTATGAGTAAGAGGTGAGGAGTTAACCTACAGTAAAGCCACCTCTTGGCTATGAGTAAGAGGTGAGGAGTTAACCCTACAGTAAAGCCACCTCTTGGCTATGAGTAAGAGGTGAGGAGTTAACCTACAGTAAAGCCACCTCTTGGCTATGAGTAAGAGGTGAGGAGTTAACCCTATAGTAAAGCCACCTCTTGGCTATGAGTGAGAGGTGAGGAGTTAACCCTACAGTAAAGCCACCTCTTGGCTATGAGTAAGAGGTGAGGAGTTAACCCTACAGTAAAGCCACCTCTTGGCTATGAGTAAGAGGTGAGGAGTTAACCTACAGTAAAGCCACCTCTTGGCTATGAGTAAGAGGTGAGGAGTTAACCCTATAGTAAAGCCACCTCTTGGCTATGAGTGAGAGGTGAGGAGTTAACCCTACAGTAAAGCCACCTCTTGGCTATGAGTAAGAGGTGAGGAGTTAACCCTACAGTAAAGCCACCTCTTGGCTATGAGTGAGAGGTGAGGAGTTAACCCTATAGTAAAGCCACCTCTTGGCTATGAGTGAGAGGTGAGGAGTTAACCCTACAGTAAAGCCACCTCTTGGCTATGAGTAAGAGGTGAGGAGTTAACCCTACAGTAAAGCCACCTCTTGGCTATGAGTAAGAGGTGAGGAGTTAACCCTATAGTAAAGCCACCTCTTGGCTATGAGTGAGAGGTGAGGAGTTAACCCTATAGTAAAGCCACCTCTTGGCTATGAGTAAGAGGTGAGGAGTTAACCTACAGTAAAGCCACCTCTTGGCTATGAGTGAGAGGTGAGGAGTTAACCCTATAGTAAAGCCACCTCTTGGCTATGAGTGAGAGGTGAGGAGTTAACCCTATAGTAAAGCCACCTCTTGGCTATGAGTGAGAGGTGAGGAGTTAACCCTATAGTAAAGCCACCTCTTGGCTATGAGTGAGAGGTGAGGAGTTAACCCTATAGTAAAGCCACCTCTTGGCTATGAGTAAGAAGTGAGGAGTTAACCTACAGTAAAGCCACCTCTTGGCTATGAGTAAGAGGTGAGGAGTTAACCTACAGTAAAGCCACCTCTTGGCTATGAGTGAGAGGTGAGAAGTTAACCCTACAGTAAAGCCACCTCTTGGCTATGAGTGAGAGGTGAGAAGTTAACCCTACAGTAAAGCCACCTCTTGGCTATGAGTAAGAGGTGAGGAGTTAACCCTATAGTAAAGCCACCTCTTGGCTATGAGTAAGAGGTGAGAAGTTAACCCTACAGTAAAGCCACCTCTTGGCTATGAGTGAGAGGTGAGGAGTTAACCCTATAGTAAAGCCACCTCTTGGCTATGAGTGAGAGGTGAGGAGTTAACCCTACAGTAAAGCCACCTCTTGGCTATGAGTGAGAGGTGAGGAGTTAACTTACAGTAAAGCCACCTCTTGGCTATGAGTGAGAGGTGAGGAGTTAACCTACAGTAAAGCCACCTCTTGGCTATGAGTAAGAGGTGAGGAGTTAACCCTATAGTAAAGCCACCTCTTGGCTATGAGTGAGATGTTACATGTTGGCCTCCAGGTTTATATTAGGTATAATGAAAATAAGAAAACCATGGTATTGAATACAGAGATGGATTACTGTATACATACTTGTGTACCATTTTACAGGCTGTCAACTAATGGAATATTTTTTCAACAAATATAAGAGTTTTTTTGCTAGTTTTGAGGCAAAATATAGGAGTTTTCCAAATGAAAATTGTTTCATTAAAAGGCATTGATACTAAAAATTCCTACCTTCACTTACTGTTTCTATATTAATCAATGATTAAAAACTGCCTTAAAGTAGCCATTTACTTCAACAGCATCACAATCCAGGCAGAGAGCTTCTGCATAGCTCATCATCATCTGAATGGGTATCTAAAAGGCCAATATCCTGCTGCACTGCCTTGCAAGGTGCCCATACAGGTGATAAAGAGATGTACTGAATCATTTTCTGGTGGCTGGTGATGTTGTTAAAGACTTAAGAATTCTCTAACTTGTAAGATCAAGAGGCCAAAAGCAATAACAAAGAAATAACTACAATCTCTACATTTATCTGCGGCAAATTTCCTGAAAATATAGGAATATTTTTCAAAAAATAGGAACACGTAGGAAATATAGGTCTTTCAAAATATGTTTTTGAACCAAAATATTGGAAAATAAAGGAATATAGGAATTATTTGACAGCCTGCATTTTATTATGAATTGTTACTGGTAATAGCATAGCAGTATTTAACATCTTTCAAGCATCAGTGTGTAGGTATTTCAAACTGTATGAAAGTTAACTCAGTGAGAGTTGAATGTTCCCTTAGTATCTTAATGTTACAGCTTCTAGAATGTACGTTAAGTTGCTTCTGTATTAGTCAGCTGTGTTTCTCATGAATCATTTGTGAGACATTCTTTTTGGTTGTGGTAGTAATTAGCTAAAACATCTATCATCTTTCCTAAATACCATGAACATTTTTTAATTTCCTTTTTTAAAATGCTTGCCAGTTGAACATAAACTAAATATGTTTTTATTCATTATAATATAGTTGTAAACTGTGTTTTATTTTAAAGAATGTCTTCCAATTTAATTTCATATGAAGTATCTTCTTGTCAAGTTTTTAGACTGAAAACGTGTTCAGTTTCAGTTGTGGTTCCTGTATTACATGATTTGAAAGTTGGCCACTAAAAGCCATGTTACTTCCTTGATATCTTTTTTTTAAATGCAAAATGTTAAATCATGTGTGCATGTGGCAAATTGAGGCAAACTTAACTTATTGATTTTTGTCAAGATGTTTTATACAAATACTGATATACATGCCACAACTGATGTTTACATTGATTGTTTTATATAATGCATGGATTAAATCAAAATGCTACTTCAGATCAATAAATTTTTATAATAAAATTCTCTTGAATTCTTTTGTTAATTCAAAGGAATGTTATACCAAATATATAAATTACATCAATTCTTGTGACCCTTACCTGATGTATTTCATACCTGTATTACAAAGTCAACAGTGTTATGATAGGGCATCGGAGTACATTTTAGGCACAAATGACATTCTGCACTTCAGATTATTTTTTAGCAACCAAGTGAGGAAAAAGACTTGGTGCTTCAACCCTTATTTTACAATTCTTAGTATCAGGTGACTGATTTCTGCCGTGTCAAGTCATACAGTAACAGGCTCTGTACTTACAAAAGCCCAAGATCTAAAGCATGATTTTTCTGCACTAAATCTGATATTCTATAGTATTATATAGCAATGTTTTTTACTACTCGTATGCATGGATCTATGTAAACATGAAACAAATTAAAATGTTTTATCACCATATGGACAACTATGGTCATTTTGAGGCAGGCCTCCTTGTGGCAGATGATGGCTACCTCACTTAACTCTACAAGAGGTCCAAGAGCCCTAACAGTCAGCTGAGTTAAATTTTTGTCATTCTTCTTGTAACATGTCAAAAGAAAGCAAGATAACTTAAAATTACTGTGTACATGTAATGCAAATGAATACTGTGCATCCCATAATATGGGTAGTGAATAATTTTGAAATCCCTGAGACAATCTGAATCCTTTTGGCCTCACCTACCAGTCACTGGGGGCCAGCCAGGATCAATATATGCAGCTCAACAAACGGTCACCTTATACTATTCTTACTTATTTTAAGCAAGTTTGAACTATTTCCAATTACAAGTGATCCCAGAGGGATCTTGGCCCCCACCATTGTTTGGTCTTTGTTCTTTTAAAGTTGGATCTTTACCTTTCTTATCTCTTCTCTTCACAGTTTTTGCTCTTATTTATAAGAAATATCTTTGCCATCTGTCGGCCATTTTGGTATTTTGATCAGTCCCAAAATCAATCGGGCACAACTAGAGACCAAGGGGAACATACATATGAAAGTTGTTGAGAGATCCATCCAGTACTTCCGCTGAAATAGTGAAACATCTTTCAGAGTCAAAATCAAAGATTGCTGCATTGTCAGCCATTTATATATTTCTATCAGTCCCTAAATTACAAGGGCACAACCAGGGACCATGGGGAACCTACAGATGAAATCAGAAAAAGATCCATACCATCTAATGATGGTGGACTAAAAACTAAAATTGTGCCTAAAAATGTAATTTTTCTATATAAACTACAGTAAATTTTATCCCTCCCCAGGGGGAAATACGAGACCCTGACATCATGAAATTTACCATTTTCATGAAGCTCCTGGAGACATTTCCATCCATGAGGAATATTTGGTTCTACCATAACAGGCTGGGTATTGAGGCGATTCCTACAATTTGACTCTTTTTCTTTTCTTTTTTTCTTGGGCCTCACCCATTAACCCCTTTGGGTCAACTTTGGGTCAATCTGTGCATATCATCCAATAGTACAAATTCTAACCAAGTTTAAACCATTTCCAATAGAAAATAAACAAATTATGGTAAGCTCAAAATGGGGAAATGTGAGACCCAGGGATCATGAAATTGACGATTTTGATAAAGCATCTTAAGGCTTTTCCATCCACGAGTATCTGAATTTACCATATTGAGTATTGATTTTTGAAGTTTCAATTAATTTGACCAATCCTCATGCCTGTTGGGGTTTCTGACAAGAAGTCGAAAACATTTAAAGTTAACCACACTGGACAAAGGTCAGTCACAATAGGTGACCATGGGAGATTGTTGCATGTCAGCCAGAGCAGTTTGTGTAAAGTGTCTCACCCAAGAACATTACTATGTTGGCACAGACCCGTCTGTGTCTTAGCTCCTTTTGAAACAAACCATCACAAGTAAGGAGCATCGAACTACACCCATCATATCTTATGTAAGCCAAGGCTCTGAACCATCATGTATAATACTCCTTATCAACAGAACTTTTATGTTCTTCAAAAAAAAAAAAAAAAAGCAAGGACACTGCATTAAAATATTTACATTTATTTAGTTGAATCTTGTTGACATACAGTATAAAGCTGCTGCACAAAGATGATCATCAGAAATACAGGATGAAAAAACGAATGATGAAATATTTTACTACAAAACGAAAATCTACACACATTTTGTCAGTGATCCATATACGTAGATATATTATCAACATTACATTAGCAGTGCAGTTTTCATCTCTACATACAACTTTTGAAAGTGATAAATGATGAATTGATGAACATACACAACAGTTCTATGAATTAACATTTATCATATAAATACTGTCTCTTCCTATCGAAAAACACAAGTCATAAAAAAGGGAGAAATTGAAATTGTAGGGTAAGTAAATAATAAAAATATAATGGTTATCATATAAATATGTAAATGATAACTTAATATTTTGAAATCCATTTGAACAACTTTGAAATGGATCAGAAAGACTGCATGCAAACGCCTATCATTTTTACAGCTCTCGCTCCCTTCCACCTGCCTGGGAAGCCGACTTACAACTTCACACATCTTGAAATATACATTCTCCAATAGCAAATTCTATCAACCATGTTTTATGCACTCTTGAATTTCTCTTCACAATAAATTCATTTTTTATATATTCTCCATGTTACAATGTAACAAATCAGAAGGATTTTAATTCTTTTTCTTTAGGAAAAAAAAAAAAAATGAGAGTAAGTATTCATCATGAGCCAATGTAGAAAAATAAAAATGCTGAATTGACTGTTATGTGTACTATGGGATATATATTTTCTCTGTGGCCACATACATTACACAACATTTGACAGAAGAAATGGCTCACACAAAACTAAGAAAAGTGGGAATTGACTGCGAAAATCACTGGCAGTATCACTGTATATTACAATATACCAACACATTATTCCTCCTGAAAAACTCCGGGAGTTTCTTGTCATAATATACACTAGTAACTTGCACATTACATTTCCTTCATTTATTTTACAAACTTTGGGCGATGATAAACATATACACTGTACAACTTTAATGTGCACACAAGGGAATGATGTTGCCACAACAACAAACTTCAATAATGATACATATACAATGAGGATGTAATAATATATTATTTACTATACACATACGCGATGTATGAAAAACTTGGGCTTTAATATTCTTTTCCAATAACAATGCAACTTTTCACCTTTTTTGAAGAAGTATTGTAATAATGATAATAGCGTAGATAACAACTATATGTAAAAAGTACTAGGAGTCGCTTTGAAAGCACTGGAACATGACATCCGAGAGAATTTGAGCCACGACCTGGTCGAGAATCTGAGACATAACTAAGGACAGTAGCCTCTGCTGATGATGCCCAAATAAGCGTCTATTTTGCGTGTTGTATGATAGATGAAGCAGAATGTTTGCTGCACGACGAAGCATGTCCAAACTAGTGCCCATCATTTCAGGGTTCTCCCGCAGGATGTTTATACCATGTAGATTGACCACTTGCATGGCTTTCTGTTCTGCTGTTTCTAAAAAGTCAAGCAGTAAGGAGATGGTGGGGTGCTGCAATGCTATTGCCCTAACCGCACTATCTTCCCCCTGAACTAGTTCTGATAACAACACAATGGCAAACTCGAGAGTCACAGGCTCACTGCGATTAGCCAACATCTTTGTAAGGATGCTGAAAAGCTGAATGATACGACTAAACGGTGGGGTCGCCAAGAGCAGGTCAACATTAGCAGCATGTATACAGAGTTTACACATGGCCTCAAGGACCAGCCGCTGAGGGGACAGGACGGATGAAGGTGTGGAAGGGAGGGGGTCTGTCGCACATGATGATGGACAAACTGCCCAATGAAGCAGACCGTCCAAGATGGGCATACAGATCTCCTCAGGGTAGGCTGACAGGCGTAGCTGTCCACTGATGTTGGCAAATATCACTAATGTGTTCTCCCGTAACATAGCGAGGTAGTTCCACCACCACTCTGCCTCAATGTGACTGGAGTCCATTAAATCCTCCAGCTCGCTCTCGTCCCGGTCAAATTTTTTGCGAGTCGTGTTGCGAGGTAGATGACGGTGATGTAGTTGTAGCAGCTTACCAAGCGTGAATAACAAACCTGCATGTTTTGACATTTTGGCATCGTTGCCTGGTACACACGATAAGCTACGGAATATGTTTGATATACAAATACAACGTCTGCCGAGTTCATCTCGAGCGTCTGTAATTACATTGAGAGGTGGCTCATCACGCTGATAAGATTCATCCTCAAGTTCCACCTCCTCATGAGATCTTTTGCCACAACATTGGCCTGAAAGACTGTCTACATCACTTTCAGATTTAACACACACATTCGAGTCTCCCACCATCTCTGTTTTTATGTTGATCTTATTCTCTTCCAACTCTTCTTTCTCACCATCTTTGCTCGATTCCTGTCCTTCCTCTGATGTTCTCTCCGGGCTCTCCTCCTTTTTCACATCCACCTCCATACCAGCTGGAGGCTCTGACGACTCAACAACTTTCTCATCTGTGTCACAAACTTCCTTTTTGATCTGTACATGTTTAAGAATGTTATTTTTCTTTTCTTGCTTGTTTTCTTTGCCTAACTTTTTTGTGTCCGTTGAACAATTCAGCACCTCAGTTTTATTAACATTCTTAATGGAGATTTTCCCCTCCTCTATAGTCTCCTTAACCACAACCGCATCCTCAAACTCTTTGCCCTTTCCACTACAGTCCTGAGATGGACAAAGACAACGATTCTCTTTTTCCTCACCTTCCACATCCCCCTCCTCCATATCCTCTGCTGAACTTTCACATTCTTCCTCTTCCTTAAAATGTAATTCACTAATATCCTTCAACTTCATTGGTGGTCGAATGAAGAGTTTTTTGTACACTATGTTTTCTTTTTCACTAGCAAAGAATGGAACAATGTGACGAGATGTATCTCCACACCCAAGTTGCCAATGACCTTGTTGGAAGGAGAAACCTGAATATACGTCCCAAGATTTTGGATCTGATGGTGCTAATTCATCTGTATCTACGATTTTAACATTTAGTCCATTCCTCGTTGTCAAGGTGAAATCTGTCAACTTTTTGTCACTGTACTTAGCACCATTACCCGAATTGTCTATCGAATCAGCAACTTTCTCTTTCTCCTCCTTTTCTTCTTCAACCTTCTCCACCTGTTCCACTTCCTCTTCTTCTTCTTCTTCTTGTTCCATTTCCTCCTTAACATCTTCAATTTTAGGAGAGGCCGATGTGTCAAGTTTCTCCAACGGCGTAGCCATTGTCTGTTTCTCCATAGCAACAAAAGGCTCCCCAAACATTTCAATAAGGCAACGTCTGAAATGTTCCAGTAGCACTTCAAGCAGCCCCGGTAGATGGTTCAGACTGAAGTAGGACACAGTTGAGTCATCATACAAGAGAATGTTTAGTGTGTCAAGTGCCCAGGTGCTCTCTGCCAGTAAACCTGACTTCAGTGCCATCATGAGTCGCCAGGCCTCTATCTGACCTAGAGAAAAATATCAAGATATGATATTAGTTACTTTTCACAAATGATTTCCTGCACTTTCCATTGTTATAATTACATCAAAGAGTAAATAAAGGATAACTGGGCTACAACAGTATGTACAAGGTATAAAAGAGTTGGGATGTTATAAAATGGCCATGATAATGCAATGCAAAAAATAATGTGCTCAAAGTGCTTCGATGGACAAGACATGCAATTCTTTAATGGAGTTCATTTTTTTAATTATAGGCTTATTTCACTAAATTTTCCTTTGATCTTCAGACAAGCCAGGCCAATAAAGGAGGACACTGCCAAATTCAACACATATTACACAACATCAAGTGATTTGGTAAATATGCTTCTCCATGCCTTAGACCAAAATATATTGAAAATTTCCTCAAATTTGTTGATAGGTTTTGGAATCCATGTTTAACAAACCAAAATTCAATCTTAGTATATTGTTTTGACATTGGCATCATATGTTGAGAATATTTACCACATCATATATATTTGTATATATTTATATATCTTGCAGTTCAGTTAAATTTGTTGATATGAATCAGCATAATGACACAACAGTTAAATTATTAATCTTACAGCACAGCTACTAGGATGAGTGGACAAGTACACAAAAAGAATAAGACAGTAGAAGTCCAAGGTTTGTGAGAGTCAAACAAAGCAATTTTTATGTACACACTAACAGGACACAAACTGAAAAGTAAAACTGTGAGACAACTGGCACGACAAGATGAAAACTGAAAAGAGAGTTAGTTTGTACAACACCAAGGCAAAAGCATTCTTTGTGTACAATATATAACACAACACGATCACAGGGCTCAAAATTCAACAATTCATAATGATTTATTTTCAAGATTAAAAAGGGGAAAAATAAAAGTAACATCTGAACCACAAGGAGTTTTTACTAAACACAAGACTATAAGGAACCGAGTCTTGGTAGGATTTACAGACACAAAACAACAGGGAACCAGACATTTTTGTTTTCTTCTTTTTCAAATATTGAAGAGATTAATACAAAGGACTTAGTAACCAGGTATCATAATCAACCCAGAAACACTTGTGGAATATTTTTGATTTTTCACAAAAAGAGAAAAAAATCTTCAATAACATAAAATTTTGATGGAAAAATTTCAAGCCCTGCAGTTGAAACGAAAATAAAGCTCTATCTATCTACCACTGGGTTAAATAAGGATACCTTAAGTGTACTTGCTTGTTCCCAGGACCAAATTAAAATTCTTGGAATGCTTGAAGAAAATAGAAGACTGATTTAACAAAAGTAGCTCCACAGCATTTGCAGCACAGATTTAACTAGTTACCTCCCCCTGGATTCATGAAGTGCAGTTGCTTTTTGCTTGTATTATTATCAACATATCTCATATTTTATGTGAAAACTTTTGATTTGATTTTCAAATAATTTGATAGAAATGTCCATCTTAATCCAATCAAAAATCAACATTTATATGCATTTTTTTTCAACAAAAGTCATAATGGAATTGTTTTCTTTTGTAGCCAAAAAACATGATTTTTTCCATGGAAAAAGGTATGCTTCACAATATACTTACGAGAGTATGTTTCATCTACAAAGATCCAAACCAATAGATGCCCACTTACTAAAATGGCCCCAAATTTTGTTATCCCAGCTCTTGAACTCAGAAAAATACTTTCATTTGTAAGCAAACCACTTTCCATCTGGTAATTAGTGGGTTTTTATTTTTCAAAGGCATGTTGATAGGATACAAATATACAACAAGCAATTTGTTGGAGAAAATGATAAAGATGAATCATCAGCAAGTCCTAGGAAAAAGCAGCTTCTGAACCATACCCACATTTACTTGTCAAATCAAATTAAATTTAACCCAGCAATAACTTTTAAAAGTATCAATCCTAGATTTCTACCATTCTTAAATGTATCTTGCGAAAAGACCATTTGACTTGATGTTAATGTACATTTTTCCCGTCTTATGCCCATCACCAAACATGCTGTATACACCCTCAACCACCAAAGCTCAAATCATCCATCAAATATTTGATTGATGTTTTTGCTTTTTTCAATTTCTCTCTTTTACAATCTAATGTGCAATGCAAATGAAACATACTGTGTAAGCTTAGAAGAACACCTGACAAAATGTATATCCAAAAGAGATAATGGTTTATTTCACCTGACCAAGCAAGTACACTTTATGGAAAAACTGTCTTTCAAGTGCATCTCCTTTCAACCCCACAGTACATGTACATAAAATCATGATTATTAAACAGTCTCGCAACAGATGTTGATGTTTCAAACAAGGCCGCGACAAAACAATGTGAAATATATAATGATGATGTGAAGTTTGGAGTACAAGTTTCTACTACTGCACCGTTTTATGTAATAGAAATGAACATAGTAAACTTTCATAGAATGAAGCACTTAAATTTTTTTTTCTTTTATAGCATCCACAGAATAATTCTTTCTATCTGCAAGAAACTGCAACACCGCTACAAAATTTCCTGTTTATCCATGCCAAGATGTTGCTAAGTTACAATTATTACAAAACAAAGCATTGGACATTTATAATTTCATATTTCGAGTCAAACTTAGAAATTTGCATAAAGGAAACATGTTCTCCCCTTCGTATTCAATAAATTTGAAAACACAATATAATAAATTTTCAATGGCACAGAAATATAATGCGATCTTTCAGCAAAATTTTCTGCAAACTTATTAACTTAATTATAACATAGAAATATTAACAAGTCTTTGTTACTAGAAACAATTCAAAACAAAACTGAAAGAATATGCATGATTTTCAGAAGATTCCCTACAATCATTGTTCTGAGAAGATACTCTGTCTGCATGATGTCAAATACTTCTTTCGTTGAATAAATAAACCACACGACGACCAGAGGAAGGTAAAACAATTTGGTGGTGATGCAACAAATCGACTACATCTAGGGCCCATTACCAAGCAGTTAATACAAGTGACTACTAATTGGAGGGGAAAAAACACAGCATGAATTTTTTATCAGCAGGATAATCCTACTGGTGAAGTTTTAGTTTTCACATTTAGCATCATTAACAATCTGAAATGCTGTCAGATGGCATTGCAAAAAGATACATATGGAGAAGTTGTGATGGGTAGTAAATCTATATGATATACATATGTGGTGAAAAATGCAAAGGGGAGCTAACTCATTTGCTACTTTTCTTCTGCGAATGATTGATGGGATACTTGAGAGAATGATGCTTGATTAGTTATGAAACAATGTACAAACCAGACTGACCAACAACTACATAACTAAGACCCACTACAAGAATACATACCCACATCAGCCTTGGTCAGTCGCCGTCGTTTTGTCAGTGAAGGAGTGACTGCTTCAACACTGTCTGGGGGAAACGTAACCTCTTTCTTAGGAGGAAATGCCGTCATATGCTGCTTCTGCAGGAGACAAATATTTAAACTTCAGAACTGAAATACAACATTCTGAGTGAATTCTCAGATTTCACAATTGCCTTAACTATTTAGAAAAATAGTAAGATTATCAATTTAAACAATTAACAGTAATGAAATCTTATCTGACTCACAGGAAAAAAAATCTTACCTGAACCGGCTTTGGAGACATGTACATAGATTTCTCACGTGGGGGAGACATATGGTGGCCACTGCGACTCCCATAGGGGCTATGCATGTAGGGCATGTTTGGCCCACCAGGACCCATCCCTGGGGCTCCTGGGTAGCCTGGTCCTGCATGCTGGTGAAATCGCTTGGCCATAGGTGAAAATTGCATGTCTCGAAGCCCATCTAAACAAAACAAAAATTCTTGTTCTATAACCAAGTAATCTTTAATCATGAATATTATGTAAGATTTCATTTCCATTTTTCTCACTATTAACATAGAAATATGGCAGCAATGATCCATTAACTTGAAATTTATCCTTGAAATTAATTAAGTAGTCATAGAAAAAACTGTCAGTATGCATAATTCTAAAATAAAACGGACATAATACTACCTTTAAAACTTGTGTAATTTGTTGAGCAGCTGAAATACCTCATAATTAGTCCCCAGATTAATGAAATATCTACATGACCCAGATATATATTCCATATCACTAGGCCTGGGTATATTTACCCTCAGTACTTAAATGGACTTCAGAGTCAATTAAATCATTAAATCACAACCGTGTCTATAACTAAGGTATTTTATAAATTTCCTTTTCTTGGCCAAGCAATAAATTTTACAACAGTTTGCACCATTTTTTAAAATCATTATTCCATATTCTTAATATATGTATCTATCTATATATAAAATTAACTCAAGGCCTCTGGGAAAATACCTTTTTCACAATGAAGTGATTAAAATTCAGATACATTTCCCCCTTCGACTAAGCCAAAGCCATCCAACATATTTTTTTTTATTAAAAAAGCAACTTCTCATATCTGCGCTTAAGCAAAGCTGTTTTATACACTTATCTAACTTGGATACAGAAACATTGGAATCAAAATATGGAAAATTTCACAGTTCCAGTATCGCAATTACAGAAACAAGATACAATCCAGCTATACAAAAAAACAAGCACATGTACTGCAGATATGAGAGACATGATAAGAAAACAATGATAAAGGGAGGTAATAGCAGCATGCCCGACTAAGTGGAGGTGAAGGGCCATGTATTGTGCTTGGGTATACAGACACTGGGGATACAGGGTAGTGCATACCAGGTGTCATTTGGTTATCGTATGGCGACATCTTGTTGTCCCGACTCTGTCGATGCTGGTAAGGACCGGGGCCTGGGCTAGGCCGATCACAGTAACCTGACTGGGGGCTATAGCCTGCTGGGCAAGATACGTACCATACTATAATTCTAGTTTTCTGTAAGCGACTTCATTCTCTCTCATGCCCATTAATTATTTCCAACCCTTTTTCCCTATACTTTCTAGTCCAAAATTTCTTTCCCCATATTCCAACAAATTCTATGTAGATCTTCAGCAAACCCAAATATTTGATAAATTTCTTCAACTATCTATAATCAATTACATTATTTGATAAACAAACACGTTCTGCTACAAAATTTATTCATCCCTAAATAAAACGGTTAAGTAAATTTTCTCATATGAATGCAAGATTAAGGCTTTATGCTTTTCTATGAAACAAGTAAAAAGCTGAAAAATCTGAAAAATCACTTTGCGAATTTTTTCTTTTTCTTTCTTTTTTTCCAAAATATATTGTTATGATGTTGAAGGGGCTGTAGATTTTTTGTTGCTGTGCAAATGAAAGAGTATGAAGCTATTGATAAGGCAGGGAAGTGCGAACAAACAGAAATGGGAAACAATTTTAATCAACAAATAATAATGACAAACCTTGACCCATATATCCATCGTGAGGTGGATATCGCTTGTTTGGTGTACCATACATGCCACCAGGTGGCATTGACATCTCCCGTCCCATGGGTGGTCTGGGTCCCTGAAACTGACCCTGTTGGTTAGGGTATCCTGGGTAGGATTCTGGAACACCCATGCCAGGTTTGCCTCCTGGGTAGCCGGACTGAGGTGACTGGTTAGAGGGGTAGTTACTTGGAGGTCCACCATACTGTTCCATGTGTCCCTGAGACCCTGGATGTGATGACATCATTGGCTGTGGGCCACTGAAGCGAGATGAATACATGGGGTCTACTTGAGGGGGCTGAGGAGGAAGCTGGGGTGGCCCAGATGGATGATGGCTGTTCAGAGAAGAGGAAGGGGCTGTTGATGGTTGTTGATGCTGGGATGAAGGAGATGCTGAAGGCTGCGAGCTGACAGGAAGTTGTGGGGATGAAGATTGCACTGAAGGGGCTGTGGGAGAACCGAACCTGCAACATAAATGTTTCACTTCTCAACACCATGCAGAATTTCAAATTGTATTTTCGAAGTGTAAAGATAACCTATAGAAAGGAAAGAATTATTTATTTGTGACAGGTTTATCAATTAAAAGGACGCTGTAATTCTTTCTTTTTAAAGTAATGAAAGAGATAAAATCATGTAATTCATACATAATTAAAATGCCATTGTCTTCAACTTAAGACATGAAGCAAAGCATTTAAATATCACAGCCATACGATTTAGAAACATTTACCTTTCAGGTTTGGTGAACTGATCACCAAATGGAAATTGCCTTCCTATGGAAGAGACCGAGGTTGTGTTTGTAGTTGTGCTGCTGAACTGACTGCTAATGATAGATTCTGTTGACCGAGAACTGTTAGGAAAGCTTTCTGTCCGCCTGAAGGAAGAGGGTTCACTAAATTGGGGGTCAAGCGGTGTAGGCCCACCGTGCCCACCACTAACACTCTCAAAACTGTTCATACTGGCAGGGTTAGGCATGTTAAAACCCGGCATATTTGGACGATTCATGTTGCTGTTGTTGCTGCTGCTACTGTTGAATGTGTTGGATGCGCTGCTGCTGGGCGGCTGATGGGGAGGTATTCCTGAGTAAGTTGGCATGGGGGAATTTGTGGCTCCTTGCCGGGGATATGGTCCATTGCGTGGCTCATCGGCAAATGGGTCCTGACACGTAACACTATCACTGTTGGCATTTGTGGGTATACCTGTCATCATACCATTGTTCCCTGGCATACCACTATTACCAGACATACTGCCATTTCCAGGTGGCCTGTTGCTGTTTCCTGGCATAGCATTGTTACCAGGCATGCCACTGTTGTTTCCTGGTATCCCACTGTTTCCTGGAATCCCACTATTGCTGGGTATACCACTGCTACCAGGCATACCACTATTGTTTCCAGACATACCACTGTTACCAGGAATACCACTGTTACCTGGCATTCCACTGTTGCCAGGCATTCCACTGTTGCCAGGCATTCCACTGTTACCTGGCATTCCACCACTGCCTGGCATTCCACTGTTACTATGTAAACCACTATTGCCTGGCATATTATTTGGCATTCCACCATTTCCTGGCATACCAGTATTATTGTGCATTCCACTGTTACTGTGCATACTGCTGTTGCCCGGCATTCCCATATTGCCACCCATGGGTGGCATCATGTTGTTACCCATCATACCCCCAGGTCCACCAGAGTTGGGTCCATGTCCATGCATGGGTGGCATCATGTTGTTGGAGTAGCCTCCCATCATACCACTGGGCCCCATGTTTCCTCCCATCATGCCTGGCTGCATGCTGTTGGGCATGTGGTTTGGAGGCATGCCCATGGAGTTGGGGCCCATCATGTTGCCCATCATATTGCTGTTAGGGGGCAGCATGCCTGGTCCCATTGGTCCCATTCCATGGTCAGAGTTCTGCATGTAGTTGGGCCCCATGGAGGGTGGAAAGCCCTCCATGCCCTGACTGTTACTATTTGGAGTGCTTGGAGGTCGGAATGCGTCCTGGGAGCCCTGGGAACCTGCTGTAATGTAAAAGTAGAAAATAGGACTTGTAATGAGAAACATTTTAAATTAGTGCCTATCTAATGCCAACATCATTGGGATTATCGTTTCAGCTATTATCTATTATATAAATAATTTCTTCTGTAATATTTTCTTTGTTATAAAAGTTTTCTCTAGAATCATGCAGTTAGCATACCACTAAAACTTACACATGTTTTTAAGGTACACATATTGTCATATTTCTCTAGAGTACTTCATGCCTGAAATTTTTACTTCTTCAAGCCTAAGCTAGCTGAACACTTCCGCCAAAAGAAGTGAAGCAATCACCTTGTTGGCTGAACAGAGGGTAGGTCCCCTTTATCTATTAAAGTGTATTTACTATTCACATCAAGATTTTAACATACCATGTAAAGTATAAACACTTTTATTGGCTGGCTAACATTTTAACTCTAACAATTTTCTAACACATTAAGAAAAAATCATCGTTTATCTGATAAATCTAACCAGCAATACATGCATGTATATAACATCAGTTAAATGGTATTTTCCATAGAGTTAAAGTTGCAATTGCCATCCAAATTGCATCCATACTATTAGGAGTCTCTTACAAGTAAAGTAGTGTAGGACTTCATATTTTCATCCTTCATTTATCAGCAGACTGAAAGAGAGAGAGAGAGGGAGAGAGAGCACTCCACCTTTCATAACCTTGATTACACTAGGGGCATAAAAATCCTCTATAAACATCCCTAGCTGATCCAGAGCATAAAAACACCCCTCCCTTTGCTCACCTGGTGATGGAGCCCGGCGGTGCTTCTGTTCTCGTTTTTGCTGTAGTTGAGCTTCCATTTGAGCAAGAATGGGTGCTGGATCAGTGCCACCACGGTCAAACTGACACTCGTATGAAAAGAGGTATTTAATGTAGTTTTTCTTTAGTGTGAAGGCAGCGCTAGCAGATGTGCCAATGTTCACAAGCCCGCATATCTCCTTCCATTTCTTGGTCTTTGTGACCTAAAAGACAAGAATACATTCAACCTACTTGTTGTTTTTTGTAAATTCACAGGAGACTTTGGAAGCATCTAATTACGTCAGTTAAATTTTGATATTCAGTGTAAATATCTAATTCTCTGAAAACATATCACTCTTAAGTATCCATAATCTGATTTCAATTTTTGAATTATTGATAAGCTTAAAAAGCTAGAAAAGTTCACAGAAATTGATAAGATTGAAGTTAGCTCATTTAAAGGTCTCAGTGGATTAATGCCTGAAAGTTTATTATGAAAGTGATCATCATTTCAAACATTTTCCTTTTCTCCTATTGATTTTTTTTCTCTTTTTGCCTTTGAACACCTAATTCTACACATCTAAGAAATCTGATTAAATCAATTTTTTTTCTTAAAATTGCCAAAAATCAATAAATTTCATTAATACAGTAACATTCAATTTTCTGTTTTGAAATGGCAGTAAAGAAAATAAGAACATCTTCTGAAAACATGTTATACTGCAATATAAATGTGTTGATCAGAAAAGGTAATGCTCATCCACTGGCCACAGCCGACCAATGTCTGAAACTCTAGCCTGAAAGGGTCATCATTTTCAACACATCTAATCTCTAGTCAGGGAAAAACTCAGTTTTAATCATTTCAAACTTGTCAAGAAATAGAACTGACAAGATTTTTATTGATATTGATAGATGGCATGATTATTGTTTCTCACGTACAGCACAGGATGATTCCGCGGTCGCTAGAGATGGGACAACTCTGTCTCACACAGGGAATGGACAGACAGCTGACATGTGCTATGATGCTATTCACACTATATATAGTGTACCCATGTTGCAAATTGGCAACATTATCAATTTTCAAGCATATTCATGGGCTATTAGTGATGAGACAAGTTCTACAATAACTTACAATGTGTTACTTTTAAACAATGTAAGAACAAATAATTAACCATGGGTTTGTTCTATGGGCAGTGATATCTCAACCCTTGTGTAACAGTTTGACTGGTCAGCACTTGGCAAGATCCTGCTGACCAGTTCCAACTCTTGCACTCATGTTGAGATGTCAGCAGAACAAACCTATGCAAGATTCAATTAATCAATACCATCTCCTTGACAACAGTTTCAATTTGAATACAAGAGAATATCTGAAAGGGGCATCATTTTACAGTAAATCTAGAGAAAGCCATTTTTATGCAATGCCTTATAATTTAATGAGGTGAGATCACAAAGTCAGAGTTAGTTTCCTAGTTCAAATCAACAGTGTCTTAACGTTTTAATAATAAATTTGAATTGATATTGTAAGACAGCATAAATATAATTCCAATACCATCTCCCTGATGCCTGAAGCAGGAATACCTGATAGAATAATGTGTTGATCAGAGCAGGTAACACTCATTCACTGGCCACGGCCGACCAATGTCTGAAACTCTAGCCTGAAAAGGGTCATCATTTTCAACACATCTACAGACAAAAGAACCATTTCACCTCATAAATCTGCGAAGTATCTATACAACATTTTGGTTTTTTTTCTATATATTTATTTGTTTAGACTAGAGGATCAGTCATTCCTATTCAAACAAAATTGTTCCGAAATTAAAGAAACTAATTGCAAATTGATCTTGTAGCTTCCCTCCCATATCTTTACCTTAATTAACAGACAAAATGTCTAATGCCCGTTAATAAGCCCATCCATGTATGGCAGTGTTCCATACAATAATAAGTCTCTCTTTCCCTCGACATTTTGAAGAATAAACACAGAAATCTCAAAGATCTAACCAGACAAGGTTGTCATCATTTCAAAATATATCTGGTGACAATAGAACCATTTTCTCAAAAAATCAGCAAAGTATTTATACTAGGTTCACAGACATTACAACCATACACCAAACAACTGCTATTCATTGGAAGAAAAGTCGATAATAATTGTGTTGATCAGAGCAGGTAACGCTCATTCACTGGCCACAGCCGACCAATGTCTGAAACTCTAGCCTGAAAAGGGTCATCATTTTCAACACATCTACAGACAAAAGAACCATTTCACCTCATAAATCTGTGAAGTATCTATACAACATTTTGGGTTTTTTTCTATATATTTATTTGTTTAGACTAGAGGATCAGTCATTCCTATTCCAACAAAGTTGTTCCGAAATTAAAGAAACTAATTGCAAATTGATCTTGTAGCTTCCCTCCCATAATATCTTTACCTTAATTAACAGACAAAATGTCTAATGCCCGTTATTAAGCCCATCCATGTATGGCAGTGTTCCATACAATAAGTCTCTCTTTCCCTCGACATTTTAAAGAATAAACACGGAAATCTCAAAGATCTAACCAGACAAGGTTGTCATCATTTCAAAATACATCTGGTGACAATAGAACCATTTTCTCAAAAAATCAGCAAAGTATTTATACTAGGTTCACAGACATTACAACCATACACCAAACAACTGCTATTCATTGGAAGAAAAGTCGATAATAATTGTGTTGATCAGAGCAGGTAACGCTCATTCACTGGCCACAGCCGACCAATGTCTGAAACTCTAGCCTGAAAAGGGTCATCATTTTCAACACATCTACAGACAAAAGAACCATTTCACCTCATAAATCTGTGCAGTATCTATACAACATTTTGGTTTTTTTCTATATATTTATTTGTTTAGACTAGAGGATCAGTCATTCCTATTCCAACAAAGTTGTTCCGAAATTAAAGAAACTAATTGCAAATTGATCTTGTAGCTTCCCTCCCATAATATCTTTACCTTAATTAACAGACAAAATGTCTAATGCCCGTTAATAAGCCCATCCATGTATGGCAGTGTTCCATACAATAATAAGTCTCTCTTTCCCTCGACATTTTGAAGAATAAACACAGAAATCTCAAAGATCTAACCAGACAAGGTTGTCATCATTTCAAAATATATCTGGTGACAATAGAACCATTTAACCTCAAAAAATCAGCAAAGTATTTATACTAGGTTCACAGACATTACAACCATACACCAAACAACTGCTATTCATTGGAAGAAAAGTCGATAATAATTGTGTTGATCAGAGCAGGTAACGCTCATTCACTGGCCACAGCCGACCAATGTCTGAAACTCTAGCCTGAAAAGGGTCATCATTTTCAACACATCTACAGACAAAAGAACCATTTCACCTCATAAATCTGTGCAGTATCTATACAACATTTTGGGTTTTTTTCTATATATTTGTTTAGACTAGAGGATCAGTCATTCCTATTCCAACAAAGTTGTTCCGAAATTAAAGAAACTAATTGCAAATTGATCTTGTAGCTTCCCTCCCATAAAATCTTTACCTTAATTAACAGACAAAATGTCTAATGCCCGTTAATAAGCCCATCCATGTATGGCAGTGTTCCATACAATAAGTCTCTCTTTCCCTCGACATTTTGAAGAATAAACACAGAAATCTCAAAAATCTAACCAGACAAGGTTGTCATCATTTCAAAATATATCTGGTGACAATAGAACCATTTAACCTCAAAAAATCAGCAAAGTATTTATACTAGGTTCACAGACATTACAAATATCACCATACACCAAACAACTGCTATTCATTGGAAGAAAAGTCGATAATAATTGTGTTGATCAGAGCAGGTAACGCTCATTCACTGGCCACAGCCGACCAATGTCTGAAACTCTAGCCTGAAAAGGGTCATCATTTTCAACACATCTACAGACAAAAGAACCATTTCACCTCATAAATCTGTGAAGTATCTATACAACATTTTGGGTTTTTTTCTATATATTTATTTGTTTAGACTAGAGGATCAGTCATTCCTATTCCAACAAAGTTGTTCCGAAATTAAAGAAACTAATTGCAAATTGATCTTGTAGCTTCCCTCCCATAAAATCTTTACCTTAATTAACAGACAAAATGTCTAATGCCCGTTAATAAGCCCATCCATGTATGGCAGTGTTCCATACAATAATAAGTCTCTCTTTCCCTCGACATTTTAAAGAATAAACACAGAAATCTCAAAAATCTAACCAGACAAGGTTGTCATCATTTCAAAATACATCTGGTGACAATAGAACCATTTTCTCAAAAAATCAGCAAAGTATTTATACTAGGTTCACAGACATTACAACCATACACCAAACAACTGCTATTCATTGGAAGAAAAGTTGATAATAATTGTGTTGATCAGAGCAGGTAACGCTCATTCACTGGCCACAGCCGACCAATGTCTGAAACTCTAGCCTGAAAAGGGTCATCATTTTCAACACATCTACAGACAAAAAAACCATTTCACCTCATAAATCTGTGAAGTATCTATACAACATTTTGGGGTTTTTTTTCTATATATTTGTTTAGACTAGAGGATCAGTCATTCCTATTCCAACAAAGTTGTTCCGAAATTAAAGAAACTAATTGCAAATTGATCTTGTAGCTTCCCTCCCATAATATCTCTTTACCTTAATTATCGGACAAAATGTCTAATGCCCGTTAATAAGCCCATCCATGTATGGCAGTGTTCCATACAATAATAAGTCTCTCTTTCCCTCGACATTTTGAAGAATAAACACAGAAATCTCAAAAATCTAACCAGACAAGGTTGTCATCATTTCAAAATATATCTGGTGACAATAGAACCATTTTACCTCAAAAAATCAGCAAAGTATTTATACTAGGTTCACAGACATTACAAATATCACTATACACCAAACAACTGCTATTCATTGGAAGAAAAGTCGATAATAATTGTGTTGATCAGAGCAGGTAACGCTCATTCACTGGCCACAGCCGACCAATGTCTGAAACTCTAGCCTGAAAAGGGTCATCATTTTCAACACATCTACAGACAAAAGAACCATTTTCTGAGAAGTTTCTATGGATGAAGAAACATACTTTGAATTAACCAATCACATACAAGTTTATAACTAGTATAACCATAATTAGACTATTGTTACCTATTGGTCCTTGTTAGTAGATTACCCTACTAATTGATGTAAACTGAAAGTGAGCTAAAGAGTTTTTTGGAACATCATCAGAATCTGAAGAAATATTTGGTCTTTGTTTTCAGAACTATTTACCATCATTGATTTTTTCCACAATGTCTATAAAAGAATATTTTCCATATTTTTGCTTCGTCTGACTATATCCGACAATTGTACCTTCACATGAAATAGTATTTTACAACACTACACACACAAATAATATTAATATACCATCTACCCGTTAAGTTTGATTTACTTAATAGAATCATTTACTGTGTTGATCAGAACAGGTAATGCTCATCCACTGGCCACTGCCGACCAATGTCCGAAACTCTAGCCTGAAAAGGGTCATCATTTTCAACACCTTCTATTCCACATTTTGAGATTTTACCAGCTAAAATGCTTCATCCAATTAACAGCTTTGTTAACACCTGTCACCCTGATCAACATGATATTATTTATCAGCTTTGATTCACACCTGTCACCCTGATCAACATAACATCATTTATCAGCTTTGATTCACACCTGTCATCCTTTCAGATTATCCTTAAATATGACCCAAGCCTTACATCAAGCCTAATGTGCATCCTTTCTGATTATCCTTGAATTTGATTTAATCTTACCTCAAGCATACCGCCTTTATCTCTGACGATTAAGTAGAGTCTATAGAGGTCAAGGGGCTGCTTGCTGATGGAGGGCATTGATGTGATAGGCTGTGACCGCTCCTCAAGGAACACAAACAGACGATCCAAGAAGTATTTCCTCTCTGGTTCACTTCCCATCTCATACAGCTTTGCTACATCACCACCGCCCTTCTATAAAGACAAAAAGCAATGACAATCACATGCTCAGGGGAGTAAGGGAATTAGCATGCTTCAAAGACTACACCAATGACTTAAGGACCGTCTTACCAGGCTTGGCCAAGTGCTGTTTGGGAGGGAGGAAAAAGAGAATGAAAAAATAACTAACAAAATTTTAAAATAAAACATTCATCATACAAAAAATACATCACCAATATATGGAACGTACTCGTGACAGGTTTACAACAAAAATCAATTTTATATACTTTGCTCTTCTCAATTAATTGTCAAATCCAGATGTTTAATGATTGAGGATATAGAAAAGCATGAACATAAAAACTGAGAAATTCAGAGATAAGATTAAAGAGTATTTGGCTTCATATTACTGCTTTACAGTTGAGGAAAGAAGCAAGACAAATAAAAAAATATCCATGTATATTTGAAACTCAGTTAATATTTATCAGCAAAATGCTTGGCAAAATTGGACAAATGACAAAACATGAAATATTCCAGAGAAGAGAAAAAAATGTGAAAATACGTAAAACATGATGATGCAGGGAAAGTTCATAACCACCAACTGACGCAAAACACAAAAGTGTGACATTTAGGCTTACGAACTGAACCACTCTTTACAGTGCAAAGTGAAAACGTAAAAACAAGATTGAAATAAGAGGAAACAAAAACATAAATGCTCTGTGCAACTTGGATTTGATCTTATCAGGAAAATATTTTGCCATAAATCACAACTCTAAATGCAAAAGACTATCTACAAAATTAACATGAAAAGTAAATAATTGTCCAACTTGTAAGTGAAGTGTGACTGACCCCAAAGAAGGTCTAGTTATCAAAATGGAGATGAATCAACCTCCAGTATCAAGTGTAAAGCTAATGTTGACAATGAGATAAAGGTGCACATCAGTAATTATTATGCAAATGAATTAGTATTAATTGGCTGCAGTAGGTGAAAGGTTATATAATTTGATTTCCATTAAATAGCAGTTTCATCACTATATTTAGCAGGTGCCCTCTTTATTAATGATGTCCATGCTATGAAAAAATCTACATATGCAGCTTTCCTCTAAGGTGATGTGTTTCTCTTCAATTACACCATGACCACAGCACTTGTTGAGAATGATTTTTGAACAAATTTTTATTTAAATGTTAATCAAACTACCAGATCTAAAATACCCCATTTCTCAAAAAATTCCATAAAAAGTATTTGATATTTGTTAATTTGTGACAGATCATATGGTAGAACTGACACCAACAGAAATGAAAAATTTTAAAGCACAAAATGATGATTTCTTTTCTGATGCCACATGTTGTTTTAGACAGCCAATTACAATACTTTATAGAGAATGTGTCATCAGAACAGGGAAAATAAATTGAATACTAAATGAACAAAAACTTAAAACTAAACAAATCTATAAATAACAATCAACTTTTAAACTTTAAAATACAAGAGCTGTGCCAAAATCAAGGCCTTCGAGCATATTACCTGTATTTGATCCTGTGAGTGCCAAGTCAGTAAAAATGCAAATAATGAAATTATAAATGACATGATCAAACCATTAGTCCAAGTGAGCAAAGCACGAATGGTAGTAAATACTTAACACCAGTAAGTCCCATATATCAGCATGGTCTTTTCACTGTTATCTCCCAAACACAGTCTACTCTGTTGAGCTTTGTAATCTTCATCTTTCTCTCAAAATCTATATATTATCAATCAATTAAACTTTCCAAAATCGTCCAATGATTCATCATATTTCAAAGGAGTTCCTGCTAAAGGGAGATAACTAGAGTCTGACAGTAGTACAAGCCTAGTGTGCAAGTCACATCCAGGAACCACATATTTTGTGACAAACTGGCATTGTCCAGTACAATGTGCAGGGCAGACAAGACCAGTACCAGTTATGAATAATAAAAAAATCACGACTTCACCACTATAAAGAAAATATATATATATAAATATAAAATATGTAAATAATACAAATGCCATGACAACCACATCCCACAGCGGGCGGACGGTATGATGCAGGAGGGTACCACACCCATGACGAGCGAGCAGGCTATCGAGCGAGCGACGGGGGAGGTGTAGGACTTACTGTCATAGTGACCCATGAGGGAACCACCGCCGGGCCAGATGTAGAGCTAGCCGGACTGGCAATATTGTCAAAGTCGTCGTGACAAGATGAGATACTGGCTCCGCCAGGCGATGGTGCCACCGAACTGGCGGGAGTGGGTGGATGAGACAATACACCCTCCTACAATGAAGGCAAACCTACGGCTCATTACCTGTCCTCAGGTCACTAAGCGATTATAGCAGTGTATTGCTACAGTGTAGCTGAGCTCTATATCTGTAAATCGAGGCAAAAATTACCATTTGCTTGCCAAAGAGGGCAAGTCACTGCATTAACACAGTAAACATCACACTCGCCCTATGGCAGCAACTGTTAATTTTTTCTCGGTTTATATTTGAGAGCTGAGCGCCTTTGCTGCAAGAATTGCAGTCAGATCAATTTGTTGTTGGGAAAGTCCTTTCTTCTTAAGAAAAATACAGTCAACCACATCACATATAGTATCAACTTCCGAGAAAGAAAAAAAATGACCGAAACAAAAACTGTCACCCTATGCGTACATCTTTTAATTTTGTTCATGTTCCACACTAGATTCAAACTTGAAAGTAGAAGCCTTAAAAATATATACTGCCAAAAAGCTTAAACTAAACACCCTTTGACATTACCTGCTAAACTTTTAGAAAATGCTACAATTTCATGTTTCAGTGATTTAATACCGATTTTTTCTCAAACTAATTTCCCAATTTTCATATCAAGCAACCTGTCTTTTTTTTTATCTGAATATTTTTTTTCGATATCAGTGTCACACTTCCACATGAAAAAGAAAATAGCTGAAACCAAACAACACACATGAACACTTCTACATTAATAATCTGACAACTTTTTCCAGTATGTCAATGGCATTGTATCAATTATATTAGGTCTGGGTTTACAAACAAATTATTAAGTCCAAACAGCATGAGATTACCTCCCTTCCCCTACTTTCTTTTCAAACAAGATTTGAATTAAAGTGAACTGAGTGCTAGAGTTAAGAAAATTTCACATTTTGATATTATGAATGCATTTTGACATTGTGAACGTAGTTTCCTACTTATTTCTGGAAAAAAACATCTGTTTATGTGTTTTCTGTGTCAGAAATGCACAAAAAACATATTTTGTATGCAATGACTAATAGCTAAGTTGTTCAAACTTGCGTTAGACGACAGACAGGTTTGTAGTATTTTTTATCAAAACCAGAACAATCATGCCAAAATAATTTATGTATAAACAAATTACAAACGAGCTGTAATTTGTCATCCAACAAAATCTCGAACAACTCTATCAGATTACAGTATTAAATCACAAAGGTATATTACACATCAACAGAGAATAAAATAATACACATTCTTAAGTATACTAATACAGTAAAGTGTCAGTAGATTAGTAGGACTCTTACCTTCTTCTTTTTCTCCGTGGATGGTGGGGGAGGAACTGGAGCCTCCTCTATCGTGGGGATTGGCGGTATGGGTAAACAGTTGGGTTGTGGGGGAATGGGAATGTGATCCTGATGGCTGTCATTGCTGTTCCCGGCCTCAGATATACTTGTCACAGGGCTTGTGATGCTCTGGGTCACTATAGTTTTTATATCTAGCAACCAAAGGAAATGTGCAACCATGTGAGAAATTTAGTCAACTGCAGGAATTTTTCTTCAGATCTGTTGCTATTATGAAAATTACAACTTTGGATACTAATATGTATGATTTCGATAAGTCACTAAATGCATAGCATTCAACCCGTTTTAATTTACCAAGAACTTGTCTGGACAAAACATGGTACAATTAAAAATATCACTTTACAGAATGCATTTCAACAAAAATATCTCTGCTTAAAACAAGGCTTCAAGGTGATCTTTACCTTAAATTTTAACAAAAACATATCTATCCTGATTATTACTAATATAATGTATAATTATCGACACAGAATACATTAAAGCATGTACAAGCAATAACAATACTTCTGTAAAGCTAGAAAACTGCAGATTTTCATTCCAACATTCTCAAACACTTATACTCTTAGCACATATGAAATGGATATCTATGTTGTTAGGAGTGGCACGGGACTGAATATAGATCAGTACAAACATCATCTACTTTGCATGTGTTGTCTAAATCTGCAGCAAACCAATTACACCTAGGTTCTGATTTGTCCTATTTGTGAAACATAACTGAACACTTCCCTAACTGGCAAAATGTTCATGTCCCATATATAGAGGTTTTTTAATACTTCCACTGTAGTTCATTACATTTCTGATAACCTAACATCCATTCCTCAAATTTTACTTACCTGAATTAGTTGTTGTTGCTGTAGTAGTGATCGGCATTTCTTGTTTGGATGAGAATGGCGAGGACACTTGTTCCATTGGCATACCAACTGGCACACTGTCTGATGGCATTGAATTTAGTCTCTGATCCTTTCCCTCAATTGACTGGTTTTCAAGATGTGACTTGGTCACTCCAGAAGAGTTGCTATCTACATCAGAGCTTTGATTGGGCGTATTACACACAGGTGCCACCCCCTGGGGGTCACTATTGCCCTTCTTTTTAGTATCATGTTGACTATTTTGTGTCGAATCAGGAGCACTAGAATGAAGTTCACTTTCAGTAATTGGAACACTTGTATTGGATAATGTTGAGCTAGATGAATTGGAGTCATGCTGTTGCATATTTGGTGTCCTAGATGGAGGGAAATTTGATGAAGGCATACTTGAATCCATGGAAGAGACTAATGATGAAGATATAACAGAATTATCAGACGGCATGTTACCAGATGAATTGTTTTGTTGCACTGTCGTTGCTGGCAACACGGAACCATTATTATTGCCGCCTATACTATTTGGTAAAGAACTATTAGGAACACTACTAGATATTGGTACAGACATGCTATTATTATCGTTGGGCATTGTAGATGGTGAAGTACATGGTAAATGGCCACCCATAGAACTAGAATTAGGCACTGGCGAATGTGAGTTGGGCATCTGATTCATATTTGAGTTTGGTATGTTAGAGTTGAAGTTGTGCCCATATCCTACATGGTTCATTTGATTCATTTGGCCCATTTGCTGTGGTGGAGTGTACATTCTTTGTGGATTTGTCATGGTGGGCCGTACTGCCACCGGTTGTGGTCCTTTCGCAGAATTTGCTGCTGCAATCAAGGCCGCTTGAGCAGCAGCCTGCGCACCTTTAACTGCAGGTACAGTTGCTACCACTGGTTGTCCAGGACTACTTGCCGACATATTTTGTCCTTGCTGACCTATGGATCCTGACATGCCACTGTTTTGAGACATCCCTGAATGACTTCCAGGTCCTAGACCAAGTCCAGGACTTGGACCTCCACTACTTGGACCATTGGGTCCAGGGCTGGGACCAGGACCAGCATTGGGACCGATTGGCCCTGGGCTAGGTCCTCCTGGACCTGCAGGACCAGGGCCAGCACCAGAAGCTGGCCCAGGCCCAGAGTTCTGTCCAGGACCGGGACCTGGACCTGGGCCAGGGCCTGGGCCGGGACCAGGACCTGATCCTGGACCCATATGGTTCCCGAAATTATTACCATACTGATTGTTCACATTCATCATATTACTCTGTCCACTACTGTACATTGGATAGTTTCTGTTGCCCATAGGCATATTGTTATACATGTGAGCATTCCCATGACTTGGACCATTGTACATGTTTTGTTGAGGGTAGTTCTGCATCACAGAGTTTCCCTGCATATTGCCACCTTGCCTACCAGGATACATTCCTATGTAACAAAACAAATTGAATAAAATACAAAACTGACATTTCAATGGATACACCACAGAAATAAATCTCGTCAAGAAATGCCTATGATTTACATGTATGTATTTTACATTTACAGATTTTTTCCAATATACATATATTCATATATATATATAAATAAATATATATTCAAAATATACACAATTAAATGTAGAACCAACATTAATTATCATATTGTCAATTACTTAAGAATATTTCCTTCAAAAACTGAAACAGCCTCACAAAGGATACTTTCTTCGTACATTAATCAAACGGTATATAAACATCATTTGTTACAAACACACAGGAGAAGAGGGCTTACTGCTATGTTGTGATGAGATATTCTAAACCCCAGGTATTATTTTCCTATTACATCATCCACTTGTCATACTTTCAGTTTACTAACTCTATTTGCATTGGCATTTGTATTACTACTATCAATTTTACAAAAGGGGGAGGGGAAAACCCAAAGATGTGTAACTTGGTGAAATTAAACTCTGATGTATAAACTGAATATTGGGACAGAAGTCTTTTGATGTGTCCCTCACCTGGCTGAGAGAAATGAGAGTTATACTGAGGATAGTGTCCACCCACGGAGTTACCTCCCATGCCACTCCCAGGCATCTTACCACCACTTCCTGGTCCAAAGTTCATCTGGTTGGGACCCATCGGTGGTGGTGGCATCATCTGCTGGTTGTAGCCTATAAGGTGAAAAAAAAAAAAGAATTAAAAATTCAGTTGCTAAGATACAAATAGAGAAAATAATCAAACCGTACAAAATATGAGCTGAACAACCTAGAAACCAAAAGAATTGGTCCCCACTTTCTACTTGTCAATATGTTCCACTCATCATACAGAAATTATAGTAACTTTAATAAAATACTGATTAGTTTAAAAAAAAAATGTTTCAGTCACAGCCTCTCTGACAAGAGTCAACAGGAATACGGATTATGAGAACAGCTTACTTTCCCAGAATAGATCATGTATTTATATCATATATTATTAGCTAAACCAATATTCTCAATTCAACCTTCAAAATGCATCAATGAAAAGCATAGATAAGGTCTGATCAAGATTTAGTACAGAAAACATTTTTTAATTTGTTGTTCATCAAGAATTTGTTTTTCCTCTTTACCTTGAGTAGCCATTGGTGACTGTGTCATGCGCGTGTTCTGTCCATCAGAAGACGGTCTAGTTGGCATAGGACTCCCTGCCTGGGTACTACCTGTAATGACATAAATGTATCAATTAAAACTCAAAGTATGAAAGAAACTATCTATACATACTGACAAGTTGATAACCCCAACCTGTTTTAAGTAAAATGAGTATCAAGGAAAAAGGGTATATATTAACCTGATTCAGATCTAACAAAGATGACAGACATATGACCACATCTTTCATATTAAATTTTTTAACGTATCTGGAAACAAGAGAATCCAAACCTGATTCTCTGAAGCCAATTTATGATTATGATCTTTTTTTTAGTTGCCGACACCATCCTTTCTTTTAACTTAACAAATTATATTCATTATATCATTTTTATTTTTAGTTCCTGACAAAATTCTATCTCTTAACTAAACAAATTATAATAACAGATTTAAGAAGCCCTGAGCCAGTTGATGTCACATTTAGTCTGTGCTCTCTGTGATTATATATAGCTTCATGACCAGTACTACATTGATTGTATATTAATTATTCATGTCCACAACTGCCAACAGAATAACAAAATCAGGCAGGTGACCTTTACTGGATCATACCCACAGATTCATCAACTATGTTTCTGATTACCAACGGAACAGTTAAACAGTGAGGTCAAATCTGTTTCAAATCAATTATCACAGGAGGAAGTCTCTTAATAAAATATATATAGGTAATTGGTATTGATATAGAGATATGCTAAATTGTGGGATTATAAAGTTTACATTGTGATATATATATATCCTTATTCCAGAGTTGATAGTGATTCTTTTCTGTGTACACTGCTTGCTCCACAAATCAGAACATTACAATAAAACTATTAAGTATTGTCAACTTAATCATGTATAACCATTGATCAAATTTGATAATGAAGTAACTTACAACAACACTGAAACATGAAAAAATTTTAGCTTCTCCAATCAGAGAAAGCATCCTATATATCTCAAATGTAAACTATTTCATTCAGGAAATGTTTCCATCTGATGACAGGAAAACATGTATATTTTAGGTATTACTTGTAAAACAGTAAAGTTAACCAGCCACATGCTACTTATTTAGATATATGCTCTTAAATCTTTTGATGCTGCCATCTAGCATGTGTAGGTAAACACTGATGTAACCTGTAACCTTTATCCCAGTAATTTCAATACACAAGCCTGGGGCTCTCTCAGTACAATCCAGGCTTCGCAACACTGTACAAGCCAATTATCATTCTACACTATCATACAAGGCTTATTTTATATGTACCTAATGAATGAATTTTCCATAAGCCTTGTGAGATAAAAACAAAGTGCATCACCAGGACAGGAGAAATAACAGCATGCAGCCTAGTGTAAATCTATTCTAAAGTTTGAGCATCCTTCATTTAGCGGGAAATGTTTGTAGCAAGTTCTCTTAGCACACTGCTTACAGTCAACACTGATTAGCTAGATATCTTGTTGGAGAGGTTTTAAGGGTGCACCTTTTGTCTCCTCTTTAATGAGCAAATTACTTCACATATATCTGCACAATTCTTTTTTCTTATCTATCCAGTCAATGCTCTAAACTGATGCTAAAATACCCTTGTATCAGTAGCTTTATATATATATATAGGTTGCTTATACTCAAATTAAACTTAATTATAAAGATTTTCAATCTTGAAGTGCTTAATTTGAATTAATAGAACTATTAGCAATACCTAAGATTCTTTTTCACATGAAGATGATTTTACACATGTAGTTTTAATACATATCCTACAGTGACACAGTGGTAATTTGTCTATTAGAAAAATCATTTTCTACCATTAAATCTACCACGCATTAACCTTGTATCACACTACACGTACCTAGAAATGCAATAGGTGATGAATAGATCTACCAACTAATCATATTACAAATTTGAGATAAACATTTACCAATTTTAGTATATTCCTTGAAATATTTTACAGCTTTTTTCCAACTATCCTATTGTTATTTACACCAAAAAGTTTTGATAAACGCTTGTCTTGTTCAGTCATCCACATATTTTAGCAGAATGTACATGATACAATTCACCACACAATCAACAAGACATTAAAATATCTGCCAAATGAACAGACATGACATTCCAATTTCTTTTTATTTTTATCATGTCTTTTTACTCATGACTGCTAATGCAATGAACCATCATATAGTTAAGATCTTTATATCTATGCCTTTGTCTTGTGAAAGTATTATCAGGAAGTAAAACATTTCAAATCATCTCAATGAAGTCCCTTTTGGCTTTCATATAAACAGTCAGTTCTCACTCTCAACACAGCACACATATAAATCACAATTACTGTTCATAATACTTAACATCACACACTAGATATTTTATAGTCTTGCAATTTCACATCATTTCAAATCCCCAACAAGTCCATATAAATCTCCAAATATCATTTGCAGTGCTCCCTTTGGCAAAGAATGATAACCATTTTACTACAATGTGCATGTAACAAGGAAATCAATGTTGTTTATATCTTGAGGTAAATGGAATTCTCATGAATGAGTTGTGTATGTATATTTATGTCAACTGGAAGGCTGGAAACAAATTAAACCTTCCCTGAGGGGATTAGCAGCTATTTGCATCAGTTAAACACTATATTCCTTGCAAGAACAATCAATTGTGGAGAGTGCCCTCAATGGATATCATTGATCTGCGGTACATCAATCTGATACCTCCTGTCATTACTTTTTTTCTTTTTTTTCCAAGGCACTTCACACAAAAAGCACTTTCAGCTCGACAGACTTTTAATTACAAACAACAAGAATGCTAATAGAAGATAGTGCACTTGTGCCAATAACATTTTCTGAAATAGACATTGACACTAACGTACCACTAGCATTGACATAAGTGTATGTTTTGTACACAGCACACTTGACTGGGTTTGAATGGGCAAATTAAGTGCTAGCCAGCTTGTTAGGATAAGTGTGACCTCAGATGGCACACTGCTGGGGGTCATAAATCAGCAGTAAACAGGTGTACTCGACCTACAGACAGGCCTGAACTTTGACCTGTCTGATGTTGTCTAGAGTGATTATTATCTATTATTAGCACCAGGGAAATACCAGTGCTGACTGACAAGAGGCAGGGACCACCTGTTGGTAAGTGTGTCTGGCATAACAATGACTGCAGACATCCAACTTTGGGGAATCCCCTGCTGATGTGTTTATAGACCTGCACAATTAATACAGGTAGCTTCCACTCCATGGGATCAATAACACCAAAGAATGTAATAAAATCAAACTACTATTCTTCTTGATCAATAATCTCAGCATTTTCAAAAATCATATTACATATTTAAAGGTACAAGAATCTAGATCCTGCATATTAAAGGAAAGCGACAATTGCTAAGTCTATAGCTCTGACCAATTTTACCTAGGAGTACCCATGGAGTGATAATTACACACTCTAAACCAAAACATTTGATCTGTATGTAAACAAAGACTTGGTGCCGTTTCACCTGATTAAGCCATATTAATAACACAACAAACGTAGATATGAAATCTATACAGACACAGGTAGATATACACCTGAACACAGGTAAGACAAGTGTACCGAATGAACCTAATAATACTTTGCACAGGTCGAGGTCACTTTTCATGATCACTGACTGGAAAAAATTGGCTATTGTTAGTACTTCAATAGGGCAGCCCTTCAAAGATATCGGAGTAATATCTGCCACATTAAAGAGATACAGTAACACATTTCCCAATGGGAAGAACGATAAGGTGTTGTTGTTATGGCTTTACAGCATTGCTGAAGAAGAAGGTGCTATTTATTTTTACCAAACTATCTCATCTACAATCAAATATATACTTCAGCCTATCGGAGTGACAATTGATTATCATGTCTGATCTGATATAGTGGAATTCTTGCTTCACATAGCAGCTGGGGCGGTCTATGCTGCCTTATCATTATAATATTCAACTCCTGGGGAATCACCTATTTATCACATCACAGATTCTCACTTTTTATTCCCTATGCTATAAACTATTGCTTTAATGTCAATATCTGTATACTCAATGATAATATAGTACCCATTAACATATTTAACAAGGATAATTAACAGACCAGTAGAGGCAAATTAATTATACATGTTGTTGTGCAATGTAAGAACTGTAACAGAAATCTATGATCGTATGATAAAACCCTATGAATATTGAATTCATTACTCCCAATTGTAATGAACTTTTTCTTTATAGAATACTGATAAAGTTACTTAACAGAAAGTTATAGTTGCCACTAGACATAAGTAAAAATTGCAACAATCTAATTGGAAGTTGATTGATTTTGTGACACAGAAAATGTTCAGCACTTTTTAAAAGTGAGATCAGGAATTTCTTCAATAGCCTAAACAACTTGAGAAGCATTTCACAATCTGACCTGTAATAGTTGGGACAATTTTATCATCTTATCTCAAGACTGTCTCCTTCGGATGGAAAGTGTTTATATCTGACAAATAAATATTTGCATTTACCTGACAGAGAGGCAGGAGTGTTTGACCTTGACCCTGTAGAGCCAGCAGGTGAGGGAGCAGGGCGGAGCGCTGCCACTGCTGGATGCACACCTGTAGGGGTTGGTGTATTTCTGGAAGGATCACATCCTAAGTCATCACCACTCCGAGAATCCTGAAAAATATTTTTAAAAATTCTGTTTAGCTGGTAGAAAAACTAGACTCGTGAAGTAACCTCTGCAATTTCAGTAAACACAATGCGCAGCATTTATACTTTTAAAGTGTAAATCAAACAGTCCATGCCACATGGAAATCACACACCTCTATCTTTAAAAATAAATCAACATGTAGGAACAAACATTCAAAATGAGCTTTTAAATCTATTTCCACTTAGCACCATATCAAAATACCTTCAATGTTAAATGAGATGTATCAATTCAACAGCACACAGAAACACCAACAGACTTTATCAATTTACTTGACCAAGAAAGCCTATTGCTATTTTAGTAAAAGTAAAGCTTTAACATTTCGAATAACATGGCATATTTATCAATGTTTTAAACAGAATTTATTTTTTTGTAAGTTTTTTTCACCCTGCTTTAACACTTACCAGAATGAGATTTCACTGAATTTATTCATGTTAATTTTTGTTCTCTCTGCTTCAACACAACCAGTGAAGAGATTTCATAGTGAACTGTTATCCAGATAATCAAATCAAGTCTTTTGTTTCAAATGCAGTAAAGCAGTTTTAGACTTAAATACTAGGAGTCTTTCATCATTTTTCTTAAGAAAATTTTTCCTTAGAAAACACATAAAACTTAATTTTTATTTTTGCCATCAGAAGTTGGATTTGCAAATTAAAGAGTTTATAATATTTTCTTTTTAAGAAAATTCTACCTTAGAAACCCATCAAAATCAATGCCTCTAACTGCCATAGGATGTTATAATTTTCTCAATGTTTTTTAGTCTCTTTTGATCTTTTCAATAGATAAGACAATAAATTTGAAAATAACCATGTCAGTCGGTGAGGACAATTTTTCATTTTTTTCCTTTTTTTTTTAAAAACAGATCAAACAGACCAAACAGTAAATGATTTCTTTTACTTGACAAAGCTGCTGTCAAATCTAATTCAAATGATCTCTCTGTGGACTTTCCAACATTGTGTCTCCAGTATTGTCAATAAAACCTATCATATTTCCCATCACCAACTCTAAAATCTGGATATCTGTTAAGATATTAAATACTTTTTTTCTAGTTTTCCCGTGAAGCTGACAGGTTTATCGAGTGTTTTTGCACTACAGAATCCTCGGCGAACAGGCTGAATAATTTAAACACAAAGCCTGCCAGAGATCAATAAAAGTATTGATCTCCAGTACAGGTTTTTTTTTCACATCATAACTCTTCTAAATAACTTTTCTCTTTTTCCTCAAAAGTTTCATAAATATATTAAGTAATTAACTAAATGCAATTAGGCTTTTCTCTCAACTACGCAAAATAAGAAATTAATTGTGATTCACTGGAGAATCGAAAATCAATTCATCACGACAGAATAATAAATTGTGAAACAGAGTATAGACCGCCACTCTTATCAGCCTTACAATGCCTGCAAGCCTTTATTCAAACCATTCAACTCAAGTTTTTTTACCTGTTAGTCGCAAGTGCGCTCAGGTATGACTGAAAGGTAATTGCTAGCCGAGCCAACACGAGAACTTTTTAAGATCTAGTATGGGACATATAAAATCCCTGTATTTTCACCGGATCAAAAGGAGGCCCTATCAATATGCCAGTATAACAGGTGCCCTTCTTCGTCTTATTTCTGTGCCACACTGAGATGGCCTATGTAAATTAAAGCGCTTTTTCAGTATGTAGTTATTACCTTCAAGTCCCAGCTTTAATCAGATTTTGTCTTTCTTGTGCTCTAATGTTAATGACCAACTTCAACAGGCAACAATATTGTGTTGCGCATATTTAAAATGTCCCTTTTCAATACATGAACAGCTTGTCAAAGGAACCCCACAAAAACTTGGGAGGAAATTGTCCATGCGCATGGCAATCACAGGTAAATGATACCTACAGGCTTGTCGTGTGCAGACTGGTTATACAATATAGGCATTATAAGCCTTCTATTCCCTGATACACAAATTTTGATAGCACTCTTTCTCCCTCCACAGGAATGTTTGATAATTTTTATTCTAATTCTTTCAACTATAATACTGATTACAATAAAATTTCAAAATGGACATTTTAATTAAAATTCTATTTCTTTACATAAATATGTCTATACCTTATCTTTATTTGATTTTGGGTTTTTTTTTTTATTTTTATTTTGTGAAAACAACATCCACCTATCTTCTGAACATAGCAAGAAGCTTTTCTTTACTTTTTGAAATGAAAATCTGCCAAATTTCTGATCTTTAAAACTACCACTGTTGGTAAAAAAATTTACCTTTTTTTAATTACCATTTAATCTGTCTCTCCTTCAACAACAATACATTTTGGCTATTGATAAACAATTTTAGCAGACCTATTTAAACTCCTTAATTATGTAGATAGGTGTACATGTTTTCATTTTGAACAGAAGTCCTAATGAGGCTTGGGATCAATTATCTGCTTTCCTGTGTAAAGGCCTCACTCATTGCTACCCAGACAACAGCTGGAAAGACATGGACAGCTGTAGAAGGGATCAGAAGGTCCAGTTGGCCACAATGGGGCTTTTTCCTTTGACCCATGTTAGCCTTCCTAACAGTTAGGCACAATTTTACTGGAGGTCATAAAATTAAATTGAAACCTAAAAATTTTGCTAACAACTATTTCATGTCATGGTTTACACCATTTTATATATGCTGAATAATCATGTTTTCTTTTTTAATTTTTTCATTTCTTACTTCTACACTTTTTCATTAGAAACACAGTACAAAAATCTACAGAAGCTGAATGCTTGGTTCATACTTTTAAAATATACCTTGAATATGACTCAACTTAGATCATAAAACTTTTACCAATATTTGCATCAATCTTACTAATGTGCAACTTATTTCACTTATATCCATGAAATAAAATCTGATATAGTGTCTAGTTTTTGAGCCAATGCCCAACATGAGAAGGAAAATTGAATAGGAATAACAAGTTGATATAGCCTTTCAGGTAAATGGGATTTTCCCTTCTGTGTCATCAACTTACACATCAGAGTATATTATAACCCCTTCAGACCGGCTTTCCTTTCATCTGGCATTGTTATTCCCCAGTTGAAAACAGTGAATGAGTACACAGGTAGGTCTTCTATTTAGATAGATGTGTATAATTATTTATACACAAGTGTTAAGATAATACTTCCCCGTATCATAAATCAAGAAAAAACAGTTCTTCAAAGTATCAGGTACAAGATTTTACTCAAATATAAACTCTATTTTATTCTCCATTTGATATCTTAACATTTTTTTATTGTTAGAGTTTAATCATTTTTTTTCTATTTTTAAAGGCTTATAGTATTTTATAACAATACACCATGATGTAAAAATCAGTTATAATTTAGGTCTTGGTAAGATGTCTACAGCAATGACAATGTAAACAACCAGACAGATGGACAGACACCAAATGTCTCAATTGGTCACCTACAGTTATTTTTAGGACCTCGACAAGTCCTGCACTCATGATTTTCCTGTGCAACTTGTTCATATTTTGAGTACCTACTATATCACTTAGTGGTAGGATGCATAAAAATTGTGTAAATGATGTTCTGGACTTGCCAGATAAAATCCTACAAAAATTACTGCACCTGCACCTCTAATGTGGATGGAACACTAATAACATGATGATGGGTATGAAACTAAGTGCTAATGATAAAATTCAGATATCAAAATATATGAAAGATTACCTACATAAATTAACTCAACTCAACATGTATCACTATCTAAACAAATAAAGAAATTATGAACAAAACAAGCAGTAAATTTTTAACAGTGAAATAAAGGAATTCATTTACTATTTTCCTGTCCCCTAAAGTTATATAAATAAGTTTGTTTTCTATCAAATAATTATTGTTTACATTTCTGGTTTTCTATAATATGGTATACGAGGACAGTTTTTTTCTAAATTCTTACCAGATAACAGGATAAAATGGTAGAATTCAATGTAAAGCAGCCTATCAAAAATGGTGCCATCTGTTTGTCAAGCCCATTGTCAAAGTCAATTACATCACAGAACTTGTTCATATTTCCTCAACTTTTTTTAACATCAGCACATCAGATACAGACAGGCAAATACACAATTTATTTATTATTGGATTTACTTTTTTCCGCTTCAAGAAAATACCATTTTTTTTTAAAAATTAAGTTTTCTCATTAATCTATCGCAAATTTAGTTCAATCTAATAACCGCATATATATATATATATTTTTTTTCACTCTTGAAATATAGATATACTATCATCCTCGTGAAATATAGATATACTATCATCCTCGTGAAATATAGAACTACTACCATCCTCGTGAATATAGATATACTATCATCCTCGTGAAATATAGATATACTATCATCCTCGTGAATATAGATATACTATCATCCTCGTGAAATATAGAACTACTACCATCCTCGTGAATATAGATATACTATCATCCTCGTGAAATATAGATATACTATCATCCTCGTGAAATAGGATTTGTATCTGAACACTTTATATTTTCTATTTTATATATATTCTCACAGTAAAACACAACTATCTCTCTATGACAAAATCATTCTCAAAGTCACAAATACAAATGACTGTCAAAATGCACTCGTTTTAAACCCTGTTTTGCCATTTTCCCCTTTGACAGTTTTCAAGATGTTCTTTTTAAATCTTGTTTATATTTTAAATGAACAAAATAAAATGATCTTGTTTAGATTTTAAATGAACAAAAATAACTGTTAACATGTTATCTGTCATAAAAATCAACACAAACAGTACAAAATGCTAAATGATGTTCACAGCCACATCATAGAAGTGTCACAGAACTCTTAGAATAACTACAGTAAGGGCACTTCTCCAAGGAATACGTTAAATTTCATTAATTCATTCAGCATCCGCTAGCCAATAAATGGTCTCATTAAAGAATAATTACTGGCAAAGTTCTTAATTACAAAGGTTAGAAAAATGCTCATGTCAACAGCAATACAGGCTGTGAGTTTAATAACGAG